TAAAAAAAGCTCTAAGTGTTGAACTCGATCGAGTTAGGATTAGGCGGCTCGAGCTGCTGTTCTTGCATCATCTTTGGTTCTAACACTTAGCCTTCTGCCAAAGCAAAGCCACTTTCTTGAGAGATCCCTGTTACTAAACCACCATACAAAAGAGACCCTCTTTGTCTCTTAACCCATAAACCCTTGAAACCAAATGAGTTGATTGATCTTGCATGTTTTTGGTTCACTGTTTTTGCTTAATGAATGTTAAAGGGATTTGCTGATTTGAATGCATTGTTTGAGTGACTGTGAAGTGGGATTGATGTTGATAAGCATGGTTAAATCTTAATGAATATCTCTCACCTTGTTGCATTCTAGAATCTCTAAGTTGGACATTTAGCAAATCGCTTTTGAGGACATGTTTTTAAGTGTTGAATCAGCTTGTTTTCAAACCTCATCTCTTTCTTGTTCTATTTGTTTGCTTGAGGGCAAGCAAAGTTCAAGTTTGGGGGTGTTGATGTACTTGCATTTTACATAGTTTTAGTACATCTTTTATGCATCTTTTGCATAGTTTTAGCATCCATTAGCATCATATCTTGTTCCTTTTCTCTTCTTATGCATTCATAGTAGTTTTAGGTTGCATTTGCATACATATGCATGTTTGGTCCTTTGAAATAGGTCTTTTGGAGCATTTGGAGCATATGGGACGTGAGGAGCATGGAGGACTTGGGCATGGACGCAGCTCAACTGGATACGCAAAGGAAGAAGGAGGAAGCCATCTTGAAGACCAGCTCGACCATCTACTCGACCAACCGGTCGAGTTCCTCAACTCGACCGGCCAAGCTTCAACTCGATCGAGCTGGAAGTCAAAGTCAAACCCGAAAAATGTTGCTTCCCCCTTGACTTTCCTTTGACCCTAAACCTAAATCCTCTTGTATTTAAAGGCTAAAAGCCACGAAAAAACCACCAAGCTTTAGATTACTTTTTGTTTTAGTTTTTTTAATTATTGTCTTTTACTTTTTAGAGCTCTAATCCCATCTTTGTGTTCTTGAAGCTCTTGCTTCTTGAATCCTAGATCCTGGATAATCTCTTTTGTATTTGCACTTGCTTATTTCAATAAAAGTTGTTTATTTCATCTCCTCTTTCTTATGATGTTTTTTCATTGCATTTGCTTGTGTTTACATTCATGTGTAGTGAGTAGTTACCCATTAGGGTTTGAGATGGGATAGATTAGAGGTTTCATATGCTTAATCCTTCTTGCTTATGGTCTTAATCTAGATTCTCTCTCTTTTGGAAATCTTAAGGCTACATGACCACTACCCCTGGCTTGTATGTCCATAGACGATTCTCCACATGGAAGTGATGCATAAGAAGAGAAAAGGAACAAGATATGATGCTAATGGATGCTAAAACTATGCAAAAGATGCATAAAAGATGTACGAAAACCATGCAAAAATGCAAGTACATCAAGTGGTAGGTTTTCTTCAACTCTCATTCTTGATAGATGATCAGCTACTCCATTATCTGCTCCTCTTCTGTTCTTTATCTCAAGATCAAACTCTTGCAGTAGTAATATCCATCTTAAAAATCTTGTTTTTGCATCCTGTTTGGACAAAAGATACCTCAATGCTGCATGATCAGAATGAACTATCACTTTTGATCCCACCAGGTATGATTGAAACTTCTCAAATGCAAACACAATAGCCAGAAGCTCCTTTTCTGTCGTGGCATACTTGCATTGTGCCTCGTCAAGTGTTCTGCTGGCGTAATAGATCACATGTAGCTTCTTATCTCTCCTCTGCCCGAGCACTGCCCCTACTGCATCGGCACTTGCATCACACATTATTTCAAAGGGTAGTTCCCAGTTTGGACGTTGAACCACTGGTGCACTAACCAATGCATCATTGATCTTAGTGAAAGCTTTGTGACACTCCTTAGTGAACTCAAAGTTGATGTCCTTACACAATAAGCGTGTCAATGGCCTTGCTATATGCGAGAAATATTTAATAAACCTCCTATAGAATCCAGCATGTCCTAGGAAGCTTCTTATATCCTTGACTGTCTTGGGCGGCTGGAGGTTTGTCATGACCTCAATCTTGGCTTTGTCAACTTCTATGCCTCTCTCTGAGATCCGATGTCCAAGCACTATTCCATCTCTAACCATAAAGTGACACTTCGCCCAGTTTAGAACTAGGTGCTTGTCTTCACATCTTTGTAGCACTCATCCAAGATTCCCCAAACATGATTCAAATGAAGAACCATACACTGAGAAATCATCCATGAATACTGATGATAGGATTTGTGTGTGGATGTGAAAAGAATGAAATGAGATGAGTGGAATGCAATCAGTGGTATATGATGAGGTGGTAAGATGCAAACACAAACACAGTCAACAATTCCCTTTAACCATGATAGTTGATGTAGTACAAAGGGTTATCAATCCAAAATGGGAAACTTGTCACTCTTTGAGAATATGAAACAACCAGAAAGTCAAGCAAGCAGTTAAGATTTGAAGTAACACTAACAACCTAAAAAAATGAAAAGCAGTGCAATAAAAGTAAACAAAGCAGTGAAGTGTCAGCTCGACCAAGAGCTCGAGTCGAGTCAGAGCAAAGTACCAGCTCGATCGAGTTTAGGGACGAGTTGAGACAAACAAAGCTAAAGGTGACGACTTTAACAAGATAAAGAGAGAATTAGGGTTCAAGACAGGGTTTTGCAATCAAAGGAATCTACACTTAATCAATCTAGCTCTTAAAACTCCTTGTATCAAGGCTTCTCTTGATATTGGGCTTCTCAATGCCTAGCCAACCCTTTCCCAAGGTGGAGGCTATCAACCAAGGAATGATCTCAGAAACAGGGGGTTAGCCAGTGAGAATCAAACCTTGGAGGCTATAGGATCATTGCCCAAACTAATCCATCCAACCCCTTAGACCTCTATTGTCTAGAGCAAGAGATATTGGAGCTCTTAGTGGATCTTTTCCAGCGAATGCCATCACTTTCGTGTGGGGAGTCGCCTAAGGACTTACAAGCCAGGGGTAGTGGTCATGTAGCCTTAAGATCTATCCAAAAGAGAGAGAATCTAGATTAAGACCATAAGCTAGAAGGATTAAGCATATGAAACCTCTAATCTATCCCATCTCAAACCCCAATGGGTAACTACTCACTACACATGAATGTAAACACAAGCAAATGCAATAAAAGAGACATCATAAGAAAGAGGAGATGAAATTAAACAACTTTTATTGAAATAAGCAAGTGCAAATACAAGAGAGATTATCCAGGATCTAAGATTCAAGAAGCAAGAGCTTCAAGAACACAAAGATGGGATTAGATCTCTAAAAAGTAAAAGACAATAAATTAAAAGAAACTAAAACAAAATAATCTAAAGCTTGGTGGTTTTTTCGTGGCTAGAGCCTTTAAATACAAAGAGGATTAGGTTTAGGGTCAAAGGGAAGTCAAGGGGGAAGCAACATTTTTCGGGTTTGACTTTGACTCCAGCTCGATCGAGTTGAAGCTTGGCCGGTCGAGTTGAGGAACTCGACCGGTTGGTCGAGTGGACGGTCGAGCTGGTCTTCAAGATGACTTCTGAATCACTCATGTTAGAGTCTTGCCTTCAAGCTTAGTACCTGAAAGGGGTAGAGGCAAGATTCTTTTAAATAGAAAACAGTAAAAAGGAAAACAAAAGTTGAAAATTTGCAAAAACAAAAAGGAAAAACGAAATTCTAGACTAGACTATAGTTGGGAACTCGAAGGTAGCTGTATTGCTCCCCGGCAACGGCGCCAAAAACTTGATCGCGGGATCAGGTCTTCCCTTTTCCTATCCCTGATTCTGCAAGTGCACAGGTCAGAAGTAGTAAACGGGTATCGAACACAAGGAGCAGATAAGTACACTTCGAGTATTGCAAGTCTAATATAGCTAGAAAACAAGTATGATTTAGGGTTTTGATTGTGTAACAAAGGAAATCAAACAGCAGATTAAACGGTTTATGAAAATCAATAAAGGGAAACGCTAGGCAATGAGAAACTCGCAGAGATTCAAGGTTAACAAGATAGAAGGTTTCGCTAGGGTTTGCGCTATCTAGAACTCAGGTCACGATTGTATGATCTTTCCACTGTCGAGGCTCCGACCCCTTTGTTAATCTACCTAGTCGCTAAACTTTTGGTATGTCCCTAGGTGATTAAATCAAGCAATAATTCGTTCAAGACCCAATTGTTCACAACCCCGCATAGATCAACTTTCGCAGTCTATGAAGTTTTGCTCACCAAATACTTAGTTCAGGTTATATAGCAAGCTTTTGGAGAGTATATGAAACCTAAGATCTGATGCTAGTTGATCAGAAAAGCAAGCAGCAATGAATTCAAGCAGAGATGAAGATGCGATGATAAACCCTATGCGATTCTAACAACCTATCAAACCATGAACTCTTTGATAGATCTCACAACCTAACTAGTGAATTACTCAGACATGATCAAAGCAACAACACAAAAGATGAAGAAAACATGATTGCAATAAAACTCAAAGTATGAAATCGTGATACAAGGGCGGCTCTCTTTCACAAGAGGCTAAAAAGCTATATATATAGTGCTAGGTCTTCAGAGGCGGCTTAGGGTTAAGCCGGGCCTTGAAAATACGTGAAACGGGCTTCAAAACGGGCTTTGGGTCGACCGCGGCGTTGGGACGGTCGGTCGGGACGATCGGCCGGACAATCGGGTCATGGCCGAGTCGGAACGGTCGTGGCCGGACGGATTCGTGGTCGGCCGCTTGGTCGGACGATGAAGGGTTGGCCGATGTTTCTCGGCCGGACGCGGGCGTGGCTTTCCCGGCTCGGACGGCGCCATCGGCCATGGTACACGAGTAAGGTTGCGCGGCCGCGAGGCGTTGCTTCCCGGCTCGCGCGGCATGGTCGTGCGCGGCATCGTCTTGAGTGGGCGTGGCGTGGCCGACCGCGGGACATTGTTTCCCGGGTCGTGATGATTTGAACTTTGGCCGAGACTTCAGACGGACGAATTTGATTTTGGCCGACCGCGGAATATTCATTCCTCGATAGAGCCGTCTGGACAGTCTTCACTCTTTTGGTTAAACTCCTTTTCTACTCATCCAAATGAGGCCGTTCCAGTTGCGTTGGAAAGTTAACTCAATCAGAGCACGCAGGGAACTGGTCTTGATGAAATCCATTGAGTAGATCTTTTTCTGGGCCCTCTTAAAGTTGATGCTTGTGCATGGAGCGCTTGAAGTGCAAATCCTATGGTTTTGCTCCAAAATGCATCATTTCACCTGTTTAGACTCTAGACACTATAAACACAGTAAAACTACCTTTTTAGATAGAAAACCTGCCAAAAACCATTAGAAAACAATACTAAAACAGTATAAAAAGCATGTAAAATAGAGGTATATCAACGGCCGAACGCGAAAACTCTCGGCCACGATCGTCCTGACCGTGCCGATAGCCGACCACGACCCGATAGCCGGCCCATCGTCCCGACTGACCGTCCGAACGGTCCGGTCGATCCGAAGCCCGTTTTGAAGCCCGTATCACACGTTTTCACGGCCCGACTTAACCTAATGCCGCCTCTGAAGACCTAGCACTATAAATACAACTTTTTAGCCTCTTGAGAGAGAGCCGCTTTGTATCACGTTTTTCTACTTAGAGATTTATTCAATCATGTTTTCTTCACTCTTTGTGTTATTGCTTTGATCATGTCTGAGTAATCCACTAGTTAGGTTGCTAGGGTTACTATTCAATGAGTTGCTTGCATGATCTTTGATTTCGATGTTTAGCTAGGGATTATCTTAGAGTCTTTGTCTCGTCTTGTGCACTTAACTAATGCTGATTGCTTTACCGCGCATCTAGTAATCCGATCTTAGGTTGACTTGAGCCTCGAAAGTGTTGTATCATTCGCCGGACATATTCTTTGACAAGCTAGGTTTCTTAGACTGCGAAAGTTGATTTACTATAACCTAGTGAACTGTATCGGAACCCGCTCGATCTAATGCTTGATTTAATCACCTAGAGACATACCAAAAGTTTAGCGACTAGGTAGATTAACAAAGGAACCGGAGCCTCGAAAGTGGAATGGTTTTATATTCGTGATCTGTGTTCTAGACGGTTTTAATATCCCAATATCCCTACATCAATTCATCTATCATTGTTTCATTGATCATTGCTTGCTTCTCTGCGATTAGCCCCTGTTGACCTAGCGCTTCTTCCCTTATTGATTTACAACCTATTTACTTGCTAGTTCTAGTTACAATTACAACCTCAATCATACTTTTGTTTTAGCTTGATCCAAAATCCATAGTTTCAAAGTGTACTCAATAGCCAGTCCTTGTGTTCGATACCCATACTTCCGCGATCTGTGCACTTGCAGAGGTCTAAAGAGTTTGGTAAAACCTGACTCACATCACTACTTCGAGAATGATTATTTTGCTGGACCTATAATTACTAACTGGACTAGCAAGAGAGATATAAAAATCCTGTGAAGTGATTAGTCGGATATGCTTGCGATGTTGCTGTTTTTGGTTAATTCATCATGGGCATATAAGGGCAAACGAGGTCTGAGGATTGGTGTATGGTTGCATATGATTTGTCCTAGCTGAAAACTCACTCTCACCAACACCATGTCTCTCGTGGCACTTAGTTCATGTCATGTGGACATGTTTTCTGCAGGAAGTGTGGTGAGAAGTTTATGCCTGTCGACAAAGTCTGTCTTGTGTGTGACAAACCTCGCAAGGATAGGAACTTGGTTGGGATAAAGAAAGGAGGCACCGGTTTTGCTGAGCACGATGATAATCTGGAGGCTAAGGAGTACAAGCATTTGGGTAGTGGCTCTGATTTAGGGCTTGTGAGGCCGGTTAAGACATGATGAAACTTGAAACCATATGAAAATGTTGAGTTACAAGAAAAGAGTAACTTGATCAAGAAAAGAGTCACTGCGTTTTAAAATTTTGACATTTTGTTGTAACTGGGTTGTGGAAAATTGATTCTCAGAATCTCAGTTAGTTATGTTTAATATTCTACAAAAATATTAAGTGAATGGTTCACGATTCTACATTCTCAGCTTACCCTTAAGTAATTTAAATGTGATCCTATTCGAGAAATGAAGTTTCAAGTTATACTTATAGGTAATGTATATGATGTGGATTAGCATTTTATACAGGACATTTATCCTATTGACTTCATTGAGACAATGAGACTATGTATGTTGGGAGATCATAAATTTCCTTTATCTTTGCTGATGTGATCGTCCTCCTCGCATAAAACATTTCCATTCCCATTTTGGGCGGAATCGATCTACTATTTTTTTGATACCAGTTAGTAATGTATCAATCCAAATTTGCAAACTTTATCACTGCTTCCCGTTTTTTGTTTGTTCCTTAGAATCCTTTAGTTTTTCAAAGTTTAATTTACGCTTTTCTGTTTTACGGTACACTTCAATTTCACATATTTTCACTTCCATAAACAGGTTCTTTACAAATAGACGTCATTCCGTAGAACACACACTACTATCTGAATTTGACATTATTCATTGTACATTTTACTATTTTAGGATTCACCTCTTACACGTAATATTATTTAGATTTTAAATTTTAACATAAACAACATTCCAACAAAATATACATTCAATAGACGTTCAAAAAAATATATATATATATATATATATATATATATACATTCAATAAATAACCATAAGCAAATACAAAATTTATAATAGAAGAGGTATATTGAATGCAAACACTGAAATTTTTTAATTGTAGATGCCACATGTCATATTCATATCAAACAAAAAATGCTGACATGTGAAACTAAAAGATCCAAAACTTGAACCATTTCTTCTTGTAGGGAGAGTTTTTTTCAGATGAATGCGACCGAGTGAATTTTAAAATGTAGGGTTTCACTTTATGTACAAGATTAATTTTGAGTAAGATAAAGAAGATGAAGAGTCACATTTAGATATAAATAATAAAATTTTAAATTTTAAAAATGAAGTACATATGTCATATGTCATGCTTTTATGAAGTGAAAATGATGAGGTGTCATTCTTATGGAGAGAGTTATCCTCTTATTATAGATAACTATGATTATATTCTAAGCAATATTTTGTCACTGAAAAACTAGACATGGGCATAATGTGTACTCAGATCGGTTCCGGGTCTAGAAGGTTTTTTATCCATATGGGAACCGTGTCCTAATCGGTTCAGATCCGGATCGGTTCCTCTCGAATCCGGGTCGGTTCTGGGTACCCAAACTTTAGCTATAAAAGAAAAAAAAATGAATTTAAATAAAATTGAGTTAAATTTTATAAAACATATTAAATATTACAAAATATAACTAGATATATTCTGATACATTAGATTTTGACAATGTTTTTAAAACAAGACCGGAGTATGAACCGGAAAAGCCTTTGGGTCATGGGTCAACACGGTCTAACCAGTTCAACCGGATTTCCAATATATATTTTATTATACTTATATATATTGAAATTAATAGTTGAATATACATAAGTCATCAATGTGAATATGTATTTGCTATTTTAACATTTTTACTAGGAGAAAACCCGCGCAATGCGTGGATTTATATATTAATAGTATTTTATTAGTTGCTTTTGATGTTAGAGTGGAATCACTTAAAATAATCACACCTAGCCTAAGTTCCTATAAGGTGTAAAATAATTTAGGTGTGAATATATAAGATTCTAGGAGAGAACCCGCTCTACGCGCAGGTATATTGTTCTACAACTTTTGTTTTAAAAGTATGAGGACATTATGAATCTTTATCATTCACAGGACATCGACGAAGCCAAAAATTGCCTCGGACATAGATGAAATGGAGAGAAAGAAAAATATAAGAAATTGCAAACATCAGGAAAGGAAACAATGAAAAATAGGCATTGTCACTACAAGAAACTTATTTTTTAGTGTCATTTTTTTAAAAGTTAGTATCATTTTATAAATGATACAAGAATTATAGCATCACTTGTAAAAATGACACTAAGTTTTTTTTGCATCACTTTTACAAATGCCATGAAAATTACATTTTAGTATAATTTAGTTACAAGTGATGCAAAAAAAAAAAGAGAATAAGATCATTTGTAAAAGTGATACAAAACAGAGATTAAGATCACTTGTAAAAATGATGCAAACAAAATAGATTAATATCATTTGTAAAAGTGATACAAAAAAAAGATTAAGATCATTTGTGAAAATGATACTAAAATTGAGGTTAAAATCATTTGTAAAAATGATACTAAAAAGAGATTAAAAAAAAAATCTTTAATTACATATTGTCAATGCAAAATATCTTCATATTAACCAACATATCTTTAATTACATATACACAATACAAAATAAAACAATGTGTTGTATGTCTCATCTCTTCTCCTTTGTATTTTTCTTCATGTTTACTATGCCCTCAACAAAAAAATACAGAACAAGAGCTAAGGCTATTTGCAACCTAGAATAAGACTATTTGCCTACATTTGCAATCCGAGAATAAAGGATGAAACCAAGACCAAATCAGATTTCATCATAACTTAATAAGGATCAAATTGCATCATAAGCTCAGCTCTAAGTTAACCCTAATTTCAACACACAAAGATAATTAGAAGGAGAAAGTTAACCCAGCTCATACAGAGAAAGTTAACCCCAAGCTCAGCGCATAAAAATTACCTAAATGTTTTGCTGTAATGAGTTAGCGTCTTGTCTCAGGATTTAAAAGATCTCCCGATTTGCTTCTTTTTATGGAGATTTGACTTCAGATGTAGCATTGCTAGTACCATCACCACTTGATTCTTCGGATTGTTTTGCCTGTTAGTAAAAACATTACACTCTAAATAGGCTGAATATAATATCATACTCTAAATAGTCCTGGAAAACAAAAAAGAGACAGAGACTATAAGCAGAAAAATGTTTCCAGTGACGGTAAGCAAGGCAACACAACGAGCATAGATCATTTCATTCACATAGAACAGACACGTCTAGGAAAATAATAAGAAGTTCAAATGGTGTGACCTTACCACATCTCCAGTAGCTGGATAAACAGGATGAGCAACATGAGATTAAATGAAAAAGTGCCATATCACTCCCATTTGTCAATCAAAACTTGTTACCTGATTATAAACTTCAGAAAAAAATTTGTTGCCTACTCTTGAAGATCCAAAATTGTACATGGTAAGTGGTAACAGTGATTGCTCCACGTCTAACAAGCATACACAAAATATACTGATAAAATGCTCATCAAGCTGCTTGTGATGTAAGAAGTAGGGACTTGTCAAAAGCACTTACTTAGCCAATTGGCTTGACGAAAGTTCAATAGCCAAGAGTGTAGCTACTGCACTACCGAAGCTAGGACCACTCACATAAACATGCCATTCATCTTATCACTCAGCAGCATCGTCTCTGTAAGCATATGCATAAAAAAAGATGTCTAATCACACACCTCGGAAACATACATAAAAAAAAAAATGTAGTCTATAACGAAGTACTCCAAGAAGACGATAATATGGCCCTATAAATGCAACCATTTGAAACAAGAGGTTGAGCAGACTACATGAAACACGAGAAGCAACCTACATGTAGCCCATTCCCATTGACATGGAGTACTGTTTGCGAGCAACCCTAACATCGAAGTAAATAACGCCATGGTTAGTTCTACGGATGCGTTCAGAGAATGATCAGGAAAAAGATTTCGGGAGTCTTACCTTCTGATGAAGAAGAAGCATGACAATCCCATTTCCCGTTGAATTTCCGTGGCTCCATAGACGCAGGAGGGGAGCAGTGGGACCTAACAGTAAATCTATGAAATTGACGGAGGAGGGTAGCGGAGGAAATGGAAACTGTGAACCATGGCTGGGGCTGGCGAGAAGAGCGAACTGTGTTCGTCAGGAGAGAGACCGAAGGGTCGTCACCTCTGAGGAAGGAAACTTGTTTGGAGCGAGGAACAATTGTGGGGATGAGAAAAACGGGATCTGAAGGCTGGAGCTATACAAAGGGAGATAAGATTTGAAGGCGAATACTTGGGGGAGAGGAAGACGGCCATTAAGTGTCGGAGGAGCGACCATTGTAACGGTGGAATGGGGGATGCGAGGAGTCCCTCGAAGGAAGGGAGATGTGAAGCCGAGATTTGACGGACACAAAGTGTTTTTCTTATAAACCCAAAACGACGTCGTTTCCTTTAAGTCGGGGTGAATTTTTTTAACCTAAAACCAAAACGACGTCGTTTTAGAAGCAGGTAGGAGAGGCGCAAAAACGACGTCGTTTTGGTGTTAGGGGAGAAAAAAAAAAGGGTGCCACGTATGAGGACATTATGAATCTTTATCATTCATAGGACATCGACGAAGCCAAAAATTGTCTCGAACATAGATGAAATGGAGAGAAAGAAAAATATAAGAAATTGCAAACATCAGGAAAGGAAACAATGAAAAATAGGCAATGTGTTGCTTATCAATCTTTGTATCACTCTTCATGTGAGTAATCAAACTTAACCGAATGTGACTCAAGATCGATCTCTCCTCCCCTTTAGCTTCCTCGTTTCTTCTTCGTCTTCTCATGACGCAAACCCCTAAAACAAAAACGAAACATTCAGAGATCAAAAACACGAAACCTAAATCAGTTTCTTTAGTTTAGTGCAAAGGCTGAGGAGCTTTACCTTCCCCTGACTTGCCCTAGAACCTCTTGAGCTTTAGCCCCATAACCAATATGAGCACCATCATGTACGACACAAAGACGTCAACTTCAATTAAAGGCATTGCTATAAACAATGACTACTACAGGGGAGAAATGGAGATCATATACAACCTTTGCCCAATAAGAGTTGTCTTTAAGCCTATCGTCAGCGAACACAACCTCCTTAATGTTCACTCTCTGAAACAGTTTCTTCGGCAGTAAAATATGTTGAAATCCCCAATTTGAAGTTCAAAATACGTGATATGTTCATCCCCAGTTTCATGGTAAGAGCTACATCTTACCAAATATGTAATAGAAATCATCAACATTCACATCTTTGGCAAGGTTTTTGATATATAGCACAAGCGATGGATTCCCAGCTGTGTAGTTCTGCACACAACAAAACCAAAAATCATTTTCCTCTTAGTGAATATGTTTTGCAAAAATATTAAAACCTCAATGGAAACCTAGTGTAGGTGAAAATGTTCTTCCTTCATGAAGGGGAAAAATATTAATGTGTTCTTTGAATAAGTGGTATTCAATGGAAACATAACTTAAAGAGTATGAGCAGAAAAACTTACTGAAGGTGAGGAGGAACCAGATAGTTGATGCCGAGTTTCAGAGCTATCGGTTCACCAGAAAGTATCTGCCCTGATTTTGAATCATTGCTGCTGCTGCTGATATTGTAGAGAATGAGTAGTGACCATCTTTGGAAGATTCTTCATTTTGCCGAGACTTCTTGTTCTCAACAGGTTTATTGGCTCTCTGCACCTGTAGAACCTTACCAAGAAACCTCAGCCTGCCCAATCATAAAGTGGTGCAAATAGCTCGATCATTGTCCTCATCAATCTGGGAATGTTAATGAAAGATGGTAATTCCAGTGGAAGAAACTGGTACCCATTTAACTGGCGATGTGCTTGATAAGCAAAAGCTTCATTCTTCAAATCCACAAATGCAGCGTTCCTCAATCTGTGGCAAAGATTTATATGTCAAGTTTAGGCTAATTTTTCTTCTTCTCGAGTAGAGAAAAGTGTTTTGCATCTTTCAGCTCCCAGTATCTTCTACAAGAATCCATAATTTATAAACCTTCTAAGTAACTTTAATTTCCAACTAAACCCGAAAGAGAATGTTGCTGGATTTTTTTACCTTCCACTGGAGCAAAGACGAACCCCAGAGGCTCCGTACTGAAAACTATAGTTCCGGATTTACCGTCAAAGCTGTCACCGTCAACCGTCACCATCAACCGTCAAGATGATAAACTATGTTGCGGCTCTACCGTCAACATCCTGCAACCAGAAATAGTATCAGTGATGAAAAATGAATGCAGGAGGTCTAATACCTTGTCGCTGTAAAGACAGATGGAGAGATAGAAAACCTGGTGAGCTGCGAAACGGGCGTTGATTCCAACACCATTGATTTCCTTTCCTTGGACGTAAAGCCTTCTCACAGATGGACCCATTGGCTTAGGGAAAACAGCTACAACTCTGATGTTCTTTGGGAAATCGAGTCCATGGACTGTAAAAGCCCTAGTCTACATTTTCATAGGAAAAAGAAACAAAAGAAACCAAGTTAGGACATGGCCTTAAAGTAACATCAGAAAGCAAAGATGAAGCTAATAAATAAAAGTATGAATCAGTAGAGACTACCTTAACAACAATGTCATACTTTGCCACCACAAGTGAATCTCTTAAATTCTAAGCTTGAGCAGGGACTTGCACATAGATATCAAATTTAGCACAAGACATGCAGAAAAGAAAAGAGCATGCCTTTCATCTTTTTCATTCCAAGCATAAAACTTTTTTTTTGTTCATAAGCAATTCCATCTACATAGCGTAAGCACCAAAAACGAAGCACATTGATAACATGTATTAACTTTAACAATCAGCTAAAACTGGAGTTTAAGCAATTGGGGAAAGCACAAAAAAAAAGAAAAGGGACCCAAACAAAAAAGTACCTGTTATCCCCATCTAATCACACCAATCTGCTTGATCCCCTTGAAAGCATCAGGAAGATGCTTGAATAAATCCCTTCCTCCTCTCACAATGTACTGAACCAAAAAAAAAACAGTAACAATCACTCAAAACATCATCCACCAGACACAAACTTTTGCCATAGAGTGCTTGTGTCAATGCTCTTTACTTGTTTTCAATAGTCGAGAGTAAACAAAACTCATATTCAGTAAAACCTAAACATAGCAGCATCATCTTGTCAAAAAAAAAAAAGCATCACAACAGTGGGTTCGGTCACCCATTTTCTTCTTTTTTAGTTTGTGCTGCCTCTTGCGCATAAGACTGCAAGAGTACATACTTTTCTCATAGCTAAGCAAGTAGTAATAAGAGAGTTTGAATATCAAGTTCATTCAAAAATTGAGCCCTTAGCCTCTCGCATTTTCATATACTTTTAATCATAGCGCCTTAGAAGACGGAGACGTAGAATGTCCCTATTCAATACCTGTAGGATAAGATAGCAGACGTGTTGCTGAAATCAGCTTTAGCAAGTGTCCCGTCGAATGGCCCTTTTCAATACATGTAGGATGAGGTAGCCTACAAAAATGCAGAAGAGACTATAGTGCAGAAGAGGATAGATAAGCGCACTGATAAGTTGCGGTTGGATGTCATGTGGAATCAAAGAGAGAACAATTTGTCTTGTCAATCTGACTTATATACACGAAATCAAGTAAAAGGAAAAACAATCTCGTGAATGAGAAACTCAATCAAAAACATATGCTAACCTTTGTATCAGTTTCATCCATGAGCGGTTCTTGGATTTCCAGTTTCTGGAATGTAGTGCTATGTAAAAGACTAATTATGATCAATAAGAACACAGCCATAGTCAAATACACGCTCAGTAGGGAGTAGGGACCAACTGATAGAAATCAAACCAAATATCCCTGGTAGACATTGTCCACACAAAGCTCTCGCAGTATTCCTTTCAAGAATCCCTGGAAAAAAAAAAGAGTTTCAATCAAAACGTTGAAGTGTTCTGGATATGAGTCTTAAGAAGAGAGAACATACCTCTGGTTGGTTGGTTTCTTGAAGAAGCTGCTTCCATGTCCGTTTCGGTTGTCAGTATCTTCACTTCCACCTTACCACGACTGCTTCTACTCCTCCATTTAAGCTTCACTGAAGCAGTCTTCTTCTTTACCTGTTTCATGGAGGAACAGTGTAATAAGAGTAAACCATTCACATAACAGAACCGATTCTCTGGAAATCTAAGAGACAGAGAAGCAAAACATTACCATCACAGGATTGGAGATCAAGTGTAATCCACAGCAATTCTCAAGAGCCTTTTCAGGTAATTTCAAAGAAAAGAAGTTTGATCTAATTAGCTTCTTATAATGGTAAAAAGAAAGACTATGGTTTTCCAAAAAGGGAAACGTGAAATTGAACCAACCTGTGTGTGTCTAGGCGTCTAGCTTCAGCCACATGTTTTCTGTTCCTCTCTTGACAAAGCTTTCCGTATTCTTCAATGCCACAGTGTGGTCTCATCTCGAGTTTATCTGTTAATGTTCCTTCCACAGCAACTTCACCTAATACCAATTTATGAAAGATATGTCATCAAGTGATGATAATTCATGTCTATGAAACTATAAACACATAAACCAAAGCCAAAGACCACACCTTGATTTGCTTCAGAGAAGATACTCATTGGACCACGAAAGTCTTTGGATTTGTTCACAAAATAGAGCTTAGAAACGTTCCATAACTCAGCACCAAGGATCTCCATAGTCAACTAAAACAGACCACCAAAAACCAATAAACCGAACACATCAATATTAGACTAACAAACGATGCAAGCTATGACATTTCAGAAGCTGAAGAGACTACAATCAAACGATGTAAATCCATGAAAAAATTAGGTTTTACATCGACGAATTGTTCAAAATCCAAATCTGATTCCGTGCGATTCCTAAATTTAGTCTGACCTGACATAAAAGAAAAGATAAGAAAGAGTGGAGGATGCGTTGAATTACCTCAGGAGACAAATCGGAACGGAGGAGATTGACTGAGTCAGTATACTTCGCCATGGGAACAAAATCTGAAGAAGGTAGCGCCATGCCTTGACGACTCTTGGTGGACACTGGACACTTCATTAGCCAAACCATTTGGTCGGCTTTTTCAGTTTCTAGGCAAAACTATCATAAAAAAAAACCCTCCTTTTTTAGCTTGGAATCTCTCTTGATGAGAAGAATGAATGATTAAAGTTAAACTCAATTTTGATGAAGAATCGGATTTGGGAAACTCATAAGATACGCTTGGGAGTGAATCTGATTTGAGGAATAAATAGATGATTTGAAGATTTTGAGGAAGATAAATCAAAGAATTGGAAGCGTCAGAAGAAAAGCGTCTCAGAAAACGTCAAAAGAGATGGAAGGAGATTGAGTTTTGAGACTTATGCCACGTTCAAGACATCCTGCAGCCAGACCCACCGTCTCGGCGGAGAAGGAGGCGAGAATACGTTTGTGTGAAATTAATTTTTTTTTTCAAAGAAAAAAACTAAATTCAAAACGACGTCGTTTTGGTGTTAGACAAAAATTAAAAAAAAAAAATTGAGAATGCTAAACGACGTCATTTTGGCGTTGGGCGAGAAAAAAAAGAAAAATGGCACGTGTCCCAGCTGGAGAGTGTCCCAAGCCTTATTAGTTACTAGTACTAGGAGAGAACCCGCGCAATGCGCGGGTTTATTAAACCAAATATATTTAATAAGTTGTCTTGGTTTAAAGAAGTTGAGAAAGGTACAGCTGAGCAAGAGAGGCGCCTAGAAGCTCACAAAGCATTAACTTGTCATACCAAGAAGGAGTATGAGCAGCATGTTCTTGAGCCAATTGCCGCAGCTGATTCACTAATGAGCATTTTGCATAACACACAGGTAAGTGAAGTTCAATACTTGACTTACTATTGGGATCATTTCATGATACATCAGAAACTTCAGAATTTTGTTTTTGAAATTCCCATTTCAAGTATAATGCACTTGTTCTTTTCCTTGAGTGTCAACAAAAGATCAGGTTTTATGGAGAAGCATAAGGAATTGGAAGAAGCAGCATCAAAGAACAACACTTTCTCATCTCACGTTCATTTCATTCCCTGTGCACCTATGGTTCTTTCTTTGAGTTCTCTATTTACCAAAGGCGAGGACAAACTGAACCAAAATCAAGAGGAGTGGCTCACATGTTCCAATCCAATTCCAGAGAAACCACCAGACTCTTATCTGCGATATCCAAAGAAGAAAACCCAAGGTAAGTGATAAACTCTTCCCAAGGGGTCGACACTCTAGAGTTGGTAAAAGGGATAAGCCTTCATTCAACAGGCTGGGAAGCCACGAAGAACAAGGATATGTGGATTGAATGGCTGAACAGAAGCTGCGGAAGGCTCCTGATATACCGGCGGATCGATTCTCTGGATATTACACACCAAAGGGGATCGACAGCTTGCTGGATATGACACACCAACAAGGAATGGATAGAGATGGATTGAGAGACGCCACAAAGATCTGTGAAAGGATCTCTGATAAGTCTTAAACAGCCAGGAACATAGATATGACACACTATGAACATGGAGTTCCAAAAATAACAAGACATCACATCTTGAAGGAGAGAAACTTCTCTGATTTTTACTGAAAACAAACTTATTTTTATTCATGATTTTGAGCTCTATTTATAGAGAATTACAACTCATTTTCGTCATAACTAAGAGCTTAACATGCAGAGCACCTAGAGAAATGAAGTTTGACTCAAATCTGCATGTAAGAGAGAGAAATAGACATCATTAAATGTGGTCTTTGTTGAGGCTCGAAATATGATCTTCCTTGATAGCTTTTGGGCTGAATCAAACTTCATGGGCTTCTCTGATGGATCTAGTTTGTAGAATGACTTGGTTTGTAGCTTAACTCGTTCTGGCCTGGTCGGAATCCTTCATTGAATGCACATAGGACAAAATCGAGTAAACCGGAAATCACCTGATTTGTAAATTGAATAACTCCTTTGAACGTTTGAACTCTGATTACGATGATTATTCTTTGAGGTGTTCTGGAATCGAGCTGAGTACAATCTCCAAGTAATTTCGTTTGTTGATTCGTCGTGGTTGAGAAGATACGCATCGAACAGTGAACACATGTCCTTTCGGGTCTTGTTGAAGTCTTGCATCCGGTTTGATTGAGCTCTGATTCAGCTGCTGGTTTAATGACCTTATCATCATATTTTTGCTACCCTCAATAATCATATCAGTAAGTATCTAGATTCCCAAAGGCGTATGAGACCTAACTTGCTCTCTTTTGGTACAGGTCAACTAGTTTTGAGGACAAAACTTTTTCAAGAGGGAGGGGATGATATGATCATGCCCAGCACTGAAGACATGGAACTTGAAGCTGAGCTTGAACCTGATGGAGCTAAACATGTGGAGCTGGAACCTGATGGAATTAAAGACATAAAGCTTGAGGTTGAGGAGAAACTTGATGTCATGGACAAACTTGTTGCCAACCAGGAGCTTGCATCCAAGAAGAAGCCTTTAGCTGCGCCAGTGGAACTGGTTACTCATTCTGGAGTTAATCTTGAGCCAAGATGGAGAAGACATGATCCTAAACCTCCCTGATTTTTGATCCAAGCTCAAGAGATCAGCAAATGGGCATGTGTCTCATTTGTACTTTTTTCCCTTGTCAAGTTTTGTCCCAATGGGTTTTCTTGACAAGGTTTTTAATGAGGCAAATGGGTCACATACAAATAACCCATTTAGCTGATCAAGACCAAGGCCCATTTCCCTTCTTCAACTCTAAGTCTTGCCGCCCAGGGTCTCTTTTTTATTCAAACTTTGTCTTTAATGTTTGTGTGTTTCCAAGATGGTCATGGAGTCTGTTCCATTGACTCATCTCTCTTCTTCTCTCTTCTCTTCTCTCCCTTTATATGTTCTGGACGAATTTCCTTTTCTCTTTAACCTACTTTTGAATGAAAACCTTTTCTCTTTGTTTGATCAAAGTCTCTCTTAGTGTGTTGTATCTAAGGCAACCTCTCTTAGTGTGTTATATCTAAGAAATCCCTTTTAGATTGTTGTGTGTTATATCAACAAGATAGAAGGTGGCGTTGGAGATCTCTTTCCATCAGATCTCTGGTATAAGCCATTCATTCCCTTCACTCCATTCATCCATTCCTTCCATTCACTCCATTCCATCTATTCATTCCATCAATTCCACAAGTCCGACCATTCCATCACTCCATCTCTATCCTTACTTGCTTCAAAGTGCCGATCTTCAATCAGGGGTCTATCACCAGACCTGCGTCATCGCCGCAGCTTCTCCGACCGTCGAATCCAGCCTCCCGCCCCAGAGCGAGCCGCCTCGAGAGTTGGTCAGCCAGGAGAACATCGACGACCGGGATCCAGAACGCTGTGTTGGGATCGGCACGGAGATCTCGACCGGGTTAAGGAACGAACTACTAGCCTTCTTGCGGGCGAACGCGTCCACCTTCGCCTGGAGCACGGATGACATGGTCGGCATCAACCCAGCCGTCACCAGCCACGAGCTAAACGTCGACCCGACGTTCAAACCGATAAAACAGAAGCGGAGAAAGTTGGGCCACGATCGCGCTCAAGCGGTGAACGACGCGGTCGAGCGTCTATCCAAGGCGGGTTCAATAGTCGAAGTGCGTTACCCGGAGTGGCTCGCGAACCCGGTCGTGGTGAAGAAGAAGAATGGCAAATGGCGTGTCTGCGTGGATTTCACCGATCTCAACAAGGCGTGCCCCAAGGATAGCTACCCGCTTCCGCATATCGATCGGCTGGTAGAGGCAACGGCGAACGAACTGCTATCCTTCATGGATGCTTTCTCGGGCTACAACCAGATTCAGATGCACCCGGACGATCGGGAGAAAACAGCTTTCATAACCGATCGGGGGACCTACTGCTACAAGGTTATGCCGTTCGGCTTAAAAAACGCTGGAGCAACGTATCAACGCCTGGTGAACAAAATGTTCGCGGAGCAGCTCGGCAGCACCATGGAGGTCTACATCGACGACATGCTCGTCAAGTCGCAACGCGCCGAGGATCACATCGGACATCTCCTGCTTTGACAGTCTCAACGAGCACGGCATGAAGTTGAACCCGACAAAGTGCACCTTCGCAGTCACCTCGGGAGAATTCCTTGGATACATCGTCACGAAGAGAGGTATCGAAGCGAACCCCAAAAAGATAGCGGCCGTTCTGGAGCTCCCGTCACCAAAAACCACCCGCGAAGTACAACGCCTGACCGGCCGAATCGCCGCGCTCAATCGATTCATCTCGAGATCAACGGATAAGTGCCTCCCCTTCTACCAGCTGCTCCGAGGCAACAAGCGCTTCGAATGGGACTCCAAGTGCGAGGAGGCTTTCCAGGAACTGAAGCTCTACCTCTCCACGCCCCCGGTCCTTTCGAAACCCGAGCCCGGCGAGACGCTCTACCTGTACATCTCGGTGTCCAGATCGGCAGTCAGCGGCGTCCTAATCCGTGAAGACAGAGGGGATCAGAAGCCGATCTTCTACGTCAGCAAGACCCTGGACGATACGGAAACGCGCTACCCAACGCTGGAAAAGCTAGCCCTCGCAGTCGTCACCTCCGCTCGCAAACTCCGACCCTACTTCCAGTCTCACTCAGTAGTCGTCCTGACGAACCTCCCGCTACGTACGATCCTGCACAGCCCGACGCAATCCGGCCGAATCGCCAAGTGGGCAGTGGAGTTGAGCGAGTAGGACATCGAGTACCGTAACCGAACGTGCGAAAAATCCCAGGTCCTGGCCGATTTCCTGATCGAGCTCCCCCCGGACATGATCGGCGCCGAGCCCAACGTAAGAGTGATTCGCGGCATCTTTATGGGATGAGTACAAGTAATAATTCCCTAAGACAACTAGTGTTGCAAGTGCACAACATATAATTGTAGTATTTAGGGGTCGAACCACAAGGGATTGGATTTCACACATTACATAATCATAGAGTTTAAATGACTAAGCTAAATCAAAAGATGCAAGGGTTTGTGTTTGTTTAGAACACGCAAAAGAAATAACAATGCAATTCTATACAAGCAACATTATTGAACTATTGAAAACTCTTTTGAAAACATGAGCCAAGTCGATTGAAAAGTTTGTTAAAATCCGATTCTTTTGAACTCAAAACACTAAGGAAGGATTATTCCACTTTCGTGGTTCCAATCCCCTATGTCTCTTAAACCAATGGGCTCAGCTTTCGTTGGTCATTGTAGAGTGAGACATGCATTACATCCAAGTAATGATTGTTCACAAAACTCTTTAGGTCTACTTTCGTAGCCTAAAACGATTTGCCCATCAAATATTGTGTCCGGAGATATAACAAGCTTTTGGAGAGTATATCAACCTAAAATCAAGTCACTAGTTAGCTACTCTAGCAACAAGCATTAAGCATAAATAAAGATGGAGAACCATAGGGTTTCCCCTTTTAACAATCGATTCAAGATGGCCATTATATCACGTCCTCATTGGAAGGATCCATAATTCAACAATGAGTCTTAGATAGTAGATGAAGTCTCATGAATCCTTAGAGAGAGAGGCGGCGGAATATAGACTAAACCACGCCTCACCCTTAGGGAGAAATCTCTACTTCTAGACTATATAAATTGAAACATGCAAGCTATATACAAATGCAAAAGAAGAAAAGAAAGAAGAAGGAGACCACCTAAGTGGCTCCGAACTTTATTGAATAAGTGTTTCTTGTTATGCGGCTGGTGATTCTTATTACAAGAGGCTAAAAGCAAGTATATATAGGTAGAGAGCGGGTCTAGGTCGGCAAAGTTGAGCGCGCGCAGAAGAGGAAAGTTTCCATTTCTCTTTAGCCGCTTGAGCTTGCTCTCCAAGTTCTTGAATGGGCCGCGTTCAGGCCAATGGAAGCTTCTGGATTGAGTTATGCTAGTGTCAAGATGAGCCAAGGCCTTGGGCGCGGTATCTCGGGCCTCTTGATCCATCAAAGTCTCCATGGGCTCTACTTAGGCGCTCGTCGGACATGTCTTGGTAGAAAATAAGTTCCGGTCCAACGAGTGATCCAAATGACCTCTTTCCACTTCGCCGCGGGTCATGACTCAAATATCTATCTTTCCATATAAGAAACATGACTTTTGGACGTCGGGAAGGCATGAATATGCGGTCGTACTTCGGATGCTCCGGTTTGGTCTTTAGCGAGAAATGTAGATTTGGTGCTCTAGACTTGGGAACTTGGTGATTTGACTCTTTTTGCTCCATTTTGACTCTTCTTTGCTATTTTGACCTGAATGATGCTCAAAACCAGAATATACAAGAAAACTACCTCTTGGGCATAAAAACCACATTATTTGTATTAAAAACATAGTGAAAACCTTGATAAAAACATGAAAGATATGGGTATATCAACTCCCCCAGACTTAGCCTTTTGCTTGTCCCCAAGCAAACTAAGAGAGGAAAAGAGGTTTGAAAACGCAAGAACTCTCAAATCATTAGGAAATCCGGGTTGGCTTGGTTTTAGTAATCCACATGAAAGTAGTAAAGGCAAATATTTGAATTAAGAACAAGAGTACATACCATGAGTTTTGCGATTTTTCCAAGGCGGCCCACCTCTCTTTGGACAATCCAATTCACCCTCCTTGACTCCTTTCATTTCTAAAGGTGTGGTCTCAACTAGGGAGTATCGATCAGCCGGCTTTAGACTCTTTCTCATCCCCTTGTTTTGGCACTTGTCTTTTTACTCCATGTTTCTCCTCTCTCTCTTCTCACTTCTTTGAGTTGATTCATCCCTTTTTTAGGGTAGCGAAGTATTTTTTTATTCAACTCCTTCTCTTTATTATAGAGGTTTTGCTTGGATCTTCCACAGACGCGAGTATTGATGGTGTTTGCCACCGAATCCCCGGTTGCTTGGATTCATAGGCCTTCCATAGACGCGAGTATTGATGGTGTTTGCCACCGAATCCCCGGTTACTTGGACCTTACGCTTTTTCTTTAAATTTGAAGGGGAGAGAGAGGGAAGCACGAACTCACTAAGACTTTTTCATTTGATGGAGAGGATGAGGAATCATGCCATTTGTATGCCAAGCCCCTAGCTGAGAAGATTAAGTTCATTAAGGGCGGAGTCAAGAGTGGATCCTTCTCAAGTCCTTGGAGGTGTGGGCGTTTTTGGTAGATCGATCAACTCATAGTGTCCCTGTGGTAAGATGTATTGCCAAGACTGCTTCAATGGTCACTTAAACGTTAGCACAACAATGGTTAGATCCAAGATAAGGTCATAATCCTTTGACAAAATTTTGACTCAATAAAACGACTCAATGAAATTCAAAAAGAACAAACTTGTTAGTAATCCCCCCAGACTTAACTTGCACCGTCTCGGTGTAAGAAAAATCCAATTAAGAGAGGTAATGATAAATAGAATGGAAAAGTTAGAGTTTGTAGAAAATTGTACCCAAATTTTTGGCCTTTGATGTGAAGATCGGTTGTGCATAGAGGTTGCTTCCAGGAATGAACTGACTGGTGCAAACATCATAGCTGTTGGATTTGGTTGGATGAATGTGACAATTCTCCCTTGGTTTCTGTTTTTCGCCTTTTTGGCCGAGACTGGTCCGTTTTGGTCGACCGGATGGTGATGGTATGGACTACAGCTCGAACCGTGAAGATTTCCTCGACCTATCTTGAAATTTCGTCGACCAATATTGTATAATATGGCGACTGGTGAAGTTTGGGGTCGTTTGAACGAGTGGTTTGAGATCTCCTTTGAAAAATTTTCAAATTGGCTCCGGGAACGTCTTCCTTCGGTCTTCTCCAATTCTGCTCGTTCCAATCTGGATTTTCTTCTTTAGATGCGATGTGGAGCTTGATGGAGGTGATTTGAGCCGGTGGCCGCGGTAAATGCCGTGATTTGGATTGTCGGCCATTTTACTTGCTCGCGATCGGCCAAATTTCTCCATCGGCCATCTCTTGAATTGTAAGGAATTCATTGTACTGAAATGAATTTCATCGACCAACCTTATGTTTTGTGGCTCCTTGTGAAGTTTGAGGCGATTTGAACGTGTGGATTCGGAGATCTTTCGTCGTGCGCGCCAATGGCTTCGGGATGTGATTCCTTTGGCCATCTTGTATTCTGTTCGATCGTCTCCTTCCTTTCTTCTTCCTTGGTGTTTTTTGGACTCCAGAGGATCAGTTTCCACCGGTGTTCGCGCCTTCTTGAGGTTTTGAGTTCGTCGGCCATTCTATGCATCGCCGTCGGCCGTATTGAGCTTCCTTCGTCTATCTCACGTACAGGCACTTTTTCGTCCTATCTTTTGGATTTGCCGACCAAAATGATGTTTTGAGGTCGCCTGTGAAGTTTGGTGGACTTCGGTCGTGCCGTTTGGAGATGGTCGAGCATTGTCGCTTGGTTCGTCGATTCTGGCCGAGAGAGTGGTTGTGATGTTGATATCTCCTTATTTACTCGGGCCAATTGAGTTCTGCTTCGACCGAACTGTTTTTCTATCCCTCCTGGATTGAATTGTGGTTGGATTTCCCTCATCTCTCATGTTTGGCATGTAAATCCTCCTTTGGCCGGTTGTGGCTTCCTTGCGCGCCATGTTTGTTTGATATTTTGAACCGGTCTTTCCTGTCATGTTTTATATCTGAAAAACACTAGTAACTCTTTGTTAAACTCTGTCAATGATTGAGATGCTCAAGTTATTTGAACTTCCCAATCAATGACTTGATCGTGACACTACATGTACTTGGGATCTTGATCAGAGATCTAAGTAGTGTTCATGTGTGAAATAATGTAGAGATAATGTTTTTGAGAAATGACATTTGAATGGGAGAGATACTTACCTTTGCCTTGTGCAATAGTGTTCCAATGGCCGGATTTTGTTGTGCCGCGGCCCTTCTTGGATTCTTTGCTTCTTGAAACATGGGTGGGACTTGGGTGGGACTCAAACTAGACTCAATGCTACACTTAGACCAAAGATGGTTGATCCTTGGGCCGATTGTGGCGATGTAGCTTTTCCAATGCATTTTTCATGTAAGCCTCCTTTTTGGTACTTTTTCCTAAAACACTTTTTATTTTATTTTTGTAAAATTTATTAAACTCTCAAAAATTTAAGAGTTATAAATAGAACAAATAAGTAGTTATAAAAATAAAAACAAAAATAAAAAGAGGAAGGGATAAGAAAATGTGGGTTGCCTCCCACAAGCGCTTGTTTTAAGTCTTTGTAGCTCGACTCCTTTGTGTTTTTAGTTAGGTAGGATTGGTGGCTCCAAGAACTTCCTGTTGCCTGATGATTCCAAGTGCATCTTGTCCTGTAGAACTTCCTTGATCAAGTAGCCATGCGACTCTCCTCTTACTTGTGAGCACTCTCCTCCACTTGTGTAGCGAAATCGCTTGGATGAGAAACCGGGAGGTGCAGCATCGTAGAAGGTGTCCTTGTCAACATTGGCTAGAGAGATTCTTCTATTAGGCCAATCCATGATCGCTCCAGCTGTGGCTAGGAATGATCTTCCAAGCAAAAGCTTTAAGTCCTCCGGATCCTTCATGGTTACTACATAGAAGTTGGCTGGAACTATGCAGCTTCTATGCAGCCTGCATAGAAGTTGGCTGGAATTAAATAAGGAATACTTACCAGTTATAAAAAAGAAAGATTAAATTTGTCATAAACGGTTTATGATAAACCCTACTTTTTCTTCTTCCTACACCGCCGCCTCCCATTTCGTGACTCTCTCTCCTCCCTCTTTCTTCTCCTTTCTTTTCCTTCCTTTTCCTCTCTCTTTGCTCAAATTTCTGTAAAATAGTTCTTCCAACTTTGTTTTTCTTTCTTAGATCTAATATTTTTTCTGCCCATATCGAAACCGGGTTTACAAATCAACTCGAACTTGCCGGTTTTCGGGTTTTTTGCTGGTTTTTTTGGTCAATTGCATTTTCGGTTTTTTAATAAAATCAAACTAGGATAAGCACTGGTTTCCGGATAAACCGGTCGGACCGGCCGGTCCAGTCCTATTTTTAATCATTGGATTTTGGTTATTTTGTGCTAAATATAACTAATATATTTGGTTAATAATTGTCATTTTTAAAAATTTAGTTATTTTAAGACTAAACATTTTGAGGAATATAATTATATTTTGGATATTTCGGGTATCCATTCGGTTCTCGGTTCGGTACCGGTTCGGTTCCAATTCTTTCGGGTATAGAAGTTTAGAATCCGTTCGGATATTTATGTATATTCCGGTTCGGTTCGGGATTGAGTTGGTTTTTATGCCCAGGCCTATGAAAAACTATTATGCTCTTTTTATTTTGTTTATGCTTTACTAGAGACACCCTATTTGTTGTTTTGTTTTTCTGCATATCGATAAAGACAACCAAATCTATCGTTAACTGAAGTCTATTGAACGGGAAAAAAACAGTGGATTCTGACGACAAAAAACAATTTTAACGAAACTATAAACGGGGGTTATGTGATAGCTGTATATTTACTTATTACCCAAACATAAGGTTTTTGGTGTTTTTCATTCTACAAAAACAAGAATATGTGTAAATATAGTTTACACAAGGAACTTAAAACAGTAACAACAATTCAGAAACAGCCGATGCCTAAAACTCGTTAGCTTTCCTTCGTAACTCGTTTAACTCGTTCTCGATCTCCGAGTCCTTGAATGGATATCTCGTGCTTGCTGCGACAGTGCTTCTTCCCGGAGGTAGCTCTCCTTTCTGCTTCATATCATATAAACAGAACATGGCTATAAGATGTATATATAATACTAACTCCTTAAGAGTGAAATAGAACATATTTTCAGTAATTTTCGGGGAGACATGAGATTATAAAGTCAAATGAGCAAATAAGATGACAAACCTTTGAGCTTCCGGACAACTCTTTCTTCAAGCTTGCAAGATCATCATCCACAGATGAAGTTTCGAGCATTTGGAACTGAAAATCACAAATAAGAACAAGTTAATGTCAAGATTGTTGTGTACCAACTAACCACAAAAAGTCATTCTTTAGCTTAAATAAAACCAATCCAACATAGTCATTGAAAAAATGATAGATGCAGCCGCAAAATTACCCTAGTCAATGCTAGATTTTACATCTGAGACCAATTTCAAAGGGAAAGATTCTCGTCCTCGTAGGAATACTAAGACATAGACAACTAACCTTGCCCTCGAGTTCATCGGTTCCAATCTGAGTAAGTGCATCTGCTTCAGACTCCATAGCCATCACTGTTATGCATTTTCAAGAATTAGCCTCAACTAGAATCGCCATACATTACAAAGAACAATGTGGAGTACCTTTCTCCTCCATTTTCTCGAAAGCTGAAAGAGCCCCACTTGTATTCACTGTCCCTATCATCTCTTGCACTTTGGTTGCAGTCCTAGCAGGAATAAAAAAACAAAAAAAAGAGAGTTGGTATAATAAATAAATCGAGAAGACATTCTCTATGTACAAGTTTTTCCATAGAAAATTTAACGAAGGATGATGATAGGGAAAATGTTACAAACTTGGCAGTGCGAGCACGTGCAAGGAGTGTATCTTTCTTTGCTTTTGCCTCTTGTATCTTGCTCTCCAAGAGCTGCAAATTAAAGAAAAGGGAAAACAGAGATTTCACAGAAGTCACTTTTCTAAGAACCAAAACTGTCTGAAATACCATTCCTTACGTTACAGATACAAATTTTCCTCAGTCAAAAAGAAAGAAAGTGAAGTGACATACTTATCATGTGAAATTTAGACAGAGGCATCATAAGATAACTATGGTCCCTATCTTTAAGCCATTCTAATGTAATGGTAGCATGTAAGGATTCTTTGTTTTGTTGAATGATGCATTGATGATAAATATTTTTGATTAAAGGCGTAAAGAATCCCACAGTCTATAGTGAGTGAAATATTATAGATAAAAATGGTGATAACTAACCCTTGTATTTGAAACAAGATTGTCGACAACACCTTTTTGCTGATCTAGTTGAGTTTTCAGAGCAGTAGCGTTGTCCTGTTAAGATAAAAAAAGTGAACAAATCTGTAACTTCAAAACCAAAAGTTCTGAGACAAATAGTTTTTTTGTTGTTGACATGTACTTAAAAGATAGATAAAGCATGTATTCAAGAGACTTCAATAGTTGTTGGAAAGGTATCAGCAGGATAAAGATTGAGCTAATATTGCTCATTGCTTTAATCTCTTAAGCCATTTGCAAATGTTATTCAGAAACACGTAATCAGAAGTACATGACAGTAGCTCAAACAACAGCACATCAAAGACGCAACATCCTAATATGTAGAAAACACAGAAGCATTATTCCGACACTTAAACCACCTTAACAAACAAGAGTACATCAAAATATGTATAAACATAGAAGGATCATTTTTTGGCCGCATTGCGTATTTCCAAATTCGTTTTTGTTCTGACTCTCAAACCACCTTAACAAACTCAGCATACAAGATATTTCAAGATAATACTCGTAATTATAAACACTGCATCACTGCAAAGCTCTATTGTATCTATCTCAAACTGATGAACACAACGTTAACATTTCATAAAACTATCTGACGTTACTTAGGGAGTCATGCGGAGAATTACTGTATGCTTAGATATCTAAAGTTTTTCTTTCTGCTTTCATCACCTCCGTTCTAAACTTTGCAGAAAACCTAGAGATCAGCCTCCTAGGGCTCGAAACGTCAAATGAGTAAGTCCCAGGCTTCTTTAATGAACAGAAAACTGGAAACTAAGAGAATGAATAGATTTAACTTACAGCAAAAGACTTTCTTCGTTTAAGGGCTTCACGTGCAAGATTCTCATCTCCTTTTGCAAGAGCAAGTTGTGCTCTTTTGTACCTGTTTAAGCGTTCAACAAGTAAGACTAATCAGCAAAGCGAAGAATTTAAGTAAGAAAGGAAGGGTCCAGGCTAAAAAAAGAAAACATACCAATCATCAGAAGATTGCTGTGAAGCTTTATATTTGTTCTCCAGCTGCTTCTGTGATGCTAAAACCTTCAGGCAAATTGAAAATACACAAGTTAGCTAATCTAAAAATTTATCATCTCTCAGAAAAAAAGAGTGATCAAGAGTAAGAACAATGTACCTGTGCAGTGGCTTGACGCATCTTTGTCAAATCACTATTCATTTCAATGACAGTTTGCTCAAGGATTTTTTCGGGGTCTTCAAAGGAGCTTATAAGAGCATTTGCATATGACTTCGCTTATTTTGAACAAATTCAAACACAAGATCTGATTAATAAAACATATATATGAAAGAAACACACTCTTACCTCTCAGATACAGAACAAGCAAGGTTACAATAAAGTACCTTGACCACTCTAGAAAATCGTTCAAAGAGATTCATCGTAGCTCCATGAGCATTGCACTTGAGTCTGTTTGCACAAGTTAATCTCAGCCCGTTCACTCTCAAAGCTCCACCTTTCATAGAAAAAGATGAAGAGCAACAATAAATTCATTTTCAGACTTAACAATCATACTGAAATTAAGCACAGAGAAAGGGTATTTTGAAGCATGAGAAACCCTAATTATCTTTTCAATTTGGAAAAGGAACGACTCTAACTGAGAAACACACAGCGAAAAAAGCACAATCACTTTCAATTTTACTTGGATTCACTCTCTGACGAATCATGTCCACAGTTTTCGAAACCAATTCCGAGCAATCAAACAACGCGGAAAGCTAATCAGATGAGGCGTTGAGAGAATAAGATGCAAGACGTACCGGAGTTTCCGAAGAAGGATGTTCTGAGGGGAAGTAACCTGAGCGAGCAAGGGCGATTAGAAGTCGAAGGAGAGGAAGTAGCAGTAAGGCGGAGGTAAGGGAATAATCCGGCAACTGGTGAAGCCTTTAGAGCCATTTCAATGGCGGCAATGAACGGGGAGAGTTGCGAGGGATTTTTTTTTTTTTTTTTTTTTTTTTTGTCGATGTGCGTGTCTCCTCTTCGTCTTCTTCTCTTGGTTCGAATATGTTTGATTGGAGTGTTTATTTGTGGTGTCGAAGGCAACCGGATGTTGTTGAGATTTTTTGTTCTCACTTTTTTTTTTTTTTTTCTTTCTACGGGAATAAACGTATTTATATAATTTAATATTTTACAATCACGTAAATTAAAAAAATATAAAGTGATATAGGTTTTTAACTTTTTTTTTTATGAATGACATAGTCGACTATTGAAAATTAGTTTATTAAAAAATTGGAATACTAATTTTTTCTATTGCTGATTTGTTTGATAATTATTTTACTAATTTTGTTAATAACTTTAAAGATTTTCATTTTTTGCTTTACCATTTTTTAATAATCAGAATTTTTATAGATTTTCTTTTATTCATATTATTATATTAAAACATGTACCGATAATGTAAACTGTAAATATGTATATTATCATACACATAGTTTTTTTTTCTTGAAAATAAAATTTTAGAAATGTCAATATTTATAAATATACTAATTGTAAATATGTAAATATCTTATATAATTTTATATAACTAGATAAGGTCCCTTGTATATGCCGATTTTTGTAACAATTTACAGAAAAATATTCAACATAATATGATTATTGAAAATAAGTAAAATCTGTTACTAATAAAAGTTGACCCTATAACTATAAGTATCAAAGAGTGTCCACATGGGATTGAAAAAACTTAAATATGATTAAGCAAATTTCAAAATTTAAATATGTAAGAGATAAAGAAATTAAATATATAGGATTTTAAATAACCAATAGCATCATTCTACTTCATCACTAGATTAAAATTCTATATATCTAATTTACTATAACACAATTTTTTTAATTAAAAATATAATTTCTTTATTTTATAAATATTTAATTAATAAGATTTTCTGAAATGTAAAAAGAAAAATAATTAGTTAATTATAGTGATAATGTGGAATAATACTATTGGCTGTTTAAAATCCTAAATATTTAATTATATGTTTAGAAAACTAGTTAGAAGTTTATTTAATACAAAAAATCTTTCCAAATTTTAATACCTATAGAGATATGCAAGATATAAAGAAAATGTGTATAAGTTTTTACTAACACTAAAAGTCTACTTAAATGTTAAAGACTAAACTAGAAAATTAATTAATTTAAAATAAAGGTATCAATTATACTCCCTTCATTTCAAATTAGTTGTCGTTTTGATAAAATGTATATGCAATTATTTGGATGTATATGGATGTGTTTTGAGTTTAATACATCCAAATAATTGCAGATACATTTTGTCAAAACGACAACTAATCTGAAACGGAGGGAGTATAAATAATTAATAACAAATATAACAATAAAAATAGTTTTATATAGCATATATGAAATTACAAAATTTTACACTAAAATAATTTACAAAATGAATGGAGATATAAAATTTAAAGAGTGGAGAATAACTCAAACTAAGAAGAAAAAGAAGTTGAAAAAAAAAAACAAAAACTAAGACAGAACACAAAGGAAAAGAGATTCAGAGAAGAAACCGAAGAAGAGCGAAAGGTACTAAAAAAAGACAAAGATGAAAAGAGAAAAACCGGAAAAGAATCTCGCGAAGAAAAGAACAAATGACACAAAACAAAACAAGAACAAAATGAAGGAATAAAGAAGAGCGAAGACGAAAAAGAGATTCAGAGAAGAAACCGAAGAAGAGCGAAAGGTACTAAAAAAAGACAAAGATGAAAAGAGAAAAACCGGAAAAGAATCTCGCGAAGAAAAGAACAAATGACACAAAACAAAACAAGAACAAAATGAAGGAATAAAGAAGAGCGAAGACAAAAAAGAGATTCAGAGAAGAAACCGAAGAAGAGCGAAAGGTACTAAAAAAAGACAAAGATGAAAAGAGAAAAACCGGAAAATCTTGCGAAGACAAGAACAAATGACACAAAACAAAACAAGAACAAAATGAAGGAATAAAGAAGAGTGAAGACGAAAAAGAGATTCAGAGAAGAAACCGAAGAAGAGCGAAAGGTACTAAAAAAAGACAAAGATGAAAAGAGAAAAACCGGAAAAGAATCTTACGAAGATAAGAACAAATGACACAAAACAAAACAAGAACAAAATGAAGGAATAAAGAAGAGCGAAGACGAAAAAGAGCAAAGGAGAATATGAGTGAAGATGAATAAAAAACTAAAGAAGAACACATAACACGAAATTAAACATTTCCACTGCCGTGGCTCCGGCTCCTATGATAACTTATCTAATCGCTAAACTTTTGGGATGTCCTTAAATAGTTATGCAACCATCAGATCGAGCAAGCACTGATAAAGTTCACTACGTGTAAATCAACTGTCGCAATCTAAGAAACCTAGTTTGTCAAAGATTATGTCCGGGGAATGATACAACACTGTCGTGGCTCAAATCAACCTAAAATTGAATCACTAGATGTACGTGAAAGAGATTAGCATTAGCAAGTGTGCAAACCGAGACAAAGACTCTAATGATATCCCTAGTTAATTGATCAAATTATAATCAATACATGAACTCTTTGAAATCCTAAAACCTAACTAAACATTTACTAAAATATGGTGCAAGTAAACAAGCAAAAATCAGAGAAAGAAATCATAATATTATAAGGAAATGGTTTATAAAGCTTCTCTATGATACAGAAAGGGATCTTCTCCCTACAGAAAACAATGAGAAGGAAGTAAAACAATGGAGGATCCCTCTAAGGGGAACTCCCTAGTCCGTCCCTCTCTTCTCCTGTGCGGCTGTTGAAAGGATTTTGGTGTGATGGAATGAAACATGTAAATGATATGAGATAGATGCAAACAGCGGTGGAATAAGAATGAGATGGTATGGTGCAATCAAAATCAATCAATTCCTCTATATCATCATAATCATATGCAGTATAAGAGGTTATCAATCCATAAGGGTTTGTTGTCACTCTATGAGAATATGCAAACACAAGAAAGTCAAGTATACAAGGTAAAGATGTATGATTCTAACAACCTAATGAAATGAAAATGCAATGTGACTATGAAACAAGCTAAAAGTGCATGAAATAAACAAGAAACAAGCGGCTCGACTGATGATAGGATTTGTGTGTGTGATATGATGATATGGTATAAAATGTAAATGAGGTGGAATGCAACAGTGGTATATGAAGATGAGATGGTATGATGCAAAACACAAACACAGTCAATCAATTCCCTTAACCATCATAGTCATTGAAGTATAAGGGTATCAATCCATAAGGGTGAAATTGTTACTCTATGAGATATGCAATAACAAGGAAGTCAAGCAGACAGTAATGAGATGATAACTCTAACAACCTAATGAAAAGAAATGCAATGCAATAAAGTAAGAAAGCAGTAAAGCAAGCAGCTCGACCAAGGACTCGAGTCGAGTGGGAACAGAGTAACCAGCTCGATCGAGTTAGGGTCGAGTTAAGTAAAAAGCGATAAAGGCAGGAACTTTAACAAGCTAATGCGAATATTAGGGTCTAAGACAGGGTCTTACAATCAGGGGAAGCTATACTTAATCAATCTTGCTCTCAAACAACTTGTATCAAGGTATCTCTTGATATTGAGCTTCTCAATGCCTAGCTAACCCTTTCCCAAGGTGAAAGCTATCAACCAAGGCATGATCTCAGAAACAGGGGGTTAGCCAGTGAGAATCAAGCCTTGGAGGCCATAGGATCATTGCTCAAACTAATCCATCCAACCCTATGAACTCCATTTCGAGAGCAAGAGTTATTGGAGCTCTTAGTGGACCTTTTCCAAGCGATTTCCATCACTTCCATGTGGAGAATCGCCTATGGACATACAAGCCAGGGGTAGTGGTCATGTAGCCTTAAGGTTTGTCCAAAAGAGAGAGATTTCTAGATTAAGAACATAAGCAAGAAGGATTAAGCATAAAGATCCCCTAATCTAGCCCATCTTTGACCCTAAAGGAAACTACTCACTACACATGAATGTAAACACAATCAAATGCAATGAAAGACATAATATGAAAGAGGAAAAAAACAACTTTTATTGAAATAAGCAAGTGCAAATACAAAAGATAAGCCAGATCTAAGGTTCAAGAGCAAGAGCTCAAGAACACAAAGAGAGGCTTAGGTTGCAAAAAGTAAAATACAATTAAGAAAAGCTAAAACAAAAAAGCTAAAGATTTTGTCTTTTTCGTGGCTAGAGCCTTTAAATACAAGAGGATTAGGTTTAGGGTCAAAGGAAAGTCAAGGGGGAAGCAACATTTTTCGGGTTTGACTGTTGACTTCTCAGCTCGATCGAGTTGAAGCTTGGCCGGTCGAGTTGAGGAACTCGACCGGTTGGTCGAGTAGGTGGTCGAGCTGGTCTTCAAGATGGCTTCCTCCTTCTTCCTTTGCGTATCCAGTTGAGCTGCGTCCATGCACCAAGTCCTTCCTTGCTCCTCACGTCCCATATGCTCCAAATGCTCCAAAAGACCTATTTCAAAGGACCAAACATGCATATGTATGCAAATGCAACCTAAAACTACTATGAATGCATAAGAAGGAAAAGGAACAAGATATGATGCTAATGGATGCTAAAACTATGCAAAAGATGCATAAAAGATGTACTAAAACTATGTAAAATGCAAGTACATCAACACCCCCAAACTTGACCTTTGCTTGCCCTCAAGCAAACAAATAGAACAAGAAAGAGATGAGGTTTGAGATTTGCGATTATCAACTCTTTTAGATTGTTTCTCGAGAAGGCTTTTGGTTTAACTAACTCAAACATTGCGCGAGCTCTTTTTGAGTTAATCGATTATTTTTCGAGTTCGACCAATTGTTGATTAAATTCTTTAATCGAACTTGGTCGCTTTAAGTCGGACTGTTTTTCCGACTCGAACTCGAAAAAGATACGACCAAATGAATTTTAGTCGGTTTATTTGACTGAATTCTCGCATAAGATTTTCGGCTGACCGAGAAATCTAGCAGAAAAGACTTTGCCAACTCTTCCTGAAAGTTGCTTCAAGTTAAACTGATTTCTTTTTGAAATTTCGAGTCAAACTTGGCATGATTTCGACTAAGTATTTGTTTTATTTAGGTCGAGCTAAATAAAACTTAGTCTTTGGTTCGAATGTTATTTCAACCAAATGGTCGAGCTTATCGTTGAGCTAAGCTGAACAAAGACTTAGTCAATATCTTTGAAGATATTCTTAAGGTCGGTTAGAATCTATTGAGAATCTAGCTCGATCTTGGAGATGTTCTCGAATTTTAGCTCGAGAATTGGCAGAGTGCTTGACTGCCATTCAAATCAGACTAAGTGAGACTTAGTTGATTTCTTAGGATCATATAAGATCAAGCAAGAATCTGTTTAGAATCGAGTTTGACAAGATGATATATGTCCGAGCGAACTTCGAATCGAGCTCGATGCTGCGATAGAGAAAGTTTTTCGCTGTAATGACTTGGGCAAGTCATATGTTTTGCTTCGGATTTAACACCTGTGTAGGTTTTCATCCATTTTTAGCAACAAAATTTTGTTTGTTACTGTTTTTCGCCGCGTTCCATCTGTTACAGATTAGAGCCCGACTTCGAGTATCCCACCTCTTGGAAGAGAGAAGATTTCTCGCGAGCTAACGTTTTGTGAACGATCTGCAAAGTCGGCTGCCGCTCGTTGTGAGCAAGCAATCCAATCTAGAGCTAATGGAGTTGTGGAGATTGTCCATGTTGCGGTTGAATATACTCTTCGTGATGAAGTAGTAGGTCGGGTTCTTCATGCTGCTATGGGGATAATACCCAAGTGACTCATTTGAGACGAACTATCTCGTTGAGGTCGAATAGCGAACAATGAGGATGGAGCTCGAAATGAGCAAGAGATGATAATCGGACTCCGAATTTGTCGAGCTCCTTGAAAAAGCGAGTTAACTCGACGGCGAGTCCGTCATCCCTTGTAATGATAGATTGTTCGAAGGATGTGCCAGTTTTGGATAATCCTTGAACATTCATGTTGCGCCAATGCGGGCCTGCTGCAAATCAATCTCCAGTTTTGGATATGACGCTCGAGAGGGAGCTGTATGCGGCAGCGATGGCGGCGGATGAGAAGGTATGGTTTTACCTTTTCTAAGTTTTTGCCGATGATTTGATATCTTCGGACTTAATATTTGCGTCTCTTTATCAAGCTTTGAAGGTGAACATGAAGCTCTCTGCTCGTTGTGAACAAAGGTTACATGAAGCGTCTTGGCAAGATGAGCTTGATAAGATGAAACAGGTGGTAGATGAGCTCGATACTAAGCTCAAATATTGAGAGATAGAGTAGCTCGTCAAAGCGACTTGCTTGCTAAGGATGAGCTCTATTCTCGTTTAAGTTTCGAACAAGTTAGCTCGCAAGGTTTTATGCTTTGCCTTTGGATTTGGTGCCTGGGAAGGCTTTTATCCTTTTATGTTCAAACTTGTTTGCTCGGAATGAGCTTGGTGTTTGATAATTTTTCTTAGACGTTTGATGTCTTAGAGTTTATCTTTGTTTTCCAGATCAATTGACTGTTAGCTCGATTGTTCGAACATTAGTCGTTTTGGTTTGATTGGAGATTTGACCTAGCGTGTAAGCTAACTGGTCGGACCGGATGAAGCTCAGTTGATCTCTTTGAGAATCGTATAAAGTTGAGCTAGTTTCTTTTTGAATTCCAGCTCGAGCTTTTAACGTGTTGAGCTTCAACTTGGAAGGTTGCGTCGGGTTGAGCTAACCTTTGTCGGTTGAAAACGACTGATTTTAGATGATCGTCTGAATTCAGTAGGTGGTTCTACACAATCAGCACTCGAGCTTCATCTTTAAAGATTTCTTTAAGTCGAGGTGATTTCCTTTCAGACTTTTAGTCGGATTCACCGGTGTTTGCCAATTGCGTGATTTTGTAGATTAATCTACATTGTGGGACGTGAAACTCACACTTAGAAATTTGATAGTAGTTTAGGGATGAGGAAGAAGTGGGTAAGATTCTCACAAGCACTCAAGAACTTAGACTCAAGAATAAGCAAATATGGACTTTATATTGATCAAATAAGAATTAGGGTTACAAGGTATTTCTGGAAATACGAGAGCTCGAAGAGCGTACAAGATAGACTTAGGTTAAAATGTATTCAATAAGTAAAAAGATGCCCCCTTCCTTTCGACGATCCTCTCCTTTTATTGCCGGCTCCCGTTCTATCTTCTGCCGCGATCCTTGGGATTTCCCGTTGCATGTGCTCCGGATTTAGTGTGACCTCGTTAAGATCCTTTGACTGAGTCATGACCTCGAGCTGATGCTCGAATTAGGCTTATCGGCGGATGAACATAGATCTGTGGGCTCAAGATTAGATGGGTTGATCTGAAAAGGGTTATGTTAAATGGGCCTGGCCTAGACCAAATTTAGGTGATAAATTAGGGCCCAACAATTGCCCCCCAGCCCATTAATCGAAGTAATGAGTTCGATGGGCGGGAAAACGAAACTTGAGGCAGTTGTGATTCGATAAGATCAAATCAGCTCGTATCTCGATGGATACTCCGAATATAAGGAAATCCGAACAGTTTCGGATTTCATATTTTCTCTTAAATCGAAATTAATTTTTAACATATGCGTGGATACCGCACGATTTCGAGATCGACGGTCGCGATCAAGAGGTGAAAAAGATTTCCCCCGATTCTCGATGTAAGTAATGATGATTATAAATGCAACTCCCAAGGAGTTGATAACCGCATGCACCCACTCATCTTCAAGGTAACTTCCGCTTCTCTCTAGTCACTTTTATTTATCCCATTTAAACGAGTTTTTGCGAAAAGGTTCATACTCTCCGTTTTCGTTTTCAATCTTCGAACTTCTTCTTTTACTCGACTCGATTCCGTTAATTTCTTTCGAGTTTATCGCTTCAATATGTCGACGTCCGTGGAGGAAGTGGCACCGGCCGTCGACGACAACGATTATGTCGTCGAAGATCAATTCGAACCGCATCCACGGTCGACTATTTCGCTCGAGCAAATCGATAAGCTTCAGAACCGTTATGGTGTGGTCATTCGCAATCCGAAGAAGACAGAATTGGTCGAGAGGGTTAGACCCGGCTACGGTAGCGCTTATCTCCACTATTTCGTTTCCTGTGGGTTAAGCTTTCCGTAGCCGGTCTTTCTCCTCGAGATCCTCTCGGATCTAGGGCTTGCGCTGCCTCAGCTCACTCCGAATCTGCTCCGAACTCTAATCGCCCTAAAGGTTTTGTTCAGCGACAACAGCCTTCCCTTTGGGGCCACCGAATTTCACCAATTGTGTTCCCCGAAGGGGAATTCGCGACAGCCGGGGTCGTATTATGTCACGGCGAGGACGAACCGGAAAATCCTGGAGGGTACGCCGCCGCGGGACGACAATTAAGAACGAACGACATTTTTCTTCAAGCTTAATCAAGCTTATGTTGGGGATTTTGACTTTGAGAGAATTCCCAAAGTTTGGGCACGTAGCGTTGGTTAGGATAGAGTAGAGCGTTGTTTTACTCTTTTTCTCTTTTTGGCGATTGGGTTTTAATGAGTTTACGTGTTTCGTTCGTTTTGCAGAAGCTCCCGGTCGAATTCGCAATACGCCTGAACCTAAGGCTCAGACAGAAATTCTTCTTAGCGGATGTTGTCATTGGTTATCTTTTTCGGCGCAAAGGATACAACGAGCTTACGAGATCCAACCGGGACAGCAGATCGTTCGGGACGCTCCTCCACCGAGACACGTCGTTCAGGCTCTGTTAGCTCCGAGTGTCGTTCGCTCTCAGCGAGGTAATCTTTTCCGAATATTAGTAGCTGTTTCTTTCGATGAAGTTGAAATACGTGATGTGTCGAGGTCTGATATTGGATCGTAATTGTTAGGGAAAGAGGTTTGCGACGAATCAGTTCATAGTTCGACCGACAGCGTTCCACCTTTGCAAGCAATATCTAAGAGGATGACTTATGACTTATCGTGAGCAGCAGAAAGCACTCGGGAGGCTTCCCGTTGGCAAAACTTCGCGGGCTCCTCCTCCAGCTGGAGACGCATTGATGGCTAATGCTGCTGATGTTCTGGCCGTGGCTCGTCAGTCTGAGAACGAGAATCGGGCTTCAATCGCTATTGAAACGGCTAGCCAGATCGATCGGGATAATGCCGCTGTTGTCAGCTCGAGATCTCATGATGGCGATAGTAACGACAGTGTTCGCCGTCAGAACAAGAGGCCGAGGCAGGAGCGGAGGAACGATGGCAACGGTGGTTCGTCTCACAGCTCCGGCTCGAACGGAAGGCCTTTCTACTGGGAGTTTAAGAACTCGGTAGACGGTCCAGTTCTGAATGATCGTGGTGGAGTCGGTTATTTGCAGCGCCATTTCAAGGGAGCCGGTGTTAATCTTCCTCCCATCGAGAAGATGTCTGAGAAGGAGGCCTATCTCGATATGGCGATGGCCAACACCAAAGTAAGACATCGACTTCCTTTTTGATTTAATTGTTAACTTTATTCGAATGCGTTCTTACGATTTTGTTTCTGTTTTACTTGCTATCGTCTCAGTCTATGGAGGCGAACAACAGGTACGTTTCGCTGGTCGAGCAAAGATTGAGGGACAGTGCTCCGGTCGAGGAGGTCAACAAGATGAGAAGTACAATCGAGGAGATGACTAGCACACTCAAGCGTCTTCAACTCCGCGAATCCGAAGTGGAGAAGAAGTTGTCGGGTGTGGAGGAGCTCGAGCATCGTAATGCGGTTCTGGCTGATCAACTTAAAGATGCTCGAGCAGAAGGTCGTGCCGCTATCGAGCGCTCTGCTCTCTTAGGTCAACAGAACAAGGACCTCCTTGCTGAGAAGGACGCGTCGCTTCGCCTCGCCGCTCAAGCGACCTACCGACAGCTCTCCACGAAGTATGGCAAACTTCTGCAATCGTTCAAGGAGATGTGGTTCAAGAAGAAAGATCACACCGACGCTGAAATCTCGTTCCAGGAGGCTAATGCGAATCTTCAGCTGATCGGGGATCTCATGAGCGGGGAATCGACTCTCGAGGTGGAAGCTCCTCTTTGGGCAGAAAGGGTGCTTCAGCTCGAGGCTGAGGCCAAGGCCAAGGCGGTCTCGGATTTTTCCTTAAGGAAATTCGAATTGCCGCAGCTGTCTGAGGACTCGGTCTTGATGGAGGTCAACAAGGTTACTTTCGTTCCGCGAGACTTAGATTAGTTTTGGACGAATGTCGCGTTTGTTAACGCTATTCTTAATGACCAGGTTCCGGTCCAAGTTGAGCAGGGGATCGGAGGCAGCAAAGGGAACAAAGTGCCAGACGAAATCATGGAGGATGTGGGTGAGAAGGGAAACGAGGTCGAGACGGATGGCGGAGTGCCGGTCGTGCGCGAAGGTCAGGCAGAGGAGTGATCCACGTTTTAGCCCCTTCTCCCCTTTTTATATGCTTTCAATAATTTCCGAAACTTGGTGCCCTGGAGGGCTTTAATCCTTTATGCTTTTTGGTTTTGTTGTTTCGAACCTGGATCTCGTTTGGCTTTTGCCTTTTATTATGCTAAGTACCTTTTAGCTATTACGTGTTGTTTTAATTTCGTTCTGAGATGGTCTTTCTTCATTTTTCGTGTAGATTTCGCGAGTGGAATTTGGCTAAAATCTTTTTATCGTCGTGAACGAATTGTGATTGAGTTTAAGCATTGTCGCGTGTTTAGTCGGGGAACCTTTATACTGAAACCGAGTCGTTCGCGGCTGGGTTTTGGCCGGCTGTTATATTGATTTTTGGCTTGAATGCTCGAATGATTTCGAGCTGGAGTTCGCTTCCCTTTGCGATGATATGATTAAAACGGATTTTCGCTAAGTAATTGTCTTTTTGCCTTTGCGTTATTCGAGCTGGTGCGCGGCTGAATTTCGACTAAGTGTTATATCGAATTTTGTCTTAAATCTTTGAATGATTTCGAGTTGAAGTTCGTTTCGATGTCTTTATGGTGAAGAGTTTGGTTTGATGATTGGACTATCTTTGAGTCGGGTTTTAGGTGATTCGAGTTGAGATATTTCGACTTGTCCGGTAGCGTTTCTGAAGTTCGTTTGTGTGAACTTATTATGAACGTATGATCGAGTTTGGGGTCGATGGGTTCTGTGAATAGATAAGCTCAAGAGGTTAGTCTGGCCAGACGTTTTTGGTGGATCGTTCGGAGATCCGAGCTCATAAGTCATAGGTCGTTTTTGAGAGATCTATGATGTAGATCATTTTTTAAGAGATCGTACGTATGTTGTGATAATTATTCGCGTGAGCCCGATTGTAGTAGAGTATGTTTCTCTGTTTTGAGTCGTCGAGCTAAGTTAACGGGTTGCGTGGACATAGAGAATCAAAGAATCAATAAAATGTTTTGTTTTATTGAAGAGGCGAAGTTGGTTACAATGGAGGCATTACCCCCCTCAAAACAAACAAAATATGAAGGAAAAAGGGGACGACGTGTAGAAGGTGAAGGCTTCTGCTAGTGGGATGAATAATATTGGATAGAAGGGCGGCTAAACTCGAGCGTGAGCTGCCTACGTACCCCGTCGGGTGATATGACTATGGGGAGAAGCAAGGAACGTGTGTTCACTGATCGAATCTTATCTTCACAAACACGACGATTCCACACATGAAACCGGTTGGAGAATATGCTCAGCTCAATTACAGAACACCTCGAACAAGAATCAGTTCAAACGGAGTTGAACTGGAGGAGTTATTCAATTGACAAGACGGGTCATTTCCGGTTTACTTGATTCGGACATGTGTGCATTTAATGAAGGATTCTGACCAGGCCATAATGAATTAAGCTACAAACCGACTCATTCTACAATCTTGATCCATCAGAGAAGCCCATGAAGTTGATTCAGCCCAAAAGACATCAAGGAAGGTCAAGTTTCGTCCTCAGCAAGAGACTGCAATAATGAAGACATATTTCTCTCTCCTACATGCAGTTTAGAGTTGTAATTCATTTTCCAAGAAGCTCTGCATGTTAGGCTATTAACTAGGACGAAAATGGCTTGTAATCCTCTATATATAGTGCCCAAAAATCATGAATAAAATTATCCAAGTTTTTATTATCAAACCCCTTTCAATTTCTTGGATCACTTCTCTATGGTGTCAAATCCATCGAGAACCCTATTCACTCTTGGTGTGTTATATCCAATGAGTCTATAGCGAGCCCTGTTCACTCCTGGTGTGTAATATCTAGCGAGTCTTCAGGTTGGTGTTTTAGAGATCCTTCCGCAATCTCTGAATCAAACCATTCAACCATTCAACTCCTTCCATCATCACGGCTTCTAGCCAAATCTATCCAACCTAAACTCTAGAGTGCCTACCTACCCCGTCGGGTGATCAAGCCTTTACGTAGTTCGATTTTTTGTACTACTTAGTAGTAGTATCGTTTTAGGTTGGCTGCGTTCCAAGGGCGCGGTTCGTGTACCTTCTTCACGTAATCGTAGAGCTTGTAGACGCTATCGCGTACTACTTCTGTTATACGGAAGGGGCCGTTCCAGGGTGGTCGGAGTTTTCCTCCTGGATCTTTGTCGTCGAAGATTTTTCGTAGGACTAGGTCGTCTACTTTGAACCTTCGATGTTTAACGTTAGAATTATAATAGCGAGCTGCGGCGTTTTGATAATTCTGAATGCGGACCAATGCTTGATCTCGCTTTTCTTCGATTAAGTCCAGTCTGTCCCTTAGCATCTCTTCGTTGAGTTCTGGGCTATCGGAACATTGGTCTCTTCGAAGGCTTGTGACTTTGATTTCTGCTGGGATTACTGCTTCGACGCCGTATGCCATCAAAAATGGTGTTTCTTTTGTGGCTTTGTGCGGTGTCGTGCGGCAAGCCCACAAGACTGCGTTGATCTCGTACAACCAAATTTCTTTTCTCGAATCGAGGCGTTTCTTGATGTTGTTCATGACAGTTTTATTTGTTGCCTCCGCTTGGCCGTTTTCTTGTGGGTATCGAGGCGTAGAATGGGTTATTTTTATTTTGTACTTTTTGCAGAATCGTTTGAAGGCTCTAGATATGAATTGGGATTGGTTACGATCTCATACGGGATCCCGTGTCCGCAAAGGATTTCTGTCCAGACGAAGTTTGTTACGTCGGTTGCTTCCACTTTTGGGTAAGCTTTGGCTTCTACCCACTTTATGAAGTAATAGGTTAGTACGAGCAAGTATTGATGCTGCTTTCTTCCGGAGGGAATCATTGGTCCCAGTATATCCATAGCCCATCTCATGAAAGGGTACAGAGAAGAGACTGAGGACAGCAGCTCTGCAGGTTGATGTATAATTGGTGCATGCTTTTGACATTTGTCGCACTTTGCGGCGTAGTTGTCACAATCAGCTAACATTGTAGGCCAAAAGTATCCGTGGCGTTTGAGACTATTAGCCAGAGCTCGTCCACTGGAGTGGGATCCACATATTCCGTCCTGAGTATTTGCTAGAATTGCCAGGGCTTCCAGCCCGTTGACGCATCTAAGATATGGTTCGACTAGACTTCGTTTGTATAATATACCGGTCATTATACAGTATCGTGAGCATTTTGCTCTTAGTTTTCGGGCCTCCCACTTGTCAGAGGGTTGGGTCCCGTTCTGTATGTATTCGAATATTGGAATTCTCCAATCCGGTCGAGCATGATATTGTTCGTCTGTGACGAAGCGTCTCTCTCGAGCGGTTCCTTCGAGATCTGCTGTCTTGGGAAATTGGAGCTCGATCGGAGGTCCGAGTTGTTCGGCTAAATCTTGACTTTCGTCGGTTTGACTATACGAGCTCGAGCTTCCGCCAATTTCGGGAGTTTGCCTGCTCGTGCTTGCTTCGTTCGTTATTGTGGCAATCTCTTTAGGTTCAGCCGATTTTATGGCGATGTCGATACTCGGGTTATGTATTCCCTCGACGGGTATTATTCTTTTGAGTAATGGTTCGGAGGTGGAAGCTAAGGCTGCTAAAGCGTCGGCTGCGGAATTTTCTCCTCGGGGAATCCTGGTTAGTTCGAAATGATCGAATTGTTCTTTCAGCTCGCGTACTAGTTTTTAGGTAGGCTTCCATTCTTTTGTGTTTTGTTTCGTACTCGCCATGGTATTGGCTTGTCACAAGTTGCGAATCGCTATAAGCGTGGAGCTTTCGGGCTCCTATACCTATCGCGAGCCTGAGCCCGGCGATCAGGGCCTCATATTCGGCTTCAATTGTTTGAAAGTCGATTCGCATTCGTCGCTCCATTAGAACTTTTTGTTTCCTTTCAGGATCTGGTAGAAAGGTAAACATTTGTTTGTGGATCGGGATATGAAGCGGTTCAACGCTGCTATCCGTCCGGTTAATCTTTGCACTTCTCGAGTTGTCTTAGGAAACGGCATCTCGAGGAAGGTTGCGATTTGTTTCGGGTTCGCTTCGATTCCCCGTTCTGTTACTAGATAACCGAGGAATTCGCCTGAAGCTACTCCGAAGGAACATTTGGCTGGGTTGAGTTTCATTCCGTATTTGTTGATAATTGTAAAGCATTCTCGGAGTTGTCGAGCATGGTCTTGTTCTCGAGCGGATTTAACCAGCATATTATCGATATATACTTCCATGGTCTTTCCGAGTAGGTTTTTGAACATTTTGTTCACGAGGCGCTGATAAGTGGCTCCAGCATTATGCCGCGATCTGTTATGAATGAAGTTTTTTCTTGATCTTCCGGATTCATCAAGTTCTGATTATATCCGGAAAAGGCGTCCATAAATGACAGCAGTTCGTGACCGGCCGTTGCTTCTACGAGTCGGTCTATGTGTGGGAGCGGGTAGCTGTCTTTCGGACAAGCTTTGTTCAGGTCAGTGAAGTCTATGCATATTCTTCACTTCCCGTTTTTCTTTTTTACCACAACTAGGTTAGCTAGCCAATCTGGGTACTTGACCTCGCGGATTGAGCCTATTTTGAGTAAACGGTCAACCTCGTCAATGACTGCTTTTGCCCTTTCGGGCCCAAGCTTGCGTCGTTTTTGCTTGACGGGTTTATGCGAGGAATCGACATTCAGCTCGTGCGACGTTACGTCGATGCTGATGCCCGACATGTCGGATGTTTCCCAGGCGAAGGAATCTATGTTTTCTTTCAGGAAGGCGATTAGCTCGATTTTAATCGAGCCGCTGAGTTCCGAGCCAATGTTCACACATCTGTCGGGGTGTTCATTATCTAGACAAACTTCAGTAAGGAGTTTCTTATCTGGTTCCCTCGTAGTGGGATCTTTGAATTTCTCTAACTCCTGCTCGAGTCGTTTGTCATTTTGCTGTAGTGCCTATGCTGGGGCATTCGTAAACTGTTTGAACGAGGTCATGTAGCACATTCTAGCGTTTTTCTGGTTTCCGCGTATCGTTTTGATTCCGTTGGAGGTCGGGAATTTAACGCACTGGTGATAAGTCGACAGTACTGCTTTCATCGTGTATATCCAGGGTCTGCCCAATATAGCGTTATATGGGGCTGGGCGATCTCCTACGACGAAGCTTGTCGGTTTTCGGACTCCTCCCGCAGTAACTACGAGTTGGATGGTTCCAAGCGAGTAGGTGGTTTCTCCGGCGAAGCCGGTGCATCGTAGAACAATAGGTCGATTGAGCTTCCAGTATCGATCATTATTCTTGACAGCTCGAATCCTGCTACGTTGAGCTGGACTACGAGCGCGTCGTCGTGTGGTTTGTCTAGGTTCAGTGTTTCGTTTTCGAGGAAAGCGATCTCGGTGTCCGGCTCAGTCAGAGTTCGGGGATTGCTCGAGCTGGCGATGGCTTTTCGTTGAAAAGCCTTAATCGAATTTACGGAATTTCGGCAGAGTCTTAGCTCGCTATGGCGTTGACAAAGAGTCTTTTTGGGTGCAGGTGGGGGGGGGTGTCTAGTGATTTCATCGAGCCACCGCAGTGTTTGAATTCTTTGAAAATCATATCAATCCGTTGCTTGAGTGCGGGAGGGGGAGTGTCGTCCTTGTCCGCGTCTTGATTTCTCTTCTGGTTATTTTTGGGAGGAGGCTTATTAGCGTTAGGAGCTATCGGTGATGTTTCATCAATATATTTTGTTGAGAAGGTTCCTCGTTATTTTCGTTGTTCCTTCTTGGTTTGGGAACGTAATCTGGGTTTCGGCATTCTTCCGTCGAATGTCCGTATCGTTTGTGATATTTGCAGAATTTCTTATCGTCGTAAGTCGAGTGTTTGGTCGGTCGTTGACTACTTATAGTTACAACATGTGTGTTTTTGCCTTAAGGTTCTCTCCTTGGCGCTTTTTTCTGGGGGTTTGATCCCGAGCCTAGTAGGCCAGCATTGAATTTCCCCTCGAATATTTCATATTCTTCTTCTGTTCGCGCAAATGCATTGGCTTTGTGCAGAGCATCGTCTAGACCTGAATTGTGTCTGAGTTGTAATTCTTCCTTAAACTTAGAGGAGAACCATAATCCGTACGTTAGGGCTCGAAGAGCTACGTTTTCGTTAAGGTTGGGAATCTGTGCTTTAATTTGCTTAAAGCGGTCTTCGTAACTTCGAAGTGGTTCGCCTTGACCTTGCGTTAGAGTCCACAGATCAGCTTCTGTAGCTCGAGTCTCAATAAATACTGAATATTGTTTCAGAAATACGGAGACGAGCTGGGTGAAATTATCTATAGATCCAGGTTCGAGGCTCGAGAACCATTATAATGCCGAGCCGGTCAGGTTTTCTACTAAGAATTTGCAGTGACCTGCTTCTTCTTCCTCGGCTGTGAGATGCGCTTTAGTTATTGCTAACATAAAGGATCGAACATGTGCTCGAGGATCGCTATTCCCGGAGTATTCGGGGAATTTGATCTTTCCAGCTTCCCTTACTCTGGCGTGAGCTATTTTCTTGGTAAAGGGAGTGCGGCGGGTTTCTCTGATTACTAGGTCAATGTCGGGTGGAGCGCTCGTTGCTGCGTGCACGTACGATTTCATGTGTTCGAAAGTCAGAGCGTTCCTTTCCATATTCCGTTGATCGATGTCATCGAGCTTCTGCTCGATACTTGATGACAGTGAGGCTGATGCGCCGTTAGATATCGGTGCTGCTGTAGCTGGTGTTTGATTCGATCCGAACATGTTCAGAGGTGGTGCTTGATTCGATCCGAACGTGTTCGAAGGCGGTGTTTGGTTTGATCCGAACGTGTTCAGAGGCGGTGCTTGATTCGATCCGAACGTGTTCGGAGGCGGTGCTTGATTCGATCCTAACGTGTTCGGAGGCGGTGCTTGATTCGATCCGAACGGGTTCGGAGGCGGTATTTGGTTCGATCCGAACGTGTTCGGATGCGGTGCTTGATTCAATCCGAACGTGTTCGGAGGCGATGGCGGGAGCTGTTCATTCTCGCGAACAGATGCTCCCTGAGAGCTTGATCCATTGAAGATCGGAGTGTGTTGGTGCGATCCACTGAGGTGAATTCCTGCACCTTGGGGCGTTTGGTATTGGTTCCCCGTTCCCGGGGTTCCGGAGGAAGGCGAGAAGTTAAGATGCGTATAACGCAATGGGCTCGTTTCACGCCCATTTTGCCATTCACGATTCGAACTACGGGGGTCGTTCAGAGGTGGACCTCGCTCGAGCTGTTCTCGAATCCTCGCGAACTGGGACTGGAAAGTCGTTTCCTGGATTTGAGTTCTTTGCATCAAAGTCTGGAAAGTCGTTTCCTGATTTCGAGTCCTTTCCATCAGGGTTTGGAAACTTGCCTCCTGGTTTCGAGACCTCTTGACCAGGACTTCTAATGTTCTTTGCAGTTCGGCTGTACGATCTGGGAAAGATCCCTGACCAGCAGCCGCTTGGTTTCGTTAAGCCCAATTCGAGTGAATCGGTCCTGGAGGCCGTATCTCGGGACGAATCCAGATGTACGGGTTTCCTCCGACCGGAGTTCCAGTGTTCGGGTTTGTGGAATCCACACCCGAACGAGCTGCAGGTGCAGCGGTTCCGAGGTTGCTCAGATCTGAAGCAGATCTGGAGCGTTGCAACCTCACTGGAGCTGGTTCGCTTGGAATGGATCGATTCGTTTCTGTTTGGCCGGAAGGGTTAGACCCTTGACCATCGACAGGAGTAGCGTTTTGGCTGGACGGATCCATTTGCGTTCTAATGAGCCTTAGATCTGGCTATATTGTTAGAGAAATCTTTTTTCTTCCCCACAGTCGGCGCCAAAATGTTGGACGTGAAACTCACACTTAGAAATTTGATAGCAGTTTAGGGATGAGGAAGAAGTGGGTAAGATTCTCACAAGCACTCAAGAACTTAGACTCAAGAATAAGCAAATATGGACTTTATATTGATCAAATAAGAATTAGGGTTAGAAGGTATTTCTGGGAATACGAGAGCTCGAAGAGCGTACAAGATAGACTTAGGTTAAAATGTATTCAATGAGTAAAAAGATGCCCCTTCCTTTCGACGATCCTCTCCTTTTATAGCCGGCTCCCGTTCTATCTTCTTCCGCGATCCTTGGGATTTCCCGTTGCACGTGCTCCGGATTTAGTGTGACCTCGTTAAGATCCTTTGACTGAGTCACGACCTCGAGCTGATGCTCGAACTAGGCTTATCGGCGGATGAACATAGATCTGTGGGCTCAAGATTAGATGGGTTGATCTCAAAAGGGCTATGTTAAATGGGCATGGCCCAGACCAAATTTAGGTGATAAATTAGGGCCCAACATACATGATCGGCAGTTGGGCTTGATTAAAGAAAGACTGCTCGGGGTTGAGCTGATTTCCTTTAAGATTATCAATCGGTTTCGATCGATGCCAGTTGTGTGATTTCGTAGATTGATCTACACAATCAGCTCTGGTGCTTTTAGCTTGCAAAGGCTGATCGAAATCGAGTTAATCGCCTTTCAGACTTCAGTCGGGTTCAACTGGCTTTTGCTGATTGTGTGATCTCGTAGATTGATCTACATGATCAGCACTTGGTCTTAATCTTCAAGGACCGCTCGTACTCGAGATAATTACCTTTCAGATCTTTGGTCGGATTCGACTGGCTTTTGCCAATTGTGTGATCTCGTATACTGATCTACATGATCAGCACTTGGTCTTAATCTTCGAGGACCGCTCGTACTCGAGCTGATCACCGTTCAGATCTTCAGTCGGATTCGACTGGCTTTTGCCAATTGTGTGATCTCGTAGATTGATCTACATGTTCAGCACTTGGTCTTAATCTTCGAGGACCGCTCGTACTCGAGCTGATTACCTTTCAGATCCTCAATCGGGTTCGACTGGCTTTCGCCAATTGTGATCTCGTAGATTGATCTACATGATCAACAGTTGGTCTTAATCTTTGAGGACCGCTCGTACTCGAGCTGACTACCTTTCAGTTCCTCAGTCGGGTTCGACTGACTTTTTGCCAAGTATTCGATGTCCTTAAGAGTAATTCGAATGTTTAGCTAGTTTGGGTTGTTGGGCCCAAAGTTTGTTTTTTGTCCTAGACCGATGATAGGTTCTAGGTGATCTCTAGGATTAGAATCGATCTCTCTTCCTAGCTTCTGAAGTCGATCTTGACCTCCTCCGCGTATCTCGTCCATGTTCAAACTGCCATTCTGGCTGTTACCGGGGCTGATATGATTATGGCCAGCGCCAAGGTCAAGGAGCATGGACCTAAGCTTGAACCTGATGGAGTTAAGGACTTAAAGCTTGAACCAGTGGAGCAGCTTGAACGTGAGGGAAGTAAGCTTGTAGCTGAGGATGAGCTTGAACCGGAGCTTGTAGCTGAGGAAGCTTTAGCTGCACCAATGGAATTGGTTACTCATTCAGAGTTAATCTTGAGCTAAAATGGAGACAACCTGATCCTAAACCTCCCTGGTTTTTGATCCAAGCTCAAGAGATCAGCAAATGGGCATGTGTCTCATTTGTACTCTTTTTCCCTTGTCAAGTTTTGTCCCAATGGGTTTTCTTGACAAGGTTTTTAATGAGGCAAATGGGTCACATACAAATAACCCATTTAGCTGATCAAGACCAAGGCCCATCAATAATGAATACTAAAAACGTGGCCATGAAGACCAAGGGTATATTTGTGTTCAAACTTTGTTTTAATTATGTTTGCTTTTCCGAGATAGTCTTTGGAGCATGTTCCAAGACTAGACTCTTTATTTCTCTCTTCTCTTCTCTCCCTTTATATGTTCTGGACGAATCTTCCTTTCAGTTGATGCAACCTTGAATGAAAAACCTTTTTCCTTTGTTTACTCAAAGATCTCTTAGTGTGATTCTAAGAACCCTTTCTCTTGGTGTGTTGAATCCGAGAAATCCCTTTAGATTAGTTGTGAGTTGTATCAACTATTTTAGAGGTGGTGTTGGAGATTCCTTTCCATTGGATCTCTGGTATAGCCATTCAATCCATCCTCATCTATCACTTTCCATCGATCCATTCATCATTTCACCATCTCAATCCATTTCGCCAAGTCCTTTGATTCCATTCACTCCATCGCTACAATTCAACCTCTACTTGCTTCAAAGTGTCGATTCTCTACAAGGGATTTATCAAGTGGTATCAGAGCCACTTTGAAGCTAAGTATTTCGTCCTTTTGTTTGTCTAAATCTCTATTTATGCATCTTTGTCATGAGTGTCTGTTCATCTTCTGTTCTTGTTCATCATAGATCTAGTTGCTGGAATTATTTTCGTAATTTTTTTGTGCATTCTGGCATCATATCCTGGTTCATTAGCACCTGATCTGTATTTTAGAATTTATTCATAATTTTTAAAATTGTTTACATAATTTTTCGGAATTGTTTGCTTTTTCTGTGAACTAGTGACTGCCGAGATTTTTGTCTGCAATTTTCAGGTTATGGTGTCCGAGAAAGAAGAAGACGAGGAAACAAGCCGAGAATCACCTCAAGCCTCAATGAAGCCATGCTTGAGAAGATCAAGAAGATGATGATTGAGGAGTTTGATCGGAGAGAAGAAAAGAAGGAAAGCGGAAGGAGCAACCTAAGGATCCGGTCACATCTAAGAAGAAACCGGTTGAGGATCTTAGTGGTTACATGATGATGATTCCTCCATTCCTTGGGAACAATGATCCGGATGTATATCTGGATTGGGAGAAGAAGTGCGAGATTGCCTTCAACCAACATAACATAGCTGACATCAACCGAGTAAAACTAGCAGCTATGGAGCTCAAGTATTATGCTCTAAGTTGGTGGAAACAGGTTGAGACGGCCCGAGCTTACAATGGAGCTTATGAGATCTCTACTTGGGGAGAAATGAAAAGGGTTATGAGGCAGCGGTTCGTTCCCAATCATTATCAGCGTGAACTTCATTCCAAGCTAAGGAAGCACAGTCAGGGAAATCATTCAGTTGAGGAGTACTATAGTAGCCATGGGAAATCGAAACCCAAGCAGCCTGACAAGATCACAAAGCCTTATCCAAGACATATCTCTAAAGAAACAAGTCATGAACCACAAGAAAGCACTAAAAGCAAAGGTAAGCATTCTGTTTCTCAACAATTACAAGAATTAACGTTTTGCAGCTCCAAGAACAGAGACCATGTTTCTAAGGAGATCCCAAGCAAGGTGATCCCTTCCTCTATTAGTCCAAATCCTCTGGCAGCAGAAAGTGTCAAAGAAGTGCCAAAGGATCACGCAGAGAAAAGTTTAGGTGCCAAAGATGTTTCTGTCCAAACCCCCTGTTACGAACTGCAAGGCAACAAGAAACAAGAAATTGTTTCAGTCTCTAACAATGGAAAGGTACAAGCTAAACTTTCTCAAACTGTTTATGATGATTCCATGACTGGTATAATGCACTTGTCTTTCTCCAAAAGTGTTGAGACAGGTACAGGGTCTAGTGAAGAACAAATGGAGAAAGCAAATCAAGAAAAAGACTCAACCAAACCTGGATTCCGCCAGAATCTAAACCACCAGACCAACAACTACAAGGTTTAGGTGTGACAAGAAAAGAGACAAATGAGGAGGAGTTGCCAACTCAAGTTCCAAATCCAAAGTCAGCAGAAAGCACTTTTTCTTTGATAATGCCAAAGGAGATTAGATCAGAACCACACATTCAGCCTGACCCAGGTAAGTGTCTACAACCTCTTTCAATTAGTAAAACTCATGAGTTTTCTAATGTTGCAGGAAGAATAGGTTTGAATCTTAAGCTCTCCAACAAAAAGATCAGAAGTGAAATCACAATTTCTGTTGAGAAAGCTCCTAATGATGAGTTAGACCATGAGTTCAATCCAGAACCGAACAACAAGTGGAAGTCAAAAACAGAACAAGGATACAGTCAAGCCATGTCTACTGCTAAGCTAAGTGCAATCTTAAACCAACACATTCATCCTGTCTTTTTAACTGTCTTAATGCACTTGTCTTGGTTTAAAGAAGTTGAGAAAGGTACAGCTGAGCAAGAGAGACGCCTAGAAGCTCACAAAGCATTAACTTGTCATACCAAGGAGGAGTATGAGCAACATGTTCTTGAGCCAATTGCCGCAGCTGATTCACTAATGAGCGTTTTGCATAGTACACAGGTAAGTGAAGTTCAATACTTGATTTACTATTGGGATCATTTCATGATACATCAGAAACTTCAGAATTTTGTTTTTGAAATTCCCATTTCAAGTATAATGCACTTGTTCTTTTCCTTAAGTGTTAACAAAGGAGCAGGTTTGATGGATAAGCATAAGGAATTGGAAGAAGCAGCATTAAGAACAACACATTCTCATCTCATGTTCATCTCATTCCTGTTCATTTATGGTTCTTTGTTTGAGTTCTCTATTCACAAAGGCGAGGCACACTGAACCAAAATCAAGAAGAGTGGCTAGCATGTTCCAATCCAATTCCAGAGAAACCACCAGACTCTTATCTGCGATATTCAAAGCAGAAACCCAAGGTAAGTATCTAGATTCCCAAAGGCGTATGAGACCTAACTTGCTTTCTTTTGGTGCAGGAAAAACAGTTTTGAGGACAAACTTTTTGAAGAGAGAGAGGATGATATGATTATGGCCAGCGCCAAGGTCAAGGAGCATGGACCTAAGCTTGAACCTGATGGAGTTAAGGACTTAAAGCTTGAACCAGTGGAGCAGCTTGAACGTGAGGGAAGTAAGCTTGTAGCTGAGGATGAGCTTGAACCGGAGCTTGTAGCTGAGGAAGCTTTAGCTGCACCAATGGAATTGGTTACTCATTCTGGAGTTAATCTTGAGCTAAAATGGAGACAACCTGATCCTAAACCTCCCTGGTTTTTGATCCAAGCTCAAGAGATCAGCAAATGGGCATGTGTCTCATTTGTACTCTTTTTCCCTTGTCAAGTTTTGTCCCAATGGGTTTTCTTGACAAGGTTTTTAATGAGGCAAATGGGTCACATACAAATAACCCATTTAGCTGATCAAGACCAAGGCCCATCAATAATGAAATGGCCATGAAGACCAAGGGTATATTTGTGTTCAAACTTTGTTTTAATTATGTTTGCTTTTCCGAGATAGTCTTTGGAGCATGTTCCAAGACTAGACTCTTTATTTCTCTCTTCTCTCTCTCCCTTTATATGTTCTGGACGAATCTTCCTTTCAGTTATGCAACCTTGAATGAAAAACCTTTTTCTTTGTTTACTCAAAGATCTCTTAGTGTGATTCTAAGAACCCTTTCTCTTGGTGTGTTGAATCCGAGAAATCCCTTTAGATTAGTTGTGAGTTGTATCAACTATTTTAGAGGTGGTGTTGGAGATTCCTTTCCATTGGATCTCTGGTATAGCCATTCAATCCATCCTCATCTATCACTTTCCATCGATCCATTCATCATTTCACCATCTCAATCCATTTCGCCAAGTCCTTTGATTCCATTCACTCCATCGCTACAATTCAACCTCTACTTGCTTCAAAGTGTCGATTCTCTACAAGGGATTTATCAAGTGGTATCAGAGCCACTTTGAAGCTAAGTATTTCGTCCTTTTGTTTGTCTAAATCTCTATTTATGCATCTTTGTCATGAGTGTCTGTTCATCTTCTGTTCTTGTTCATCATAGATCTAGTTGCTGGAATTATTTTTGTAATTTTTTTGTGCATTCTGGCATCATATCCTGGTTCATTAGCACCTGATCTGTATTTTAGAATTTATTTCATAATTTTTAAAATTGTTTACATAATTTTTCGGAATTGTTTGCTTGTTTCTGTGAACTAGTGACTGCCGAGATTTTTGTCTGCAATTTTCAGGAATTATGGTGTCCGAGAAAGAAGAAGACGAGGAAACAAGCCGAGAATCACCTCAAGCCACAATGAAGCCATGCTTGAGAAGATCAAGAAGATGATGATTGAGGAGTTTGATCGGCGGGAGCAGAAGAAAGAAGGAAAGCGGAAGCAACCTAAGGATCCGGTCACATCTAAGAAGAAACCGGTTGAGGATCTTAGTGGTTACATGATGATGATTCCGCCATTCCTTGGGAACAATGATCCGGATGTATATCTGGATTGGGAGAAGAAGTGCGAGATTGCCTTCAACCGACATAACATAGCTGACATCAACCGAGTAAAACTAGCAGCTATGGAGCTCAAGTATTATGCTCTAAGTTGGTGGAAACAGGTTGAGACGGCCCGAGCTTACAGTGGAGCTTATGAGATCTCTACTTGGGGAGAAATGAAAAGGGTTATGAGGCAGCGGTTTGTTCCCAATCATTATCAGCGTGAACTTCATTCCAAGCTAAGGAAGCACAGTCAGGGAAATCATTCAGTTGAGGAGTACTATAATAGCCATGGGAAATCGAAACCCAAGCAGCCTGACAAGATCACAAAGCCTTATCCAAGACATATCTCTAAAGAAACAAGTCATGAACCACAAGAAAGCACTAAAAGCAAAGGTAAGCATTCTGTTTCTCAACAATTACAAGAATTAACTTTTTGCAGGTCCAAGAAAAGAGACCATGTTTCTAAGGAGATCCCAAGCAAGGTGATCCCTTCCTCTATTAGTCCAAAGCCTCTGGCAGCAGAAAGTGTCAAAGAAGTGCCAAAGGATCACGCAGAGAAAAGTTTAGGTGCCAAAGATGTTTCTGTCCAAACCCCCTGTTACGAACTGCAAGGCAACAAGAAACAAGAAATTGTTTCAGTCTCTAACAATGGAAAGGTACAAGCTAAACTTTCTCAAACTGTTTATGATGATTCCATGACTGGTATAAGCAACATTATCGTCAGACACGTCAGACCAGATATTTCATGGTCTAGTTGGTCCGAGCGATATCGTCACCCGACTCGTGAGATCCAGATAATTCCGGAACTCATCGGTCTGAGCGATATTACCACCTAATTTGTACGGCCCGGACATTACCGGATTCCGTCGTTCTAAGTAATATTACCGCCCAACGCGTACAGCTCGGCTTGAAGACTTGATTCCGTCGAGGTATTACTCGACCTCGTCTATACAAGTAGCTGGGGTAGCGTATCTGCTGGACAGATATGCTTGGCGGGGTCAATGTTAGTCCCACTGGGCGTAGATAGACTTCTCGCGATCTAAAGATCTGGATAATGGTGGCTGCGCTCTTGGGTGGAGCTGCCTACGTACCCTGAATAGGGATCAAGCCTAAACGTAGTTCAAGGGGGGATGAGAGTTTGTAGACGTTTTGCCGAACTACTTTGGTGATGGGATTAGGTCATTCCAAGTTGGTTCATGTTTCCTTATCACCGAACTCTCTTTGCCATGACGTATTAACTTGAGCTTGCTTTTTCGAGTTTTATTACGAGTTAATCATCGTGGAACCTATTGGTTTTCAAGAGTTTGGTTTTTAGGTCGAATCTTTCTAGAGGAAGAGCTCGTCTAGAAGATTTGACCTTTTGTTGTATGCTTTGATCGAGTTGTTCGAGGCGTGGAGGGTGGGTGGCTCCACTCCCCCGAAAACTTGTGAAATCAGCGTAGCATGAGTTCGCAAAGTTCTTAAACTCGGGTTGAGGTTTTCGTTAGCTGTCTGAGAAGACGCTCCACTCCCCCGCAAGATTGTGAGCTCTGCATAGCTAGCTAGAGCTCGCTATCTTTTGGTGCGGGCGGGCGGGTGACCGCGGAGGGTCATTGAGCTGCGGCGTGAGCTGAGCTCTCTGAACACTGGGTCGAGTCGAATCGTTTCTTATGAAAGAGGTGATTCTTGGGAGATGATTCCGACTTCGCGTTCCCTTTTTCGGGATGCTTTGTCGTTATCGTGAGATGAGGGCTGATTGCTTTTTCCATCTTTGCCTCAGCTCTCTGCTTTTTAGCTAATTCCTTAGCTCTAGCTCGGCATTCGTCGGTGGAATGGCCGTAGATTTGGTGATGTTCGCAGAACTTCTCTAAATCGGAACTCGGGTTCGGTTTGAGAACTGAGTTCGCGAATGAAAGAGAGTGTTGCGGTAATCTTCCTTTGCGATGTCTTTCTAGGAGGAGATTGATCTCCTCTTCAAGAGTAGCAAAGGTTGACGCGCAGCGAAGTGCATCGTCGAGTGATACAGGAGGTCGAACGATTAGTTCTTCTCTGAATTTTGATTTGTACCACAGGTTGTTTCGGAAGGCTAGTAGAGCTACTGCCTCGTTAGGGTTTTCGATCTTAGCAATGATTTCTTTGAATCTATTGACGTAGATCGAAGTGATTCGTTTGGAGCTTGAGAAAGCTTCCAGAGATCGGCTTCGAAACTTCTGATTCGATGAAGATCGAATATTGGTTTACGAATGCCGAAATCAGCTGGTCGAAATTATCTATTGATTTTTCATCCAGCGTTGCAAACCATTTTTTAGCTGGTCCGGCTAGGTTTTCAACAAAGAGTTGGCAGCAAGCTGCTTCTATCTCTTCGGGAGAAAATTGAGCTCGAAGTATTTCGAGATAAAGAGCTCGGATATAAGCTCGTGGATCGCTGTTACCAGAGTATTCTGGGATACATAGCTTGTAAGTATCGCGCAGACAGGTGTTAGCGATCCTGGATGAGAAGGGAGTTTGTTGTGTCTCCCTGATTACTTTGTCGATATCTGGAATCAACTCATTGTTTGGTTAAACGTTGAGTTCGCTTGCCAGAATGCGAGGTTTGTTTGGACCTGGAACCTTTCGAAAGATTCGCGTCCAAAAGGTTTCGCGGATCGACAGGAATCCGGTTAGTTGAAATCGGATGGGATAGAGCTTGATTTGACGAGTTGTTTGCTTTTGTCAATCGAGCTAGATCTGTCGGATCGTTTGCTCTATGAAATTGAGCTCGATCGACTAGATCATTTGTTGCGGGAAACTGTTGATAGTTTCCGTTCACAACAGTTCGAGCTGTTGCAGGGAGCTGCGAGCTCAAAATTTCATCGGACTGATTTTTGAGCTGAGACATCGCCTGCAAGCTTGAGTTGGAAGCCATAGTTTCGGGCCATCTAAATATAGTTGGCTCGACACGTGATAGCTTTGGAGGTGGAGATGGAAGTCGCTCTGTTGGCTGAGATCCTATCTCCGATTTGCTTGAATCTGGAATGTTCAAGCTGCTCATTGGCGAGCTCATCGGTGGGACGAGAGTCTGGAAGACATGAGCGCGCAGTGGCGCCTCATCCCGTTTCGACGAGCTGTTTAACGAGTCATCGGTGGGATGAGAGTCTGGATGACAGGAGCACGCGGTGGCGCTCATCCCGTTTCGACGAGCTGTTAGGTTCGTAGATTGGTGAAGAGTCGAGCTGAGTTCCCGGAGGAGGACTTATAATCGTCCGTAGCTCAGCAAGACTTCGTTCATATTTTTCCAACCTGATTTTTTGGTCGTATTGACTGTTAATCAGGTCGGTGAGCATTCGCTTGATTCGGGCTTGGTCGTCCGGATTCGGTCGAGCCAAGGCAAACGATGTTGACACAGTTTGCGTCGGAGATTTCCGACTGATCGGTGTCGAGGTAATCGGGAAATCTTTAGATTTTACCCGAACTCGCAAATGAGGTCTCTCAATTGCGTGCGAGATCTGATTCGGTAGAATCGAGTTCTCGGCTGTCACAGGAGTGACGAGGTTGATCACCGATGGTTTCATGATATCACCATATTTTACATGATTTTACTATATAATTACTATGTTTTCAAACGGTTTTTGCAAGATTCTTTGCCTTTAGAGGTAGTTTTCTTGTATTTGTGGGATTTGAAGTCTTTGTAGGTGAAACCATCAAAAAGGATGCAAAAAGGAGTAAAAGAGCCCTAAATCAAGATCCATGCAAGTTTCCAAGTCAAGAAGATCATTTTATCTCCAAGTGTTAGTTCTCGCTAGCGCGCAGAACGAAGCTTCGGAAGTTTGGCCGCGCGCGGAGGAGTTCCCGACGTCCAAAAGTTACGATCTTGATATGGAAAGATAGATACTTGAGTCATGCATCACGTCGAAGTGGAATGAAGCCATTTGGATCAACTATGAGGCCTAGACTTATTTTCTACCGAGACATGTCCGGTAAGCGAGTAAACGAAGCCCATGGAGGATTTGGAGTGTCTAATGGCCCGAGCAGCAGCGCCAAAGGCCTTGATCGAATAGAGAAGAGGCCTGGCTAATGTTTGGAGCTTTCCTTGGTACAATGTCGGCCCATACACGACGTGGAGAAGAAGGCTTTGCTCACGGGAAACTTTCCTTTTCCGGCATGAAGAAAACCCTACGCGACTTCGCCCATATATACATGTTTTTAGCCGCTGAAGAAGAGAGTCCGAAAATTATCAAAGAGTGTACGTGTGAGAAGAGAGTTCAGAGAAGAGAAGCCCTAGGAGATCGTCCAAGAAGAAGGAGGCGCCGCTCAACTCTTGTTCTTTCTTTTTCATTGTTTCCATTTCTATAAACTTGATTTAAGAGTTTTCAAGGGAGAATCCGACTTTGTTCATCAATAGAGAAGCTTTCTTCATCCCTTTATCTCTTTTAATACTTGCATAATGTTTACAATCATGCTTTGCTTGCTTGTTTGCATCATGGCCGAGTAGATCTCTTAGTTAGGCCGAGGAGATCTATGGTGGCCGTGATGATTTGATTGTGTTGCAACTTATTGGGATTTATCTTATGGATCTTCACCTTTACTTGAGCTTAATGCATGATTACTCTACCGTACATCTAGTAATCTGATCTTAGAGAAATAGAACCACGACAGTGCTGAATCTAGATCTCAAAACTAGTATTTGGTGAGCAATAGATCATAGCCAACGAAAGCTGAGTTATGGTTTATTGTGAACAATTGAATCTTGATCACCTTTAATGCATGTTTGCAATTCTAATAGCCAACGAAAGCTGAGTATATTAGGTTGTTTTAAACATAGTGGTTGGAGCCACGACAGTGGAAAGACCATACACTAGTGATTCATGTTCAAGACGGCTCTACACACATCCCATGCAACTATCTTTTCATCATTGCTCCATATGATTGTCCTTTGCCTAACTCTTGTTTTAAATTGTTTACAACTCACTCACATTCTTTTGTTTTTTTCTCATTCTAGGTCCAAAACCATCTCATATTGCGAGCTAGCTACAAACCAATCTCACAAGGTGTTAAGTGAGAACACTTCCTCCTCGTGTTCGACCCCGACTACAACACGGCTGTGCACTTGCAGCTCATTAGTTGGGTTTATAAATTGTGAAAATTTGAGGCAATCTAAACCCGCCATCAAGCTTTCTGGCGCCGTTGCCGGGGAGGAGTTGCTTTTCCTTCACACCTCTTGATTGATTTCAAGACTAGCTCATCTCATCTTTCACTTTTCTTTGTTTTTGTTTTTCATAAAATCTTAAAAACTCATAAAAATTTTACTTAACTCTCTCTTTGTGTGTTTCTAAGGTGCATGACAAGAAGGTCCAATCCAAATACAACCATTGAAGAAGATCTTGACATTGACCAACTTGAGCGCACACTTAGGCGACTAAGGAGAGAAAGAATGAATCCAGGCGGAGAAGGCGCGCCAAATAGGCCACACAACCCGCCCGACCAAGAGAGGAGAGCCAATGATCCTCCTAATCCAGCAGAAGCTAGAGCTGACCAGCCAGCACCGGCCAGAGACGTTCCTCCGCCCAATCCGAACGCGCCCGATGCAGCTGAGCCGCTACAGCCACCTCTTAACCCGCCGCGACCACCACCGGCGTTTGCAAATGGACATCATCGTCACGGTGACAACCAAGGGATGCCTCAAGACCAACCTCACGCACCTCCAAGGAGAGTGCCAAACGCGCAGCATCCAAGGCACCAAACTATGGGAGACTTTGATTCGTCCGATGCTTTCTTTATGGATCGGAATCCAATCCGACCGCCTCTACCTCCAAGGAACGATTTTGAGATCAAACCGCAGATCATTGCCTTGGTGAAGCAAAACCAATTCCATGGTTTGCCCACTGAGCATCCTCTTGATCACGTCGACACCTTTGAGGAGATATGTAGCACAACTCGTGTTAATGGAGTATCGCCGGATTACTTCAAGTGCAAGCTATTCACTTTTTCTCTAAGTGACAAGGCGCTAAGATGGGTAAAATCTTTACCACCTCAGTCCATTACAACATGGAATGAATACAAGGGAGCTTTCTTGAACCAATTCTACACTAAGCAAAGATCCAACTCTATAAGGAGCAAGATTTCTGGTTTCAAGCAAGATTCAATGGAGTCATTCTATGAAGCTTTGGAGAGATTCAAGGAGTATACAAGAAGCTGCCCTAACCATGGCTTTTCAGAAGGTAACCTTTGGAACATCTTTTACAATGGGATTGATCATAAATACAAGCTTTCTCTCGATACCGCGAGCAATGGTAATTCATGACCAAGTCGGTGCCGGAGGCAAAGCTTTTGATTGAGAATCTCGCTGCTAGTGATGCCAATGCATGCCCTGACTACAATAGAAGCGTGAAGACCACGAGCTCATCAGAATCAGCTCAAATCTCGGAGCTAAGGAACATGGTCTCAACTACTTAAAAGCCGGCAAGGAGTTCACGCCATTGAAGATGCCCTAGCCACAAATGAAGACACTCTTATGGATTTCATGAGAGATGGCCACTGAAGAGAATCTAGAGGAAGTCAACTACATTGGAGGAAACTATGGGAATAGAGGATTCAATCCACCATTTCGCGCGCATCCAAACCTATCATACCGGAGCAACAATGTGGAGAATCCAAATGACCAAGTCTACCCCAATCAAGGAGCGTATCAAGGAGGCCAATACCAATCCAAGCCACAACAAGTCTATCCAAGAGGGATGTACCAAGTGAAGCAACCATTCACTTTTTCTCAAGAAACAAATCCAACCCAAACCGGAGAGAAGGTTGACGTGGCGTTGAAGAAATACATGGAGGAGCAGAGATTGATCACCAAGAACCTATATGAGAAGCTTGATCACATGTTTGGTGATCTAAGCAGCAAGTTTGGGTCTCTCTCTACTCACGTTCAAAAGCTTGAGGTGCAAATCGCTCAAACAGCCGAGGCGGCCAAGAAACAAAATGAGGTAAACACTCAAAAATTTTGTAGTGTTGTCTCATCTATAGATGGCACAATTGTTCCTACACTATCTCAAGGGGAAGAAGAAGAAAATGAGCCTAAGGAGAGGCACAAACCGGAGAGATACAGTTGGGAATCAAGAAGAGCTTACAAGAGAAGACTTGAAGGCAAGCCACTACAAAAACAAGAAGATCCGGGGAAGTTTGTGATAACTTCAAGTATCAATGGCATTCAACTCCATGATTGCCTATGTGATACTGGTGCTAATGTTAATCTAATGTCTCTTGCACTTGCAAAAGATTTGGGATTCAAGGAATTCAAGAGCCCCAAGATAAGAGTCGAGTTCGCGGATCTATCGTGCATGGAACCTATGGAATGCTTGAAGATGTCATGATGGAAATAGGAGGGTCGATCGGTCCCAACTGACTTTCAAGTCATGATTTGGGAAGGCTCAAAGAGGAATCAACTGATTCTTGGAACCCCATTCCTTGCTACAGCTGGAGCGGTCCTAAACTACTTTGGGAATCATCTATCTTTTGGCCACATCCGGCAAGATATCTTTTTCCCAAGTGTAAATTTCAGGTCAGTGCCAAGTGCGACCAAGCTACCACCAGAAGAAGCCACTCTCACGCCTAAGAAAGAAGCTATGCTGCATGGAGAAAGAAGAGAGAGTGAGCGCTACCCAAAACCAAAGGAGAAGAAGAAAACATTGGAGCCGAGGCATGAAAATGTCTTTAAGGAAATCAACTCCATCTTACTTCCAACCTTCCAAAATTTCTTTATGTGTATTTTGTAGGGAGAAATTTCCTGTGGAATCATAGGTTAGATTCTGATGTAAGTCGAATGATTCGTAGACAAATATTTGACGAAATCGGACTTAGAATAATCGAATAAAGTGGTTACAAATCCGGCATGAAAGACCATGTAAAACACTAGGATTCGACTAAGCAAAAGAGATGGAAATTAGGTGGTGGCTGCACTCGTTAACGAGCTGCCTACGTACCCTGTTTTGGGGATCAAGCCTGGACGTAGTTCGATTGTAAGTTGTTCTCTATTTCGAGTCGTTTTCTGAAGAGAAATGACCACGGATAGAGGTAAAGGGGTGTGAAGATGACAATAAGTCTCAGGTTATCGGAGTGATCCGAAGGTAAGAGATTACGTCAAACTTCTTCCGGAAGTGATTTCCGGCTAGAAAGATCAGGGCTTTCTAGGGTTATCTCGAAGATCAAGGATAAGATTGAAGAGAAAAGATATGAGAATATCTCAGGATGAAGAAGAAGAACTTCACTCTGTGTCTGCTGCGAAAAGATGATGAGAAGAACTTTAGTAGTGATTTTTTATCAAAGGAAATCTTGTCTCATAGAACTTGTGTCCAAAAGAACATTCTGCCTTGTGATTAATAATCGTCCTCCTTTTATAGCTCCGAAGTAGATCACAACCTCCTCCGCGTATCTCGTCCACGTGCAACTACTGATCCCGCTATTTCCGGATCTAAACGGTCGAAGCGAGATTCTCGTTTGACTCGTTCAAACTCGGCTTGCGGACTTGACTCCGTCGAGCTAGAGCTCGTCTTCGGACAGTAAACATCTGGATTTGGACAAAGATACTTGGTGGGCTCGAGGTCATTTTACTGGGCCTGGATGGACTTATCTTGACCTTAGGATTTAGGTGATGGGCCTTATGGGCCGGATTTCTGGAGGGAAATCCAGGTCCAACAATAACTTTTATTGAAATAAGCAAATAAAAATACAAAAGGATAAAGCCAAGATCTAAGGTTCAAGAGCAAGAGCTCAAGAACACAAAGAGGGCTAGGGTTTTTGCAAAAAGTAAAATACAATTAAGGAAAAACTAAAACTAAAAAAAGAGCTAAAGATTATTGTCTTTTTCGTGGCTAAGAGCCTTTTTATACAACATTTTTCGGGTTTGACTGTTGACTTCTCAGCTCGATCGAGTTGAAGCTTGGCCGGTCGAGTTGAGAAACTCGACCGGATGGTCGAGTAGGAGGTCGAGCTGGTCTTCAAGATGACTTCCTCCTTCTTCCTTTGCGTATCCAGTTGAGCTGCGTCCATGCACCAAGTCCTTCCTTGCTCCTCAAGTCTCATATGCTCCAAAATGCTTGGTTTTTTGAAATAGGTCTTTTGGAGCATTTTGGAGCATATGGGACGTGAGGAGCAAGGAAGGACTTGGTGCATGGACGCAGCTCAACTGGATACGCAAAGGAAGAAGGAGGAAGCCATCTTGAAGACCAGCTCGACCACCTACTCGACCATCCGGTCGAGTTCCTCAACTCGACCGGCCAAGCTTCAACTCGATCGAGCTGAGAAGTCAACAGTCAAACCCGAAAAATGTTGCTTCCCCCTTGACTTTCCTTTGACCCTAAACCTAAATCCTCTTGTATTTAAAGGCTAAAAGCCACGAAAAAAACAATCTTTAGCTTAATTTGTTTTAGTTTCTTTTAATTTATTGTCTTTACTTTTTGCAACCCTAGCCACTCTTTGTGTTCTTGAGCTCTTGCTCTTGAATCCTAGATCTTGGCTCTATCTTTTGTATTTGCACTTGCTTATTTCAATAAAAGTTGTTTATCTTTATCTCCTCTTTCATTGATGTCATTTCATTGCATTTGATTGTGTTTACATTCATGTGTAGTGAGTAGTTTAGGGTCAAAGATGGGCTAGATTAGGGGATCTTTATGCTTAATCCTTCTTGCTTATGTTCTTAATCTAGAAATCTCTCTCTTTTGGACAAACCTTAAGGCTACATGACCACTACCCCTGGCTTGTATGTCATTAGGCGATTCTCCACATGGAAGTGATGGAAATCGTTGGAAAAGGTCCACTAAGAGCTCCAATAACTCTTGCTCTCGAAATGGAGTTCATAGGGGTTGGATGGATTAGTTTGAGCAATGATCCTATGGCCTCCAAGGCTTGATTCTCACTGGCTAACCCCCTGTTTCTGAGATCAAGTCTTGGTTGATAGCTTTCACCTTGGGAAAGGGTTAGCTAGGCATTGAGAAGCTCAATATCAAGAGATACCTTGATACAAGTTGTTTGAGAGCAAGATTGATTAAGTATAGCTTCCTCTGATTGTAAACCCTGTCTTAGACCCTAATTCGCATTAGCTTGTTAAAGTTCCTGCCTTTATCGCTTTTTACTTCAACTCGACCCTAACTCGATCGAGCTTGGTACTCTGTTCCCACTCGACTCGAGTCCTTGGTCGAGCTGCTTGCTTTACTGTTTCATTAGGTTGTTAGTGTTACCACCTTATCATTTACTGTTGCTTGACTTCCTTGTTATTGCATATTCTCATAGAGTGACAATTTCACCCATATGGATTGATACCCCTTATACTATAATGACTATGATGGTTAAGGGGAATTGTTGATTGTGATTGTGTTTTGCATCTTACCACCTCATCTTATATACCACTGTTGCATTCCACCACATTTCATATCATATCTTTCACACCCACACACAAATCCTATCATCAATTTGGCGCCAGACTTGGTCGAGCTAGACTTCACCACGGGTAAAAAGAGAAGTCAGAGGACTCAGAGGGTACAAGAGGAACCTGAGGTGCTTGTTACTGATACATGGATGTACCAGAGGGGAATGGAAACCCTTTGGGCAATGGACTCGGTCGAGCTAGGCAAACTCGACCGATTGGTCTAGGAGATGCTCCAAACCGCCATCAACAGAGACAAGGGATTGTTCCACCACCAGTGCAGAACCACAACTTTGAGATCAAGCTGGGAATGATCAACCTTGTCAGAACAAGATGTTCCATGGATTGCCAAGTGAAGACCCCATTGACACCTTGATGAGTTTGATAGGCTATGTGATTTGACAAAGATCAATGGTGTCTCTGAAGATGCCATCAAGCTGAGACTCTTTCCTATGTCTCTAGCTGACAAAGCTCACCAATGGGAGAAGAGCTTGCCCCATGGCACAATCACCACTTGGGATGAATGCAAGAAGGCCTTTCTTGCTAAGTTTTTCTCCACCGGTCGCACAGCCAAGCTAGAGTGAGATATCAAGCTTCATCCAGAGAACAATGAGACATTTGCTGAAGCTTGGGAGAGGTTCAAGGGCTACACAAGTCAGTGCCCACATCATGGCTTCAACAATGAGTCTTTTCTCTCTACCCTTTATAGAGGATGCTTGGCAAGATATAGAGAGATGTTGGACACAGCCAGCAATGGGAACTTCCTTAATCAGGATGTGGATGATGGCTGGCAGCTTGTGGAGACATGGCCATATCAACTAAATGCTATGGAGATCATTATGAGTACAGACTGGAGCTCGACCGCGCACTCGATCGAGCTGGAAGCACAGATGAGAAAAGATATGCTTGCACTCAATCGAAGTTGGACAAACTGATCCTAGCCCAATTCCCTGCTAAGCATGTCAATTATGTCTCTGGAAAAGCTCTAGTTAAAGATCAGGAAGGGGAGGAGACCCAACATGAGGTTTGCTATATTCAAAATAGACAAGGAAGCTTTAGGAATCCTCAGAAAGGATCTACAGTTGGCTATGGACAACAAGGGACATACCCAGCTATCCAAACACCTTGCCGCACCAACACCACAGTGTACCACCAGGCTTCACAAAGGCTAATCATACCCAACCACGTCAAGATTGGGATATGAAAGAAATGCTCCAACAACTCTTACAAGGGCAAGCCAAAGGTTCACTGGAAATGAACCACAAGTTGGTAGAAATAAACTCCAAACTTGAGTCATTGACTTCAAGAGTGCAAATCATTGAGTCTTCTAGTGCATCATCCTCTTCACCACAAGAGTATGCCCAAGCAGTTACACTGAGAAGTGGGCGACAATTTCCAAGCAGGAGTAGCCCACCCCAAATCGCTGTGGACATCGATGACGAGGAAGGGGAGGATTTGGTCGAGTATGCTGATATCCCAGCACCGAACTCGATCGAGCTGGAACAAAACCCTGAACCAGAGCTCGATCGAGCTGAAGAAACCGAGACTCAGCAAGACAAACCAGAGCTCGATCGAGCCGAGAAGCGAACGACAAAGCAAGTCCAGCCAACCAACTAAACCTGTTGAAAGAAGAAAGACACTCCATCAGGACCACCACCATACAAACCCCCTCTACCCTTTCCAGGAAGGTTCAAGAAACAACTGTTGGAAACACAAGGCCAAGTTTGATGAACTAATGAAGAACTTGAGCTGAAGTTGCCTTTCATCGATGCCTTGATGCTCATTCCACCTTACCAAAATTCCTGAAGGATGCTGTTCAGCAAAGAACCAGGGAAGGTGCAAGGAATGGTAGTGTTGACTCGTGAGTGCAGTGCAATCATTCAGCGGAAGGTCATCTCCGACAAAAAGGAAGATCCGGGGAGTTTCACTTTGCCTGCATGTTGGGACCTCTATCTTTCAAAAACAGCCTCTGCGACCTAGGATCATCAGTCAGCCTCATGCCTTTGTCAGTAGCAAAGAGACTGGGATATCACAAGTATCAAGCCTGCGGAATCTCACTAGTCTTTGGCAGATAGATCGATAAGGTTACCAACTGGAATGCTTGAAGACCTGCCTTTGAGAATAGGGAATGTAGAGATCCCCACCGACTTCATTGTGCTTGAAATGGATGAGGAACCAACAGATCCATTGATACTAGGAAGGCCATTCCTAGCTACAGCAAGAGCAATGATAGATGTCTGTGAAGGCACAATTGAGCTAAACTTGGGAAAGGACCTAAGATGAAGTTTGACATCAAGGATACAATGAGGAAGCCAACAATAGAAGGTCAACTCTTTTATGTTGAAGAAATGGATCAGTTGGCAGATGAGCTTTTAGAAGAGCTATCATTGGAGGACCCCCTACAAGTTGCTTTGACCAAGGATTCTTCAGAAGGATATGTGAGCTCAGAAACCGAGGAATATTCGAAGCTCCTTGACACCTTCAGACCAGTTCCAAGCATTCTGAGCATTGAGGGGTTGGACAGGCCAATTTGCGAAGTCATGGCAGTGAGCTCGATCAAGAGCTCGATCGAGTCGAGCCTCGAACAAACGAACTCGATCGAGCTGGGGACTGAATGCAAGGAACAAGCTCAAGGAGATTGGTCTGAGCTCAAGGCACCTAAGGTCGACCTCAAACCTTTGCCTGAGGGCCTCAGGTATGCATTTCTGGGTGAAAACTCAACTTACCCTGTCATTGTGAACTCTGATTTGGAACCTGAACAGTTGAGTGCTTTGCTTGTTGAATTGAGAAAGTACAGAAAAGCAATAGGCTATACTCTAGATGATATCAAGGGAATCTCCCCTGACCTATGCATCCATAGGATTCATCTAGAGGATGAAAGTAAGTCTAGCATTGAACCTCAAAGGAGATTGAACCCCAATCTAAAGGAAGTAGTGAAGAAAGAGATACTCAAGTTGCTTGATGCTGGGATAATCTATCCCATCAGTGATAGCACTTGGATATCTCCAGTTCATTGCGTCCCAAAGAAAGGGGGGATCACTGTCATAAAAATGACAAAGAGGAGCTGATTCCCACTAGAACAATAGTGGGGCATCGCATGTGTATTGACTATAGGAAGCTAAATTCAGCATCTAGAAAGGATCATTTCCCTCTCCCTTTCATTGATCAGATGTTAGAAAGATTAGCAAACCATCCTTTTTATTGTTTTCTTGATGGTTACAGTGGTTTCTTCCAAATCCCGATCCACCCAATGATCAGGAGAAAACCACTTTCACATGCCCTTATGGTACCTTTGCTTATCGAAGGATGCCATTTGGGCTGTGCAATGCCCAGCTACTTTCCAGAGATGCATGACCTCCATTTTTTCAGATCTGATAGAGGAGATGGTAGAAGTCTTCATGGACGATTTCTCAGTCTATGGAGCATCCTTCTCCTCATGTTTGTCAAACTTGTGCAGGGTGTTGCAGAGGTGTGAGGAGACAAATCTAGTACTCAACTGGGAGAAGTGCCACTTCATGGTTCGAGAAGGGATTGTGCTTGGACACAAGATTTCCGAGAAAGGGATCGAGCTCGATCGAGCTAAGGTGGATGTCATGTTGCAGCTTCCTGTTCCCAAGACTGTGAAGGACATCAGGAGTTTTCTGGGTCATGCAGGGTTCTACAGGAGATTCATCAAGGATTGTAGACAAGAAGGGAGTGGAGAATGGAGTTGACGACATAGTCCCCATCAATGATTCTATGCCTGAAGAACAGCTTATGGCAATCATGGTCTTGAAAGAAAGTTTTGATGAGCAGGTCAGGCTGGAAGAAGTCAAGGCTTTGCGTGATGAAAACTTACCCTGGTATGCTGATATAGTGAAATTCATGGTGTCTGGAGAAGTTCCTAGTAGTTTTAATGCTTACAAGAGGAAGAAGTTCTTCAAGGATGCTAGGCACTACTATTGGGATGAGCCTTACTTGTACAAGAGAGGACCATATAACATTTACAGGAGATGCATAGCTGAAGAAGATGTACAAGGAGTTCTTGAGCATTTCCATGGGTCTGCTTATGGAGGTCACTTTGCCACATTCAAAACCGCAACTAAGGTTTTGCAATCTGGGTTATGGTGGCCTACTTTGTTCAAAGATGCAGCAAGTTACATTGCCAAGAACAATCCATTCCAAAGGAAAGGAGGAATCACCAAGAGAGATGAAATGCCACTAACCCAATTCTAGAGGTTGAGATCTTTGATGTATGGGGAATAGACTTCATGGGACCTTTCAAGCCTTCCTCAAACGGGCACAACTACATTTTGGTTGTTGTGGACTATGTGTCCAAATGGATTGAAGCCATTCCCTGCCCAGCCTGTGATGCCAAAGTTGTTATCAAACTGTTCAGAACCATCATCTTTCCAAGATATGGCATCCCAAGGGTTGTTATTTCGGATGGAGGTTCCCATTTCATCAACAAGGTGTTTGAGAAGTTGATGAAGAGTTATGGAGTCAAGCATAAAGTTGCCACGCCCTATCACCCTCAAACCAGTGGGCAAGTTGAAGTCTCCAACAGACAGGTTAAGGCTAAATTGGAGAAGACTGTGCGCTTCACTAGAAAGGATTGGTCAACAAGACTTGATGAAGCACTTTGGGCTTACAGGACAGCTTACAAAACTCCCATTGGCAGGTCCCCTTTCAACTTGCTATATGGAAAAGAGTGCCACTTGCCTGTGGAGGTCAAATAAAGGCTTTATGGGCAGTCAAGATGCTGAACTTTGACATAAAGGCAGCACAAGAAAAGAGAGTAATAAACTTGTTTGAGTTGGAGGAAATCAGAATGAATGCCTATGAAAACTCCATGATTTATAAGATGAGAACCAAGGCAGCCCACGCCAAACTGATTCGCCTTAAGGACTTCAAGGTGGGGGACAGTGTGCTCTTGTTTAACTCCAAGTTGAGCTTGTTCTTCATTTGCGATTTCTTGAGTGCCCTGTTTTTAGATTCTTTTGTGCATTAGGGTGAGATTGATTGAGCAGCAAGAACCATGTTTATCTTGATCATATCACTGCATGCACATCTCATTCAACCATTGCTGTGATTTGATGCATTTCCCTATCTATTTGAACCATAACTTGATCTTTAATTACCAATGCTTGCATTTGATTTCAACTCATGGCTACCACATACATATCTGGACATTCTTTACCATTTTCATATCCCTTTGCTTGTCCAGATAGCTGATCTCTATCTTTGAGACAGTTACCACACCTTTTTTCATTTCAAACCCCATATTATCTCTTGTGCGAATGTGAGAACCTTTCTTGGCTTTGCTTAGCATAAGGTGTTGTGTTTAAACCGGCAGGAGTTCTAGTTGTCTAGTTCTATTGTTTTCAGGCTAAGTTTGGGGGTGCCAACTCGAGCTCGATCGAGTTGGGTGTAAAAACCAGAAAAGTGGTAAAAGTTGGGAAAAACCAAAGGAAAAAGAGTTTAGTTAAGTCCAGGGAGTTGGCAGTGTTAAAAAGGGTCTAGTAAAGGTTTGGGAAGTTAAAAAAGGAAAGTAAAAAGGGTTCTAAGTAGAATGAAAAGAAGGCAAAGCCTCAAGTGTCAAAAAGAAAGAAAAGTTCCCTAAGTGTTTAGAAAATCCCAAACCGCTAGATGTTACCTCAAGAAGCCTCTCCCTAGGAAGTTCTTAAAAGAAAAGTGAGCAAAGCTCCTCAGTTTCAAAGGCGAAATGCCAAAAAGGGTAGTTAGGATTTTGTTCTAAAAAGCTCTAAGTGTTGAACTCGATCGAGTTAGGATTAGGCGGCTCGAGCTGCTGTTCTTGCATCATCTTTGGTTCTAACACTTAGCCTTCTGCCAAAGCAAAGCCACTTTCTTGAGAGATCCCTGTTACTAAACCACCATACAAAAGAGACCCTCTTTGTCTCTTAACCCATAAACCCTTGAAACCAAATGAGTTGATTGATCTTGCATGTTTTTGGTTCACTGTTTTTGCTTAATGAATGTTAAAGGGATTTGCTGATTTGAATGCATTGTTTGAGTGACTGTGAAGTGGGATTGATGTTGATAAGCATGGTTAAATCTTAATGAATATCTCTCACCTTGTTGCATTCTAGAATCTCTAAGTTGGACATTTAGCAAATCGCTTTTGAGGACATGTTTTTAAGTGTTGAATCAGCTTGTTTTCAAACCTCATCTCTTTCTTGTTCTATTTGTTTGCTTGAGGGCAAGCAAAGTTCAAGTTTGGGGGTGTTGATGTACTTGCATTTTACATAGTTTTAGCACATCTTTTATGCATCTTTTGCATAGTTTTAGCTTCCATTTGCATCATATCTTGTTCCTTTTCTCTTCTTATGCATTCATGTTAGTTTTAGGTTGCATTTGCATACATATGCATGTTTGGTCCTTTGAAATAGGTCTTTTGGAGCATTCTGGAGCATATGGGACATGAGGAGCATGGAGGGACTTGGCACATGGACGCAGCTCAACTGGATACGCAAAGGAAGAAGGGAGAAGCCATCTTGAAGACCAGCTCGACCACCGGTCGAGTTCCTCAACTCGACCGGCCAAGCTTCAACTCGATCGAGCTGAGAAGTCAAAGTCAAACCCGAAAAATGTTGCTTCCCCCTTGACTTTCCTTTGACCCTAAACCTAATCCTCTTGTATTTAAAGGCTCTAAGCCACGAAAAAACCACCAAGCTTTAGATTATTTTGTTTTAGTTTCTTTTAATTTATTGTCTTTTACTTTTTAGAGACCTAATCCATCTTTGTGTTCTTGAAGCTCTTGCTTCTTGAATCCTAGATCCTGGATTATCTTTCTTGTATTTGCACTTGCTTATTTCAATAAAAGTTGTTTAATTTCATCTCCTCTTTCTTATGATGTCTCTTTTATTGCATTTGCTTGTGTTTACATTCATGTGTAGTGAGTAGTTTACCCATTAGGGTTTGAGATGGGATAGATTAGAGGTTTTATGCTTAATCCAAGATGGAAAATGAAGCTGAACCTAAAAGGAAGATATGGAAGCCTCGATCTGGCCCCAACCTGAAGCATCTCTTTCCAAAGGAGCTCATTGATGAGAATCTAGAAGGATTGAAGGAGAAAGTTGCAAGAACACTACAACTTTTTCCAAGAGCACTTTTACCAAGAGATTCATGGAGAGATTGTCTATCACCCACCAGATACTCATGGTGAAGAGAAAAGACTTGGAGGATCAAGGATGCCTCTAATCTCCATCTTCTCCTCAACACTAAGCCCTACAGTCAAGTTAAAGACTTAAAACAAGCGCTGCATGGGAGGCAACCCATGAGGTATTTTAGTTTTTCTTTCTTTTCAATTTCTTAGTTTTAGTTTTGTTTTTGTGTTTTCTTTATTTTAAAATAGGATAGAAGGAGAAAAAGTATGAAAAACACAATCCGGGTCGAAAAACATCGGCCTCGGATGCGCAAAGTATTGGCTGGCCAAGGAGAATTCCAACCGGACCAACCGTACCGGTCGACCCGGGGAAGAAGCGGACTATGCTCGGCCGGACGATACAAAATGCGTGACAAGTCGTTCAAGCAACACGCACGGACAGGAGGAGAACAGGCCGCACTCAGCCAGGACAATACACGGACAGACCGACCGTACCGGTCGGGAAGCAAACGCTTTCCCTCTGCCAAGTTTCGCGTTCGACCAAAAATTCGGCCGACCTCATCGCACGATCGGGACAAAAACCGTTTGGCCATCGACCCAAAATTTCTCGGCCAATGTAAATAATGACTTTTCACTAGATTCAAACCGGTTTTAACCGATTTAAACCGATTTAATCCAACTTTCAAACAAAATTCTATGTCGAAAATGAATTATAATTGGACTTTAAACTTTATAACTTTACCTTTTCTTTTCAAAAAACAAGAACCTCTCTTTCTTCTCTAAAACCCTAAACTCCATTAGAGGAGCTCTGAAAGCTTTGTTTTCAAAATTTTTACTGTTCATAAATTTAAAATTGGGATTTGCTTGCTCTTCCTTCCCTTTTTTCACTTTTCAGCACACAAGGTATGATTTTTTAACTATGATTCTCATTATATTGCAATATCGAATTTCACAATAATCTCTTGTTTAGTTTAAATTCTTTGTCTAAACTTGAAATTATCATTCTTATGAGTCTTGTATTGAACTTAGCTAGGTGGAACCTAGGTGGTTTAGAGAATTTTAGAGTTTAATTTCACAATTGAATAGTTTTTCACAAAACTTATTGGGTATTCCAAACTCTTGATTCAAAAGTGAAATTGTTTAGTCATACTTCAATTCATTAGTTTATCTATTGATTACATGGATTAGAAACTCAATTTCTCTTGATTTGCTAAAATTTCGATTTTATGCACAATAATCTTGGGATGAACAGTAAAATCCGAAATTAATTTTGAAAGGTAAAGTTCCAATTTGTTTCTTGGACTTTGGTAAAGCTTTGAGTTGTTTCATTCAATCAAATCATTATTAACTTGTGTTTCTATGCAATGAATCACAAACTGATGTCTCTCCCCAAGAATTTGCTCTTGTAGGTACCCAATGGCAAGGACAAAAGGAAGTGAGACCATGAAGAAGAAAGACCCATTCATGCAACCACCAAGGAAACAAATCAAGCTAGGGAGTAGTCACTCCAATGCAAGAGCAGCAACACCACCCTCACCACAATCCATTGATGCAAGTCAAGAACATGTGGAGAGTCCAAGAGGAGAAGATGATTGGGCACTTGTAAACTTTGTTGGAGAACAAGTCCAAGATCCAAGAAAGTACAAGAAGGCAATGGAGAAGAGTGAACATCGAACCTTGTGTGAAGATGGACACTCCAACCCTTGATCTTCTCAAGATAAGAGATGATGTTACATGGTATCTAAGGAAGCTAGCTTGAGCAAGCTTCTTCAAGATAGAGTGCAGCGAATACCCATTGCTCACTAAGGAGTTCCTCTCCACAGTCGTCTAGCCTTTCCAAACAACAATGGAGACCAACCAGCTGGTGATGGACTCCTACTCTTCAAGATAGGCGACACCAATGGGCGCATCTGAATCTCAGCCCTAGAAATGAGTTTGAACCATGAAATAAATTGGTTGAATCCATGAAATATATGTGATAAAGTGCAATGGTTTAAACGATTTTTCAAGTGAAGATCAAGAGTGATTATGAATGAATACAAGGATGGGAAACGCCTTGTACAAGGGTGGGCTCATTGGGTGGGACACTTCCATTGTTTGGTCTCCTTTGGGTCTTCATCCTAAGAAAATATTTTTGTATTTTTGTTTGATTTTTGAAAAACTCCTGCAAAATAGAAATAGATAGTTAAAAACCATATGGGTTGCCTCCCATAAAGCGCTTTTGTTTTAAGTCATTTAGCTTGACTCCTTCTTTTTCTTTCAATCGTGGTGAAGAGTGGCTGAAGGGCAAAGGATCCCTTTAGCTTCTCCATTCTCCGGTTCAGTGGATCTTGTGGTGGTGTTGTCGCGCCATGATCATCTCTCACATCATCTTTGAAAACCAATGCCTTGGGGAAAAGCTTCATAGTTCTCTCAAGCTTCTCTTCAATGGATTGGTCACCTTTAAGCTCCGAATCTTTTGGTGTAAAGATTCTTATCTTGTGAAAGAGATTAGGTGCACCATTAGTCTCCTCTTCAGCTCCATATTCATCAAAGGTTGGAAGTAGATGGAGTTGATATCCTTTAAGACATTTTCATGCCTCGGCTCCAATGTTTTCTTCTTCTCCTTTGGTTTTGGGTAGCGCTCACTCTCTCTTCTTTCTCCATGCAGCATGGCTTCTTTCTTAGGCATGAGAGTGGCTTCTTCTGGTGGTAGCTTGGTCGCACTTGGCACTGACCTGAAATTTATGCTTGGGAAAAAGATATCTTGCCGGATGTGGCCAAAAGATAGATGATTCCCAAAGTAGTTTAGGACCGCTCCAGCTGTAGCAAGGAATGGGGTTCCAAGAATCAGTTGATTCCTCTTTGAGCCTTCCCAAATCATGACTTGAAAGTCAGTTGGGACCGATCGACCTCCTATTTCCATCATAACATCTTCAAGCATTCCATAAGGTTCCATGCACGATAGATCCGCGAACTCACTCTTATCTTGGGGCTCTTGAATTCCTTGAATCCCAAGTCTTTTGCAAGTGCAAGAGACATTAGATTAACATTAGCACCAGTATCACATAGGCAATCATGGAGTTGAATGCCATTGATACTTGAAGTTATCACAAACTTCCCCGGATCTTCTTGTTTTTGTAGTGGCTTGCCTTCAAGTCTTCTCTTGTAAGCTCTTCTTGATTCCCAACTGTATCTCTCCGGTTTGTGCCTCTCCTTAGGCTCATTTTCTTCTTCTTCCCCTTGAGATAGTGTAGGAACAATAGTGCCATCTATAGATGAGACAACACTACAAAATTTTTGAGTGTTTACCTCATTTTGTTTCTTGGCCGCCTCGGCTGTTTGAGCGATTTGCACCTCAAGCTTTTGAACGTGAGTAGAGAGAGACCCAAACTTGCTGCTTAGATCACCAAACATGTGATCAAGCTTCTCATATAGGTTCTTGGTGATCAATCTCTGCTCCTCCATGTATTTCTTCAAGGCCACGTCAACCTTCTCTCCGGTTTGGGTTGGATTTGTTTCTTGAGAAAAAGTGAATGGTTGCTTCACTTGGTACATCCCTCTTGGATAGACTTGTTGTGGCTTGGATTGGTATTGGCCTCCTTGATACGCTCCTTGATTGGGGTAGACTTGGTCATTTGGATTCTCCACATTGTTGCTCCGGTATGATAGGTTTGGATGCGCGCGAAATGGTGGATTGAATCCTCTATTCCCATAGTTTCCTCCAATGTAGTTGACTTCCTCTAGATTCTCTTCAGTGCCATCTCTCATGAAATCCATAAGAGTGTCTTCATTTGTGGCTAGGGCATCTTCAATGGCGTGAACTCCTTGTCGGCTTTTAAGTAGTTGTGACCATGTTCCTTAGCTCCGAGATTTGAGCTGATTCTGATGAGCTCGTGGTCTTCACGCTTCTATTGTAGTCAGGGCATGCATTGGCATCACTAGCAGCGAGATTCTCAATCAAAAGCTTTGCCTCCGGCACCGACTTGGTCATGAAATTACCATTGCTCGCGGTATCGAGAGAAAGCTTGTATTTATGATCAATCCCATTGTAAAAGATGTTCCAAAGGTTACCTTCTGAAAAGCCATGGTTAGGGCAGCTTCTTGTGTACTCCTTGAATCTCTCCAAAGCTTCATAGAATGACTCCATTGAATCTTGCTTGAAACCAGAAATCTTGCTCCTTATAGAGTTGGATCTTTGCTTAGTGTAGAATTGGTTCAAGAAAGCTCCCTTGTATTCATTCCATGTTGTAATGGACTGAGGTGGTAAAGATTTTACCCATCTTAGCGCCTTGTCACTTAGAGAAAAAGTGAATAGCTTGCACTTGAAGTAATCCGGTGATACTCCATTAACACGAGTTGTGCTACATATCTCCTCAAAGGTGTCGACGTGATCAAGAGGATGCTCAGTGGGCAAACCATGGAATTGGTTTTGCTTCACCAAGGCAATGATCTGCGGTTTGATCTCAAAATCGTTCCTTGGAGGTAGAGGCGGTCGGATTGGATTCCGATCCATAAAGAAAGGCATCGGACGAATCAAAGTCTCCCATAGTTTGGTGCCTTGGATGCTGCGCGTTTGGCACTCTCCTTGGAGGTGCTGAGGTTGGTCTTGAGGCATCCCTTGGTTGTCACCGTGACGATGATGGTGTCCATTTGCAAACACCGGAGGTGGTCGTGGGATTAAGAGGCGGCTGTGGCGGCTCGGCTGCACCGGGAGCGTTCGGATCGGGTGGAGGCACGTCTCCGGCTGGTGCTGGATGGTCAGCTCTAACTTCTGGTTGATTTAGAGGGTCATTGGCTCTCATTTCTTGTTCGGGTGGGTTATGTTGCCTATTTGGCACGCCTTTGATATACCTCTATTTTACATGCTTTTTATACTATTTTAGTATTGTTTTCTAATGGTTTTTGGCAGGTTTTCTATCTAAAAAGGTAGTTTTACTGTGTTTATAGTGTCTAGAGTCTAAACAGGTGAAATGATGCATTTTGGAGCAAAACCATAGGATTTGCACTTCAAGCCGCTCCATGCACAAGCATCAACTTTAAGAGGGCCCAGAAAAAGATCTACTCAATGGATTTCATCAAGACCAGTTCCCTGCGTGCTCTGATTGAGTTAACTTTCCAACGCAACTGGAATGGCCTCATTTGGATGAGTAGAAAAGGAGTTACAACCAAAAGAGTGAAGACTGTCCAGACGGCTCTATCGAGAATCAGCGCCCAAACCGCGCATAGCGGCCGGCCGAGTACGCATCACGACCCGGGAAGCGATGTCCTCACGCCATGCCGCGCACGACCATGCCACGCGAGCCGGGAAAACCTCGCGGCCGCGCAACCTTCTCGCGTACCACGGCCGATGCGCCGTCCGAGCCGGGAAAGCTACGTCCCGTCCGGCCGAGAAACATCGGCCAATCCTTCACCCGTCCGACCACAGCGGCGACCGCGAATCATCCGGCCACGACCGTTCCGATCGTCCGACCACGACCACACCCGATCATCCGGCCGATCGTCCCGACCGACCGTCCGAACGCCGCGGTCGACCCGAAGCCCGTTTTGAAGCCCGTTTCATATTTTCAAGGCCCGGCTTAACCCTAAGCCGCCTCTAAAGACCTAGCACTATATATATAGCTTTTTAGCCTCTTGTGAAAAGAGAGCCGCCTTGTATTACGATTTCATACTTTGAGTTTTATTGCAATCATGTTTTCTTCATCTCTTTGTGTTGTTGCTTTGATTATGTCTGAGTAATTCACTAGTTAGGTTGTGAGATCTATCAAAGAGTTCATGGTTTGATAGGTTGTTAGAAATCGCCTAGGGTTTTACTATATCGCATCTTCGCCTCTGCTTGAATTCATTGCTGCTTGCTTTTCTGATCAACTAGCATCAGATCTTAGGTTTCATATACTCTCCAAAAGCTTGCTATATAACCTGAACTAAGTATTTGGTGAGCAAAACTTCATAGACTGCGAAAGTTGATCTATGCGGGGTTGTGAACAATTGGGTCTTGAACGAACTATTGCTTGATTTAATCACCTAGGGACATACCAAAAGTTTAGCGACTAGGTAGATTAACAAAGGGGTCGGAGCCTCGACAGTGGAAAGATCATACAATCGTGACCTGAGTTCTAGATAGCGCAAACCCTAGCGAACCCTTCTAATATCTTGTTAACCTTGAATCTCTGCGAGTTTCTCATTGCCTAGCGTTTCCCTTATTGATTTTCATAAACCGATTTTCATAAACCGTTTAATCTGCTGTTTGATTTCCTTTGTTACACAATCGAAAACCCTAAATCATACTTGTTTTCTAGCTATATTAGACTTGCAATACTCGAAGTGTACTTATCTGCTCCTTGTGTTCGATACCCGTTTACTACTTCTGACCTGTGCACTTGCAGAATCAGGGATAGGAAAAGGGAAGACCTGATCCCGCGATCAAGTTTTTGGCGCCGTTGCCGGGGAGCAATACAGCTACCTTCGAGTTCCCAACTATAGTCTAGCCTAGAATTTCGTTTTTCCTTTTTGTTTTTGCAAATTTTCAACTTTTGTTTTTCCTTTTTACTGTTTTCTATTTAAAGAATCTTGCCTCTACCCTTTCAGGTACTAAGCTTGAAAGAAGACTCTAACATGAGTGATTCAGAGAGATCCCTCCGGATCCGAATGCCGCGCACGATCGCGCCAATGATGAGATGCCGAGAGATGGAGCGCGACACAATGAAGAAGTCATGGGAGACTTCGATTCAATCCAACACTACTAATCAATCGGAATCCCATCCAGCCGCCACTTCCTGAAGGAAGAAGCTATGAGATTTCGCCGGAGATCATTGGTTTGGTGAAACAAAACCAGTTCCAAGGAAAACCCCAGGAGAATCCTTTGGAACATATTGATGCTTTGAAGAAATTTGTGGCACCATCAGTGCAGGAGGTGCGCCCAAGGAGTACTTAAAGTGCAAACTATTCTCTTTCACTTTGACAGGGAAGGCTTTGCGCTGGGTTAAGTCTCTTCCAGCTCAATCCATAACCACATGGAAAGAGTACAAGGTGGCATTCCTAGGTCACTTTTTCACAAAGCAAAGAGCAAACTTGTTGAGAGAAAAGATCTCTAGTTTCCAACAAGGGCCGGTGGAGCCTTTTCATGAAGCATTGGAGCGCTTTAAAGACTATACAAGAGAGTGTCCTAATCATGGGCTATCTGAGGCAGTCTATGGAACATTTTCTACAGAGGAATAAGTGGGAAGTGTCGATTTTCTCTTGATACAGCCAGCAATGGAAATTTCATGACCAAGACAGTTACTGAAGCAAAGATTTTGATTGAAAATCTAGCCTCAAGCGACAGTGACAACTTCATTGGGCATGAGAGAGCAGTGAAGGCCATAAATTCTGATCCATACAGAGATGGATACAGTGAGATCAAAGCCATGATGGCTGAGATACTGAGAAACCAAGGAAGAGAAGTGGAGAGACAAAGAGAAGCTTATAGAGTTGAGTCCACAATAATTCAAGACTACTTTGGAGATTTGATTCCAAGTTTCAAGAAGAAGTAAACTTTGTTGGAATAGATGGATTGGCACGTGGAGAAGAAGCTTGGAAAGGAGAGCATGATGTTTTTACTCAAGAATCACCCAATGAGAAGAGGGATGTTCATGGAGGAAGAAATTATCAGCAACCACCTCACAAGAGAAGAATGGAGCCAAGGAGCAACTTTGAAGATTTGATAACTTTCATCAAGAGTTCTCATAGAGAGCATACAGCCTTGATTGATGAGAGATTGGAGTCAGCCTTCACGAGATTGAATGAGAAGTTGGATTCATTTCTTCTTTCACAAGAGACTTGGATCTTAGAGTTGCCAACATAGCCAGCTCTATTAAGAGAGAAGAAGGCATGCTACCAGGAAAAGTGGAAATCAATCCAAGGAGAGCAGCTGTAGCAGCTATCACTCTTAGGAATGGAAAAGGGTATGAGCCGCCAGCATACCCAGATCAAGAGGAAGCAAAGCCGCCAATCAAGAAGAAACCAATGGAGTATGTTATTATTGGAGATGGGACTGAACCACCTAAGGAAGTCCATGTCAGAATAGAACCAGGAACTCAGGAGGAAGTGGAGAAGCCACCTGAAGAACCAAGAGTGTATGAGCCAAAGATCCCATACAGAAATGTTCTTTCTCAACCCAAGAAGGAGAAGGAGCAAGCAAAGCTCAAGGATCTTGTTAGCCAACTTTCAGTAAGGTTACCTTTCATTGATGCCTGCCAAATAATTCCATCTCTCAGGAAGTATATGAAGGCCATACTCACAAGCAATGTGAGTCTTGAAGAAGGAGCAATGATGATTACAAAGGAGTGTAGTGCCATACTTCAGAATCGCATGCCAGAGAAGCTGAACGACCCAGGAGTTTTGTTTTGTCTTGCAAGATCGGTTCTACACACTTCCATAGAGCACTTTGTGATTTGGGTTCTAGTGTGAACCTAATGCCTTACTCAGTGGCCAAGCTATTGGGCATCACTGACTTCAAACCTACAAAGATATCTCTAGTCTTTGCAGACAGATCTGTTCGCCGCCCTGTTGGTGTTATTATGGATGTTCCAATCATGGTTGGAGATTGCTACATCCCTGCTGATTTTGTAGTTCTTGAGCTGGAACACCAACCTAAAGACCCTCTTATCTTGGGAAGGCCATTCCTAGCTACTGCAGGAGCTATAATAGATGTCAAGAATGGAAAGATTGACTTGCATCTTGGAGATATAGTGATGAATTTCGAAGGTAAACAAGTCCATGGAGAAACCAACTGTAGATGGTCAAGCTTTTTGGATTGGAGAGCTCGCAGAGACAAGAGAAGAAGTGCTGGATGAACTCCTTCTTATTGATCCCTTGGAGCTAGCTTTGACAAAGGCTGAGAATGAGTATGGATACATGGAAAGAGAAGCTCAATGCTTAGTCAAGTTCATGGATTCAAGGAAGCTTATAAGGAGCTATAGCTTATATGGACTTAGAGAGAGAAGAGGAAGAGCCAGACATTGACAAGATCAGGAAATATCACAAACCAAAGTTAAGTTCGACCCATGGTGCCCACTTAGAGCTCCAAAAGCCGAGCTCAAACAACTCCCAGTTGGTCTAAGGTATGAATATCTTGGTCCTAATGAAACATATCCTGTTATTGTTAATGCTGCACTAACAAAAGAAGAGACCGCTTTACTTGTTCGCGAACTGAGAAAGCATAGAAAGGCTCTTGGTTACTCTTTGGATGATTTAACAGGAATCTCACCTGAACTATGCACACATCGCATCATCCTGGAGGATGAGTCTAGTTCTTCCATTGAACATCAAAGGAGGCTAAACCCAAACCTAAAGGAAGTTGTCAAGAAGGAGATAATGAAGCTATTGAAAGGCTGGAGTGATTATCCAATATCAGATAGTGCATGGGTCAGCCCTGTACATGTCGTGCCAAAGAAAGGAGGGATCACAGTCATCAAGAATGAACATGATGAGCTCATTCCAACAAGGACAATCACAGGACACAGAATGTGTGTCGACTACAGGAAACTGAACTCCTCTACGCGCAAGGACCATTACCCCTGCCATTCATAGACCAGATGCTTGAGCGCCTTGCCAATCATCAATACTACTGTTTCTTGGATGGATACTCAGGATTTTTCCAAATTCCAATCCACCCAGATGATCAGGAGAAGACTACCTTCACTTGTCCCTATGGCACATATGCTTATAGGAGAATGCCTTTTGGATTGTGCAATGCTCCAGCTACATTCCAAAGGTGTATGATGTCCATATTCACAGATCTAATAGAAGAGATTATGGAGGTTTTCATGGATGATTTCTCAGTATATGGTTCTTCCTTTGAATCATGTTTGGGAAATCTTGGAAGAGTGCTACAGAGATGTGAAGACAAGCACCTAGTTCTAAATTGGGAGAAGTGCCACTTTATGGTTAGAGATGGAATAGTGCTTGGACATAGAATCTCAGAGAGAGGCATAGAAGTTGACAAGGCCAAGATTGAAGTCATGACAAACCTTCAGCCGCCCAAGACAGTCAAAGATATCAGAAGCTTCCTAGGACATGCTGGATTCTACAGGAGGTTCATTAAAGATTTCTCGCAGATAGCAAGGCCACTAACACGCCTTTATGCAAGGATATTAACTTTGAGTTCACAGAGGAGTGTCACAAGGCTTTCACTAAGATCAAAGATGCATTGGTCAGTGCGCCAGTGGTTCAACCTCCAAACTGGGAACTACCTTTTGAGATAATGTGTGATGCAAGTGATTATGCAGTAGGAGCAGTGCTTGGGCAAAGAAAAGACAAGAAGCTACATGTGATCTATTATGCCAACAGAACGCTTGATGTACTTGCATTTTACATAGTTTTAGCACATCTTTTATGCATCTTTTGCATAGTTTTAGCTTCCATTTGCATCATATCTTGTTCCTTTTCTCTTCTTATGCATTCATGTTAGTTTTAGGTTGCATTTGCATACATATGCATGTTTGGTCCTTTGAAATAGGTCTTTTGGAGCATTCTGGAGCATATGGGACAAAGGAGCATGGAGGGACTTGGCACATGGAAGCAGCTCAACTGGATACGCAAAGGAAGAAGGGAGAAGCCATCTTGAAGACCAGCTCGACCGTCTACTCGACCAACCGGTCGAGTTCCTCAACTCGACCGGCCAAGCTTCAACTCGATCGAGCTGAGAAGTCAAAGTCAAACCCGAAAAATGTTGCTTCCCCCTTGACTTTCCTTTGACCCTAAACCTAATCCTCTTGTATTTAAAGGCTCTAAGCCACGAAAAAACCACCAAGCTTTAGATTATTTTGTTTTAGTTTCTTTTAATTTATTGTCTTTTACTTTTTAGAGATCTAATCCATCTTTGTGTTCTTGAAGCTCTTGCTTCTTGAATCTTAGATCCTGGATAATCTCTCTTGTATTTGCACTTGCTTATTTCAATAAAAGTTGTTTAATTTCATCTCCTCTTTCTTATGATGTCTCTTTTATTGCATTTGCTTGTGTTTACATTCATGTGTAGTGAGTAGTTACCCATTGGGGTTTGAGATGGGATAGATTAGAGGTTTCATATGCTTAATCCTTCTAGCTTATGGTCTTAATCTAGATTCTCTCTCTTTTGGATAGATCTTAAGGCTACATGACCACTACCCCTGGCTTGTAAGTCCTTAGGCGACTCCCCACACGAAAGTGATGGCATTCGCTGGAAAAGATCCACTAAGAGCTCCAATATCTCTTGCTCTAGACAATAGAGGTCTAAGGGGTTGGATGGATTAGTTTGGGCAATGATCCTATAGCCTCCAAGGTTTGATTCTCACTGGCTAACCCCCTGTTTCTGAGATCATTCCTTGGTTGATAGCCTCCACCTTGGGAAAGGGTTGGCTAGGCATTGAGAAGCCCAATATCAAGAGAAGCCTTGATACAAGGAGTTTTAAGAGCTAGATTGATTAAGTGTAGATTCCTTTGATTGCAAAACCCTGTCTTGAACCCTAATTCTCTCTTATCTTGTTAAAGTCGTCACCTTTAGCTTTGTTTGTCTCAACTCGTCCCTAAACTCGATCGAGCTGGTACTTTGCTCTGACTCGACTCGAGCTCTTGGTCGAGCTGACTTCACTGCTTTGTTTACTTTTATTGCACTGCTTTTCATTTATTTAGGTTGTTAGTGTTACTTCAAATCTATAACTGCTTGCTTGACTTCCTGGTTGTTTCATATTCTCATAGAGTGACAAGTTTCCCATTTTGGATTGATAACCCTTTGTACTACATCAACTATCATGGTTAAAGGGAATTGTTGACTGTGTTTGTGTTTGCATCTTACCACCTCATCATATACCACTGATTGCATTCCACATCTCATTTCATATCTTTTCACATCCACACACAAATCTTATCATCAACGCTTGATGAGGCACAATGCAAGTATGCCACGACAGAAAAGGAGCTTCTAGCTATTGTCTTTGCATTTGAGAAGTTTCGATCATACTTGGTGGGATCGAAAGTTATAGTTCATTCTGATCATGCAGCATTAAGGTATCTCTTATCTAAGAAAGATGCCAAACCAAGATTGCTGAGATGGATACTACTATTGCAAGAATTTGATCTTGAGATCAAGGATAGAAGAGGAGCAGATAATGGAGTAGCTGATCACCTTTCAAGGATGAGAGTTGAAGAAAACCTACCTCTTGATGATAGGCTTGCCTGAAGAAACAGTTTATGCAGCTGAAGCAAGCAATAAGCATGGACAACTAAGCCATCACAGGCCAGGAACAAAGATCTCATCATCAAACACACCATGGTTTCGCCACATAGCAAACTTCCTTGCAGCTGAATACCCACCACCAAACTTCTTTGGCTACAGAAAGAAGAAATTCCTGCGTGATGTGAGAAGGTACTTACTGGGATGAACCTTACTTATACAAGAAATGTTCAGATGGAATGTTTAGAAGATGCATACCCTGAGGAAGAAGTAGAAGGAATATTGTTTGCTTGTCATAGTTCTAGCTATGCAGGCCACTTTGCCACTTACAAGACAGTATCCAAGGTCCTACAAGCTGGATTTTGGTGGCCAACTATGTTTAAGGATGCTCATGCATTCATATCAAGATGTGATGCTTGCCAAAGAATGGGAAATATAAGCAAGAGGAATGAGATGCCACAGAACTTTATACTAGAAGTTGAAGTTTTTGATGTTTGGGGCATTGACTTTATGGGACCCTTCCCAACCTCTTTTGGTGACCAATACATTCTAGTGGCAGTTGATTATGTCTCCAAATGGGTGGAAGCCATCGCCAGCCCTACTAATGACGCACAAGTGGTCATCAAGATGTTTAAATCCATCATTTTCCAAGGTTTGGAGTGCCTAGGATAGTCATAAGTGATGGAGGTTCACATTTCATCAACAGAATCTTTGCCAACCTTTTGAAGAAGCATGGAGTTACTCACAAAGTTGCCTCTCCTTACCACCCTCAAACTAGTGGACAAGTTGAGATCTCAAACAGAGAACTCAAGAGCATACTTCAGAAGACAACAGGCAAGACAAGGAAGGATTGGAGTGCCAAACTAGATGATGCTCTATGGGCATACCGCACTGCCTTCAAAACACCACTTGGTACCACCCCCTTTCATCTTGTTTATGGTAAAGCATGTCATTTACCTGTGGAGCTTGAGTACAAAGCAGCTTGGGCTATTAAGGAGTTGAACTTCAACCTAAAGACAGCAGGAGAAAGAAGATTGATTCAGCTAAATGAGCTTGATGAGATTAGGCATCTAGCTTATGAGAATTCAAAGATCTATAAGGAGAGAACCAAAGCTTTCCATGACCGCAAGATCATCCCAAAGAACTTTGCGCCAAACGACCAAGTTCTACTATTCAACTCAAGGTTGAAACTCTTTCCAGGAAAGCTTCGCTCAAGATGGTCAGGACCATTCAGGATTAAAGAAGTTCGCCCCTATGGAGCAGTGGTACTATGGGACCCAATGGGAGGAGACTTTACAGTCAATGGACAAAGGTTAAAACCCTACCTAGCTTCCACCACAATACCACAGGAGACCACACTCGCGCTTGGCGACCACCAGATCCTTAAGGAAGTGCCATACAGTCAAGCTAATGACTTTAAACAAAGCGCTGAATGGGAGGCAACCCATTGAAGGTCATTTCTTTTCATTTTCTTTCTTTATTTTCTTTTATTTTGAATATTACCTCTCACCTTAATGTGATTTGCTTTCACCGGGACGGTGCAAGTTAAGTCTGGGGGGAGTTTTATTGTGTTACTAATGCATTTTTCTTTCTTTTCTTATGTTTTATTACTTTGTTTCATGTTTTTCAAAAAGTTTTATTGAGTCAAAAACCAGTCCGGAAGTTATGAACTTGCTTTGAGAATTGAGAGTGTTGTGCTAACAATCCATGACCCTAGAGCAGAAACAGCTAAAGGCACAAGCCTAACAGAAGCTCTTACAGTGGATCGACATGCTAGCTCAGCAAAATTTCTAAGGTAACCAAGCAATCTAGAGTTAACCTCACCCTTAATCAATCTTAATACTCTTGTCAAGGGGATTGGCATACATGTCGACAGTTCCTTGCTTGATTTTCAATAAGATTTGTCTAATCTTTAAAGAGTTCTCCTCTCTCTCCCATCCCAAATGGTAAGTAATGTTTATGAGAAAAAGCTCAAAGAGCACAAGGAAAACAAGTAAGCATGAGGAATGCATATGTCTGTACCTTCATGTCTTATGGAATACCTTAGTCAAACAAGGAACAAGCTAAAGACTTATCCTGTGGTTGAAAGAAGGGTCAATAGAAAAAATAAAATGATACCCTAGAAAAGTAGGGAGAAATTGACCTTTCAAAGTTCTGATGTGAGAAAGAGAGAGGAAAAGAACTCATTGCACTTAAAGACAATCTTGGAGAAGATCAAGTGGGTAAGAACAAGTTCAATTGATCGATGTTCCCTTGATAAAGAACTCACGCTTTAAATTTATGCAAGAGGTTAGCAATAGAGAGTTTGGATTGCTGGATGAGACTAGTTGGGTTGGTATTGTTCGCTAAACTTGCAGGGTGTATGTGAAGCTAACCTTATGTTGTCTATGTTCTTAGTGGAATACAGGAAAGGAACCTTTCACAGGATATTCAAAAGAGTCCTTCACAGGAATACAGGAAAGGAACCCTTCACAGGATATTCATAGGAAACCTTATGTTGCCTATGATCATGTCTGAGTAATCCACTAGTTAGGTTGCTAGGGTTACTATTCAATGAGTTGCTTGCATGATCTTTGATTTCAATGATTAGCTAGGGATTATATTAGAGTCTTTGTCTCGTCTTGTGCACTTAACTAATGCTGATTGCTTTACCGCGCATCTAGTAATCCGATCTTAGGTTGATTTGAGCCTCGACAGTGTGTATCATTCGCCGGACATATTCTTTGACAAGCTAGGTTTCTTAGACTGCGAAAGTTGATCTACTATATCTAGTGAACTGTATCAGAACCTATTCATTCTAAAGCTTGATTTAATCACCTAGGGACATACCAAAAGTTTAGCGACTAGGTAGATTAACAAAGGAGCCGGAGCCTCGAAAGTGGAATGGTTTTATATTCGTGATCTGTGTTCTAGATGGTTCTTAATATCCCAATATCCCTAATCAATTCATCTATCATTGTTTCATTGATCATTGCTTGCTTCTCTGCGATAGCCCCTATGACCTAGCGCTTTTCCTTATTGATTTACAACCTCGTTATACTTGCTAGTTCGGTTCACCATTACAACCTCAATCATACTTTTGTTTTAGCTTGATCCAAAATCCATAGTTTCAAAGTGTACTCAATAGCCAGTCCTTGTGTTCGATACCCATACTTCCGCGATCTGTGCACTTGCAGAGGTCTAGGAGTTTGGTAAAACCTGACTCCATCAAGTTTTTGGCGCCGTTGCCGGGGACTGCAGCAGTACCTTTGGAACTCGACTAGGATCTAGTCTAGAACCTTTTCCTGTTTTACTTTTTTTTGCTTTTGAATTTTCAGTTTTTGATTTTTTTCTTTTGCTTTTGTTTTTCCCTTTTGATTTAACTTGTTTCCTAGACTCTTTTCAGGTGCATGACTAGGAGGTCCAACAAGGACAACCTAGTTGAACATCCAGAGATAGACAAGCTCGAGAAGCAACTTAGGAAGCAAAAAGCCCAAGAGATGGCCGACGAAGCAGCTCGCGCTCACGCCGCTGAAGTGGCGCGCGCTCAATGAAGAAGGAAGAGATCCACCTCCTCCTCCTCCTAATCCACAAGACCTGCTGGAGATGTGAATGTGCAACCTCAAGCAGCACCTAAATCGGAGACTATGACTCTGCCGATGCTTTCTTCATGGATAGAAACCCTATCCATCCACCACTTCCTGCAAGGAATGACTATGAGATCAAGCCTCAGATCATAGCATTGGTTAGACAGAACCAATTCAATGGCCTTCCAGCTGAGCATCCTCTTGATCACATAGAAAACTTTGAAGAAATTTGCAGCACTACAAGATCCAATGGAGTCTCTGCTGACTACTTAAGTGCAAGCTCTTTTCATTCTCTCTTGGCGACAAAGCTTCAAGATGGTTGAAGTCTCTGCCAGCTCACTCCATTACCACTTGGGATGAGTACAAGGCCGCTTTCATCAACCACTTCTACACCAAGCAAAGATCAATTTCTGTAGGAACAAGATCTCCAACTTTCGCCAAGCCAACAATGAATCTTTCTATGAGGCGCTAGACCGATTCAAGGAGTACATTAGGGACTGCCCTAATCATGGTTTCAATGAGGGAAACCTATGGAACATCTTCTATCGTGGCATAGACCACAAGTACAAGCTTTCATTGGACACTGCAAGCAATGGAAACTTCATGACCAAGACTGTTGATGAAGCTAAGGTTCTTATTGAGAATCTTGCAGCTAGTGATTGTAACAACTGTCCTGATTATGACCGCTCAAGCCGCACCACTACTAGCTCCCCTGATTCTTTTCAAATGACTGAACTCAAGAACATGATGGCTCAAGTTCTTAAGGGACAGCTCAAGCATATCAATGCAATAGAAGGGATGAGTGATGCTAATGAAGACCCATCAAGAGAATGCATGGGAGATTTCTCTAATGAAGCCAATGAAGAAGATGTGAACTACATTGGAAACTATGGGAACAAGGGATACAATAAATCTCTTTCATATTTGATTTCCCCAATCAATAAATCTCTTTCAACAAGGTGAACAAGGGTATGTTTTTCCCTATGTGTTCAACAAAGAACTCTTTTGTTGACATGGTCCAAGAGGAGAAAGCTACTTTGAAGCCACCCCAAGAAGGAGAAAATGAAGATACACTCAAGGAAGATCCCATTCCTAAGCCCAAGCAGCTTGCCACACAAGCAAGGAGTAAGACTAAGGCCCCTACATCCAAACCGCCCAAGGGATCATCCAAGATTGAAGATGAGACCAAGCCAAGAAGAAAGGTGAGAAAGCCTAGGTCTGGCCGCATCATGAAGCTTCTATTCCCAAAGGAGCTTATTGATGAAAATCTAGAAGGATTCAAGGAGAGATTGATAAGAACTCTACAACTTTTTCCTAGGGAATATGTGCCAAGGGACATCCATGGAGAGATTGTCTATCCAGCTGTGAATCACCCACCAGATACTAATTGCAAGGAGAAAAGACTTGGAGGATCAAAGATGCCTCTAGTCTCCATCTTCTCCTGAGCGCCAAGCCTTACAGTCAAGCTAAAGACTTAAAACAAGCGCTGCATGGGAGGCAACCCATGAGGTACTTTTACTTTTCTTTCTTTAAATTTCTTATTTTTTGTTTTGCTTTTGTGTTTTCTTTGTTTTAAGATAGGATAGAAGGAGAAAAAGGTGTCAAAAACACAATCCGCGCCAAACCATTGCTTTGGAGCATTCTGGAGCATATGGGACGTAAGGAGCATGGAGGGACTTGGCACATGGACGCAGCTCAACTGGATACGCAAAGGAAGAAGGAGGAAGCCATCTTGAAGACCAGCTCGACCATCTACTCGACCAACCGGTCGAGTTCCTCAACTCGACCGGCCAAGCTTCAACTCGATCGAGCTGAGAAGTCAACAGTCAAACCCGAAAAATGTTGCTTCCCCCTTGACTTTCCTTTGACCCTAAACCTAAATCCTCTTGTATTTAAGGGCTAAAAGCCACGAAAAAACCACCAAGCTTTAGATTACTTTTTGTTTTAGTTCTTTTAATTTATTGTCTTTTACTTTTGAGAGCTCTAATCCCATCTTTGTGTTCTTGAAGCTCTTGCTTCTTGAATCCTAGATCCTGGATAATCTCTTTTGTATTTGCACTTGCTTATTTCAATAAAAGTTGTTTAATTTCATCTCCTCTTTCTTATGATGTCTCTTTTATTGCATTTGCTTGTGTTTACATTCATGTGTAGTGAGTAGTTTCCCTTAGGGTCAAAGATGGGATAGATTAGAGGATTTTTATGCTTAATCCTTCTTGCTTATGTTCTTAATCTAGAAATCTCTCTCTTTTGGACAAACCTTAAGGCTACATGACCACTATCCCTGGCTTGTATGTCCATAGACGATTCTCCACATGGAAGTGATGGAAATCGTTGGAAAGGTCCACTAAGAGCTCCAATATCTCTTGCTCTAGAAATAGAGGTCTAAGGGGTTGGATGGATTAGTTTGAGCAATGATCCTATGGCCTCCAAGGCTTGATTCTCACTGGCTAACCCCCTGTTTCTGAGATCAAGTCTTGGTTGATAGCTTTCACCTTGGGAAAGGGTTAGCTAGGCATTGAGAAGCTCAATATCAAGAGATACCTTGATACAAGTCGTTTGAGAGCAAGATCGATTAAGTATAGCCTTCCTCTGATTGTTAAACCCTGTCTTAGACCCTATTGTTCGCATTAGCTTGTTAAAGTCGCTGCCTTTATTGCTTTTTACTTCAACTCGACCCTAAACTCGATCGAGCTCGGTACTCTGTTCCAACTCGACTCGAGTCCTTGGTCGAGCTGTTGCTCTACTGCTTTATTTACTTATTGCATTTCATTTCTGTTTCATTTAGGTTGTTAGTGTTACCCCAAATCTTTACTGCTTGCTTGACTTTCTTGTGTTTCATATTCTCATAGAGTGACAAGTTTCCCATTTTGGATTGATAACCTCTTGTACTACATTGACTATGATGGTTAAGAGGAATTGATTGATTGTGATTGCACCATACCATTTCATCTTTATTCACCCCTGTTTGCATTCCACCTCATATCATATCACATCCACGTAAAATCCTATCATCAGGTAGCAATGTATTTTTTTTTATATTCAACTTCTTCTCTTTATTATAGAGGTTTTGCTTGGACCTTCCATAGACGCGAGTATTGATGGTGTTTGCCACCAAATCCCCGGTTATTTGGATCCATAGGTCTTCCATAGACGCGAGTATTGATGGTGTTTCTTAATCAAGTAGGTATGGTGGCCTCCCACAAGCGCTTGTTTTAAGTCTTTGTAGCTCGACTCCTTTGTGTTCTTAGTTAGGTAGGATTGGTGGCTCCAAGAACTTCCTGTTGCCTGATGATTCCAAGTGCATCTTGTCCTGTAGAACTTCCTTGATCAAGTAGCCATGCGACTCTCCTCTTACTTGTGAGCACTCTCCTCCACTTGTGTAGCGAAATCGCTTGGATGAGAAACCGGGAGGTGCAGCATCGTAGAAGGTGTCCTTGTCAACATTGGCTAGAGAGATTCTTCTATTAGGCCAATCCATGATCGCTCCAGCTGTGGCTAGGAATGATCTTCCAAGCAAAAGCTTTAAGTCCTCCGGATCCTTCATGGTTACTACATAGAAGTTGGCTGGAACTATGCAGCCTCCAAAATCAAGCTGAATGTCTTTAACCTCTCCAAGTGGTTCGGTCAATGATGAATCAGCTAGCTTTAAATCCATTCGAGATTTCACAATTGAATTGATCAATCCCAACTTCTTGGCTATCTCGGCCGGCATAAGGTTCACACTAGAACCGGAATCGCAAAGAGCATCATCAAAGTAGCTTCCATTGATAGAGAAATGTATAAGGAAGTAACCTGGGTCATGAAGCTTGTGTAGAAACCTAGGTTTAGGCATCCCCTTTCTTGCTTCCTCGTACATCTTTTCCAATTCAGCTAGACTCCAATCTTGTGTCCAAGCTAGGTCTTGCATGAATGGACTCTTGTTGCAAGCATTATCAAACGGCACACCATAAGGGAATCTCCTCGCCATAAAGTTGAAATCATCTATGATCTCTTCAAGTGATGATCTTGTCTTCCTCTTCTCCTTGGTGGGAGGCGGTTGTGAAGACTTTGAGTAAGGGTTCTTCCTTTTGGTGCTATCTTTCTCTTGTTCCAGTGGTTAGCCTTGTGGCTCTTTCTTGATCAGCTCTACTCTCTTCTTCATCCCAAATCACTCTTGGGTCGGTCTCTCTTATAGTAAAGACGGGCGCGGCATGTTGTGCTTAGGAACGGTCGTCTTTGCCTCGGTCAAGACCTTCTCTTCCAAGTTGGCTAAGCGAGTGGTTAAATCCTTGACTTCCTTGGAGACTCCATCTACTTTGTCTTCAAGCCCTCTAGCTCTTCTTTGAATATCTTGGCTCCTCTTGTCTAGAGAGATGTGTAAATCTCGGATTTGTGCCTTCACTTGTTTTTGCCCTTCCACCAATGTAAGCATCGTCGAGTAACATTGCCTCTCCTTTAGGGTTACTTCGGCTACCTCCCTCTTAGCTTGATGAGCTACTGCTGTTATTGAATTGAGACTCTTGGTGGTGCCATCGAGGTTGTTATCAAGACTTGAGATCTTCTCATCTAAGTGATTGTCCATCTCCTTGGTAGAAACTTTGGTAAAGTGTATCGCTCTCCTATTGTCTTCAATGGCCTCGCCTTGCTTCTTCAAATCTTCCTCCATGTCCAAGCATCTTGACTCTACTCTCTCTATTTGGGTAGAGAGTTCTCCAAGTCTTCCATCTAGTTCGTATCGCGTGAACTCTAGCTTTGTCTCAATGTCGCGGCTAGTTCTTCTTTGGCTCTCCATGAAACCCTCAAGCACGGCATCGAAATGGCTATCTCTCCGCCTATTGAGAACATGGTCGTGGTGTGAATGCAACACTGGTCTAGGTGGTTGATGATAAACCGGAGGTCGGTTTTGATGATGATGGTAATGATGCTCGTCTCGGCTAGGTCCTTCAAACGTCGGATGAGCGCGGTTGGGAGGGAACGGATGTGGCACGATGCTTACGGCTGGGTCTTGGTAACTCCGGCCGTGGAGATCGTGTGGGATCAGTGTCCGGTTCCCAAAGTGGATGTTGGTGTTGTGATTCATCTCCAAGTACCTATAAACACAAGATTTAAAAAGAAAAAGTTAGTATTCGAAAATACCAAGATCTAGACTTAGTTTTAAACAAGACTATGCAAGTGTTTATGATGCAATCCCCGGCAACGGCGCCAAAAACTTGATGCGGCATCTATGGGATGAGTACAAGTAATAATTCCCTAAGACAACTAGTGTTGCAAGTGCACAACATATAATTGTAGTATTTAGGGGTCGAACCACAAGGGATTGGATTTCACACATTACATAATCATAGAGTTTAAATGACTAAGCTAAATCAAAAGATGCAAGGGTTTGTGTTTGTTTAGAACACGCAAAAGAAATAACAATGCAATTCTATACAAGCAACATTATTGAACTATTGAAAACTCTTTTGAAAACATGAGCCAAGTCGATTGAAAAGTTTGTTAAAATCCGATTCTTTTGAACTCAAAACACTAAGGAAGGATTATTCCACTTTCGTGGTTCCAATCCCCTATGTCTCTTAAACCAATGGGCTCAGCTTTCGTTGGTCATTGTAGAGTGAGACATGCATTACATCCAAGTAATGATTGTTCACAAAACTCTTTAGGTCTACTTTCGTAGCCTAAAACGATTTGCCCATCAAATATTGTGTCCGGAGATATAACAAGCTTTTGGAGAGTATATCAACCTAAAATCAAGTCACTAGTTAGCTACTCTAGCAACAAGCATTAAGCATAAATAAAGATGGAGAACCATAGGGTTTCCCCTTTTAACAATCGATTCAAGATGGCCATTATATCACGTCCTCATTGGAAGGATCCATAATTCAACAATGAGTCTTAGATAGTAGATGAAGTCTCATGAATCCTTAGAGAGAGAGGCGGCGGAATATGACTAAACCGCCTCACCCTTAGGGAGAAATCTCTACTTCTAGACTATATAAATTGAAACATGCAAGCTATATACAAATGCAAAAGAAGAAAAGAAAGAAGAAGGAGACCACCTAAGTGGCTCCGAACTTTATTGAATAAGTGTTTCTTGTTATGCGGCTGGTGATTCTTATTACAAGAGGCTAAAAGCAAGTATATATAGGTAGAGAGCGGGTCTAGGTCGGCAAAGTTGAGCGCGCGCAGAAGAGGAAAGTTTCCATTTCTCTTTAGCCGCTTGAGCTTGCTCTCCAAGTTCTTGAATGGGCCGCGTTCAGGCCAATGGAAGCTTCTGGATTGAGTTATGCTAGTGTCAAGATGAGCCAAGGCCTTGGGCGCGGTATCTCGGGCCTCTTGATCCATCAAAGTCTCCATGGGCTCTACTTAGGCGCTCGTCGGACATGTCTTGGTAGAAAATAAGTTCCGGTCCAACGAGTGATCCAAATGACCTCTTTCCACTTCGCCGCGGGTCATGACTCAAATATCTATCTTTCCATATAAGAATCATGACTTTTGGACGTCGGGAAGGCATGAATATGCGGTCGTACTTCGGATGCTCCGGTTTGGTCTTTAGCGAGAAATGTAGATTTGGTGCTCTAGACTTGGGAACTTGGTGATTTGACTCTTTTTGCTCCATTTTGACTCTTCTTTGCTATTTTGACCTGAATGATGCTCAAAACCAGAATATACAAGAAAACTACCTCTTGGGCATAAAAACCACATTATTTGTATTAAAAACATAGTGAAAACCTTGATAAAAACATGAAAGATATGGATATATCAATGGGTTAGTTTGAGCAATGATCCTACTGCCTCTAAGGCTTGATTCTCACTGGCTGACCCCCTGTTTCTGAGATCTTGCTTTAGATGATAGCTTTCACATTGGGAAAGGGTTAGCTCGGCTAGAGAAGCTCAATACCAAGAGATTGCTTGTGTACAAGTGGTTAATGAGCAAGATCAATTAAGTATAGTCTTCCCCTAGTCGCAAGACACTTTCTTAGACCCTAACCTTCGTATCATTGTATTAAATTTTGCATCTTTATCGCTTTTCCTCTGTTTTTACATCAACTCGACCATCAACTCGATTGAGCCCAGTTACTCCGTTCTACTCGATCGAGCCCTTGGTCGAGCTGCTTTTATTTACTGATTTTTTCTTGCATATCATTTCATTAGGTTGCTAGAGTTACTTCCCATCATCTTTACTGTCTGCTTGACTTCCTTGTGTTTGCATATTCTCATAGAGTAGCAACAAACCCTTATGGATTGATAACCTCTTATACTACATCGACTATGATGGTTAAGAGGAATTGATTGATTGTGATTCCACCATACCATCTCATCTTTATTCACCCCTGTCTGCATTCCACCTCATATCACACTTACATCACTTACATCATTTCATATAATTTCATATCACCCATACACAAATCCTATCATCAAAGCTCATCTCACTTGAACATCTCAATCATTGACAGAGTTTAACAAACAGAATACTAGTGTTTTTCAGATAAATATACGTCAGGGGAACCGGTTGAAGATCATCAAACAAACAAGGCGCACAACAAGGGCCACAACCGGCCAGAGGAGGAGATACAAGCCAAAAATGCGAGATTAGGCGAAATCCAACCAAATTCAATCCAGGAGGGATAGAAAAACAGTTTGGTCAAAGCAGAACTCAATTGGCCCGAGTAAAATTTGAGATATACTCAACGAACATAGAGACCATGCTCGGAGATGATGATCAGAGATGGACCATAAGGAAACCGGAGTTGATGATCGGAGATGGACCAGAAGGAAACCGGAGTAATCGGAAGGCAAAACAAGCTAGATGGAACAGAGCCTTGAGCAAGAGGAAAACAGAGTGCTTGAGGAAGTTGATCAAGCTGAGCGCATCTGTGAAGTCAAAGCAAAAACGTTGACCGAGGATACACTTTTCCCTTCTCTATATAAACCTTTAAGACCTAATTTTCTAGGCAATCTTTTATCTTGTAACCAGTTTCTCTCCAAGAAAAACAGTTTGTTCTTGGAGATCTTTTGTAAGCTTTTACTTTGAATCTTTTAAGTTTAAGAAGTACTTAGTTTGCTAATCTTGTCTTAATGATGATTTCTAGCTTTCTTTACCTCTTTGCTTTCGGTTCGAGTATGAGTAGCGATTAGTTTCGTAGAGGTTTCGAGGGTGAGATAAGGAAAGGTTGGAGCTTTAGCTTCCTGTTGACCTCATCCTTAATCTCCCTTGACTAGTCTTTCTTTAGCTAGAGTGAAATATCGCGGCTTCTTCTTGATCTCTTGAAGTCGCGAAGCTTTGCAAGAACCACCTAGAAGGTGTTCGCGTTATTGCCTAAGAGAACTAGCTAAAGAGGGAAACGTTCCCAACCTAAGAGATTGGTTGTTGGGATGTTTCTTGTGCTATATTAGACTAGATCTTGTGAAAGCTTGTAGCTTTAAGCTCACTAGCGAGAGCTAGCTTTGAGATTCGAGTTTACAAAGCGATTTGACCACGAGAGTGGCAGATTTACCAAAAGTCTAAGCACAAGGCTTGAGTCTTGGGCTAGAAGGTGTCTTTGTCAACATTGGCTAGAGAGATTCTTCTATTAGGCCAATCCATGATCGCTCCGGCTGTGGCTAGGAATGATCTTCCAAGCAAAAGCTTTAAGTCCTCCGGATCCTTCATGGTTACTACATAGAAGTTGGCTGGAACTATGCAGCCTCCAAAATCAAGCTGAATGTCTTTAACCTCTCCAAGTGGTTCGGTCAATGATGAATCAGCCAGCTTTAAATCTATTCGAGATTTCACAATTGAATTGATCAATCCCAACTTCTTGGCTATCTCGGCCGGCATAAGGTTCACACTAGAACCGGAATCGCAAAGAGCAACATCAAAGTAGCTTCCATTGATAGAGAAATGTATAAGGAAGTAACCTGGGTCATGAAGCTTGTGTAGAAACCTAGGTTTAGGCATTCCCTTTCTTGCTTCCTCATACATCTTTTCCATTTCAGCTAGAGTCCAATCTTGTGTCCAAGCTAGGTCTTCCATGAATGGACTCTTATTGCAAGCATTATCAAACGGTACACCATAAGGGAATCTTCTTGCTATGAAGTTGAAATCATCTATGATCTCCTCAAGTGACGGTCTCGTTTTCCTTTTCTCCTTTGGGAAAGGCGGCTGTGAAGACCTTTGTGCAAGGGCTCTCCCTTTTGGCATTGAAAATAACCAACACTATTTTTTTTTTTAAATACTAAACAATTCTAGCAAAGGTCTTTAAAATAAATAAAATAAATAAAATATCAATAACAAATAAATCAGCTCAGCGGAAGCAAATAATAATTAAACAAGTCTAGCAAAATAATGCAAAACAATAAAACAGTAAACATCCTATCATCCCCCTCTTCAGCCTTGATTCCGCGATCACACAAATCTTTTACCTGCAACACATTGGAATGGAGTTGCGTAAGTATTTAATAAATACTTAGTGAGGCAATCACTCTGCCTACGAGCCATTTACGCAATTTACTAAATATTTAATAATATTTATAAACTCCAATAATTATTAAATACCATTTTCCAATTATTAAATAATTATTAATAATTAAAACTCTATTTCTCAATTATTAAATAATTCTCATAATTAAATAATAATTTTTCCATATTTTAAAATAATTAAAATAATTATTTTAAATCAATTAATTAATTAAATTAACCATTAATTAATTAAATCCGAAAATAAATCAAACAATTTGAATTAAAACATTTTAATTCAATCTATACTATATGAAAGTTGAGGCTATAAGCCATTGAGGGCGTCCACATAGGATTATAAGACGCAATTTTATTGGTCCACATAAGCATCTTAAGATTAAGAAAGTTTCCAAATTTTAAACTACCAATAGTATTATTCCACATAATCATATAAAATTAAGAAAGTTTCCAAATTTTAAACAACCAATAATATTAATCTATATCATCATATCAATTTAGCTATATTTGTTAAATTAGTTAATTTCTTTCTTATGTTTCAAGAATATTAAATTAGTATAATCTGTTTAAACTAGAAACTCCCAAGTCTAAAGTGATTAATTTTTTTTTTAATAAATATGTTTTTAATATAAATTTTGAGGCTAAATGCATATAAGAGTATCCACATAAGATTATAAAACCGCATCTTATTGGTCCACATAAACATTTACATAATTAATTTTTTTCCCCAATTTTAAACAACCAATAGTATTAATCTATATCTTCATCTCATTTTTTTCAAATTTTAAGCAGCCAATAATATTAATCTATATCATCCAAAATTAGCTATATTTTTAAAATTAGTTAACTTCGTTTATATTTCAAGAAAATTAATTAATAGAACCGGTTTAAATTAGAAACTCCACAAGTCCAACGTAATTAAATTAAGATTTTTTGAAAATTATAAAAAATATAATTTACTAAATTTTTTAAAATTATATAAAAACATTTGTATAACTAAAATATTAGTTACAAAGAATTAAATAAACCTTAAGGTGAACTATCTTTGACCAAACTTAAGTTTTACAAATAAAGAGTAGGTTACACCACAATAACTGAAGAATTGTTCTAAGCAAACAAAACCAACATTGCAAAAGAGTCGATCTCAACATTATATAATCTATAAATAAAAAAATGGAGATAGAAACAAAAATTTGTAATGTCGTATAGAAGAAACATAAGTTTTGGAGCTAAAACAAAAAATCAAGAAAACAATAGCATACTATATAATATTTAGTTCATCATAACTTTAAAAAATGGCCGAAAAAGTAAATAGTTTGTTTGGATTACTATGAAGCAGAAGAATTCAAAAGAGATTTAGTTGTGCAACCCATACAACAAATTTTCGAGAAAGCATTCCACCCTACATCAACAAAATAAGAATTCGTGTTGGGGAGGATAATGGAGGTTAGACAGAGAGGGAAAGAAGAGGTTGATGTCTGGCATCCTTCACATTCTTTAAGAAGATTTCATCTCCATGTAAATAACGATTTCAAATAAGAGAAAATAACCAACCTTCCAAAAATGGCAAAATATATAAGAATGATAAAAAGATATAGGCAATAAACCTATTAGAGGTAGAATAATCAGTTTTTCTACATCTTCCAGGAACCGATGAACAGTACCCGATGAACAGTAAAATACGAAAATCTCTCCAAAAACTCCCTTTTCTCCTTCTCTGCCTCGAAAATGAAAATGCAAAGAGAAGACGGCTGCACTCTTTAAACTTGATTTTAGGGCTTTCTCCACTAAACCGACCCAAACCAATTCACTTAAATTGAACCGACAAATCAATTTCAATTATTTGGTTTATGGATGTTACAACTCTCCCCCACTAAACTGGATTCGACCTCGAATCCCAACACAAACGTCACAAAGACCACAAAACCCGACCTCGCAAGGCCGCAACACTGGAGATCCTCACCTGATCCCCGAGACAACGTCAATCTTATGTCATAAGCACGTTCCAAGAAAATTTCACTCCTAACTCATCATCCAAACACACCAAACAACTTGTACTGAGGCCCACTTGCACCCAGACAAGTCCACACCGGTCCGCACTGAGGCCCACTTGCACCCAGACGAACCCGAAACGTCCATACTGAGGCCCACTTGCACCCAGATGAACTAAACTGCTTATACTGAGGCCTACTTGCACCCAGATAAGCTACACTCAACTGAGGCCTACTTGCACCCAGAGAGTCTGCCAGAGAACGAAGTCTCCAAAAACATGATGAGTTATTCAGGATCGCAATCCTTAGAGTAAAAATTCCGGAAAATGTCTATAACCATAAGATTAGACCGTCTCACAACCAAAAACTGGTCAAACATGTGTAACATCCGAATACCATTTCACAACACAAGGCAAAATGAGGAAAAACTGCATCTCATTAAAACTCCAAAATGTATATCGTTACAACGAAAACGAAAATACAATAACACCAAAGCCAAAAATAACAACTGAGGCTACAAAGATGAAATAAGCTCACTCCTCGACCTGCTTGTCGAACCACTTCCTGAACTTCAACTTCATCTTTGCCTCTGGCTCCCAAGTCTCCTCTGTAGAACCACTGCAATCCCACAAAATCCTCAGTAAGGGAATCCTCTTGTTCCTCAGAACCTTTTCCCTCCTCTCTAAAATCCTCACAGGCACTGCCGGCACTGTCAAATCTGGCTGAAGATCCTCTGGAATCCTAGCCACTAACTCCTCTGTAGGGTGAAGACACTTCCTCAGCATCGACACATGAAAAACCTTGTGAAAGGCTTTCATAATCTCAGGCAACTCCAGCCTGTAAGCCAATGGCCCAACTCGCTCCACTACTGGAAACGGACCCATAAAACGCGGACTCAGCTTGTTCTCTGCTATGGATCTGTTAGGACCCCTCAACATAGCCATCTTGAGATAAACTCTATCTCCACCTGAAACTCAAGCTCTCGTCTGCGTCTATCTGCATAACTCTTCTGCCTATCCTGAGCCTCCTTCATGTTCAGCCTCACAACACGAACCTTCTCTGTCGTCTCCTGAACATAAGTAGCTCCATACATGCTGCGCTCCCCCACTTGGGTCCAGCATAGGGGTGTCCTACATGGCCTCCCATACAAAGCCTCAAATGGAGCCATGCCAATACTCGCCTGAAAGCTGTTGTTGTATGCAAACTCAACTAAGCTCAGGTGATCTGCCCAATGGCCACCCCAATCCAACACACACATCCTCAGCAAATCCTCCAAAGTCTGAATAGTCCTCTCTGACTGACCATCTGTCTGCGGATGATAAGCTGTACTCAGATGCACCTTAGTGCCCATCTCTGCCTGAAACGCCCTCCAAAACTCTGAAGTGAATCTGGGATCACGGTCTGACACAATACTAGCTGGCACTCCATGCAGCCTCACAATCTCTCGCACAAACTTCCTAGCCAAGACAGCAGCTCCATCTGTCTTCTTGATGGCCAAGAAATGTGCGACTTAGTCAACCGATCCACAATCACCCAGATAGCATCGAAAGTCCTCGAAACAGGTAGTCCAACCACGAAATCCATCGTAATCCTGTCCCACTTCCACTCTGGAATGGGTAAACTCTGCAAAAGACCACCCGGAACCTGATGCTCTGCCTTCACCAAGGCACAAGTGTTGCACTTCGCAACCCAGTCTGCTACATCCCTCTTCATCCCGACCCAATGATAGTACCTCTTGAGGTCATGGTACATCTTGGTCGCTCCCGGATGAATGGAAAACTTGCTCGCGTGAGCCTCTCCCAAAATCTGATGTCTCAACTCCACATCCTTAGGCACACAAACTCGCCCACGAACCAAGATAGTCCCATTCGCAGAGACCTCATACTCAGAACCAGTCACTCTCGTCGCATCTAGCAAACTCTGATCACTCTGCTGAGCAACTCTGATCCTGCTAAGTAGATCCGCCTGATCCACTGCCTCTAAACCCAAAGGCTCCTGCGAAATGGCACACAAACGCAAGGTACTGATCTCGCCAACTAGAGACTCCACATCTCGCTCAACTGCGGAATCATACCTCCGTCTACTCAACGCGTCCGCCACTAGGTTAGCCTTGCCCGGATGGTAGTTAATGCTCACCTGATAATCCGCCAAGAACTCAACCCAGCGCGTCTGTCTCGCGTTCATCATCGGCTGAGTGAAGATATGCTGCAAACTCTTGTGATCCGTGAAGACCTGTACTGTCTCACCTAGCAAGTAAGACCTCCAAATCTTCAACGCGAAGATCACTGCTCCCAACTCTAAGTCATGTGTAGGACGGTTACGCTCACTGCCCTGCCACTGTCTCGAAGCATATGCTATCACTCTGCCCTCCTGCATCAGCACACAACCAAGACCAATGCCTGAAGCATCTGTATACACCATGTAAGGCTTCCCTGGCTCGGGTAACGCCAACACTGGTGTAGTAGTCAACATCTCCTTGAGCTGACTAAAGCTCTCCTCACACTCAGCTGACCAAACAAAAGGGACATCCTTCCCGGTCAACTTCGTCATCGGCTGCGCCATGGTAGCAAACCCCTTGACGAACCTCCTGTAGTATCCTGCCAAACCCAGAAAACTCCTGATCTCGGTGGCACTACTAGGTCTAGGCCAATCTCTGATAGCCTCAATCTTAGCCGGATCCACAGAAACTCCCTCTGCAGAAACAATGTGGCCAAGAAATCCCATCTCTCGCTGCCAGAAACTGCACTTGCTCAACTTAGCAAAAAGCTTCTGCTCCCGAAGCTTCTCCAGAACCAACCTCAAGTGAGTCGCATGCTCCTCCTGACTCCTCGAGTATACCAGAATATCGTCAATGAAAATGATGACAAACACGTCCAAATACTCCCTGAACACGTCGTTCATCAATCTCATGAAGGCTGCCGGCGCGTTAGTCAAACCGAAAGGCATAACCACAAACTCAAAATGCCCATAACGCGTCCTGAAAGCAGTCTTCCTGACATCTGCCTCATCTATCGGGATCTGATGATACCCGATGCCAAGTCAATCTTGGAGAACCAAGTAGCACCCCTCAACTGATCCAACAACTCATCAATCCTCGGGAGTGGGTACCTGTTCTTCACAGTGACTCGGTTAAGACCTCTGTAATCGATACAAAGTCTGAAACTCCATCCTTCTTCTTCACAAACAACACCGGTGCTCCCCACGGTGAAACACTCGGTCGAATCCACCTCCCGCCACCTTGACCATGCCCGCGCTCTCGCCCGCGCTACTCCGGATGCCACTCTTCTCGGCACGCTCCGGTGTAATGAATCAATTCGATGCTCCAGAGTCTAATAAAATGTGGGACTCAAAACCGCCCACTAACAAGGTCCCTACACATTCAATTGCGTTGAGAACCTCCACAATTTTATCACAAATAAATGAACAACACACAACAACAACAACCATTATGCCCTCGGCCCGCCACCACAAATGTGCATCTCCACTCAGATAGTGGACTGCCAACTCAACCTGGTACTAAACCAGAAATCTGATAGACTGGAAATTCCGCTCCAATCTCTGACGCTACTCTTTTGCCGCCTCTGGGCTAACTCCATCCTCAAAGTACGGCATACCAATCATCTGCATGTGCCCCAACATATCCAAGTAGGACGGCACCATCAAACCCACAGCCTGCAGCTGAACAAATCCCGCAGCCCTCTGCTGCACCTCTGCCACTGGAGGTACTCCCGGAGCCCCTTGTGGAACCACTGGCGGAAAACGAGCCAATAACTGCGTCAGCAAACCCACCACTAAGTCATCAAGACCCTGAGCCAGAGCACCACCCCAACCCGGAGCAGCCTCCGCTCCCAAACCAACCTCGCATCCACACTGGCCTCACTCGCCACGGATACCGACTGGGTCACCGACGCAGTCGCCACACTCGGCACCACACTCTCTCCCGAATCCACCGAAGTCCACAATCTCGGCCCTGACCTCCAAGGCCTCTATCTCTGCCACCACGGCCTCAAGCACCGCGCCCTCTCGCGCTACGACCTCTAGCTACTCCGTCCATCTCACTCTATGGAACGAAATGAGTAAACTAGACCACAAAACAAAACTCAAACGCAACATAAAACTCACCGCGGAATCTCTTGTAGCTGAAGGGGATGATACTAAAGCCTAGCAATTCTAACAGTCCTAAAACCGTCTAGGCTCTGATACCAAAATGAAACAACCAACACTTTTTTTTTTTTTTATTAAATACTAAACAATTCTAGCAAGGTCTTTAAAATAAATTAAATAAATAAAATATCAATAACAAATAAATCAGCTCAGCGGAAGCAAATAATAATTAAACAAGTCTAGCAAAATAATGCAAAACAATAAAACAGTAAACATCCTATCATCCCCCTCTTCAGCCTTGATTCCGCGATCACACAAATCTTTTACCTGCAACACATTGGAATGGAGTTGCGTAAGTATTTAATAAATACTTAGTGAGGCAATCACTCTGCCTACGAGCCATTTACGCAATTTACTAGATATTTAATAATATTTATAAACTCCAATAATTATTAATAATTAAAACTCTATTTCTCAATTATTAAATAATTCTCATAATTAAATAATAATTTTCCATATTTTAAAATAATTAAAATAATTATTTTAAATCAATTAATTAATTAAATTAGGGTAATTGCAACAAATATACATCAATAATCTCATAATTAAATGGGTGACACTGACAACTTTACTGTAGAGGACTGTTTACTTACTATTCATTGTCCAAAGACTCACAACACCCTGACTCTTCAAAATATTTTTAACGTGTTAGCGAATTCCAAATAACATGCTAGCATATCTGCTAACAGTTAAGTTAAATAGTTATCATAATACGATTTTAGTTAGCACGATAATCAAATAAGTTATCACCAATATGGGAGATATTATGATAACAATATTGATTATCATGCTACATTATATAGTATTATGATAACTATTTGATTATCATGCTAACTATTGTGATATCGTGATAACTTTCCTTTATAAAATAATTTAACACATAACTTTTGTATTATCATGTTAATTTAACCAAAATCAATTATCAATTATTTGGTTTATGGATGTTACAGGCATCATCTTCTCTCTTGTTCCAGTGGTTAGCCTTGTGGCTCTTTCTTGATCAGCTCTACTTTTTCTTCATCCCAAATCACTCTTGGGTCGGTCTCTCTTATAGTAAAGACGGCGCGGCATGGTTGTGCTTAGGAACGGTCGTCTTTGCTCGGTCAAGACCTTCTCTTCCAAGTTGGCTAAGCGAGTGGTTAAATCCTTGACTTCCTTGGAGACTCCATCTACTTTGTCTTCAAGCCCTCTAGCTCTTCTTTGAATATCTTGGCTCCTCTTGTCTAGAGAGATGTGTAAATCTCGGATTTGTGCCTTCACTTGTTTTTGCCCTTCCACCAATGTAAGCATCGTCGAGTAACATTGCCTCTCCTTTAGGGTCACTTCGGCTACCTCCCTCTTAGCTTGATGAGCTACTGCTGTTATTGAATTGAGACTCTTGGTGGTGCCATCGAGGTTGTTATCAAGACTTGTGATCTTCTCATCTAAGTGATTGTCCATCTCCTTGGTAGAAACTTTGGTAAAGTGTATCGCTCTCCTATTGTCTTCAATGGCCTCGCCTTGCTTCTTCAAATCTTCCTCCATGTCCAAGCATCTTGACTCTACTCTCTCTATTTGGGTAGAGAGTTCTCCAAGTCTTCCATCTAGTTCGTATCGCGTGAACTCTAGCTTTGTCTCAATGTCGCGGCTAGTTTTCTTTGGCTCTCCATGAAACCCTCAAGCACGGCATCGAAATGGCTATCTCTCCGCCTATTGAGAACATGGTCGTGGTGTGAATGCAACACTGGTCTAGGTGGTTGATGATAAACCGGAGGTCGGTTTTGATGATGATGGTAATGATGCTCGTCTCGGCTAGGTCCTTCAAACGTCGGATGAGCGCGGTTGGGAGGGAACGGATGTGGCACGATGTTACGGCTGGGTCTTGGTAACTCCGGCCGTGGAGATCGTGTGGGATCAGTGTCCGGTTCCCAAAGTGGATGTTGGTGTTGTGATTCATCTCCAAGTACCTATAAACACAAGATAAAAGAGAAAAGTTAGTATTCGAAAATACCAAGATCTAGACTTAGTTTTAAACAAGACTATGCAAGTGTTTATGATGCAATCCCCGGCAACGGCGCCAAAAACTTGATGCGGCATCTATGGGATGAGTACAAGTAATAATTCCCTAAGACAACTAGTGTTGCAAGTGCACAACATATAATTGTAGTATTTAGGGGTCGAACCACAAGGGATTGGATTTCACACATTACATAATCATAGAGTTCAAAACTAAGCTAAATCAAAAGATGCAAGGGTTTGTGTTTGTTTAGAACAAAAGCAAATAGAACAATGAAAGCAATTCTATACAAGCAACATTATTGAACTATTGAAAACTCTTTTGAAAACATGAGCCAAGTCGATTGAAAAGTTTGTTAAAATCCGATTCTTTTGAACTCAAAACACTAAGGAAGGATTATTCCACTTTCGTGGTTCCAATCCCCTATGTCTCTTAAACCAATGGGCTCAGCTTTCGTTGGTCATTGTAGAGTGAGACATGCATTACATCCAAGTAATGATTGTTCACAAAACTCTTTAGGTCTACTTTCGTAGCCTAAAACGATTTGCCCATCAAATACTATATCCGGAGATATAACAAGCTTTTGGAGAGTATATCAACCTAAAATCAAGTCACTAGTTAGCTACTCTAGCAACAAGCATTAAGCATAAATAAAGATGGAGAACCATAGGGTTTCCCCTTTTAACAATCGATTTTCGATGGCCATTATATCACGTCCTCATTGGAAGGATCCATAATTCAACAATGAGTCTTAGATAGTAGATGAAGTCTCATGAATCCTTAGAGAGAGAGGCGGCGGAATATGACTAAACCGCCTCACCCTTAGGGAGAAATCTCTACTTCTAGACTATATAAATTGAAACATGCAAGCTATATACAAATGCAAAAGAAGAAAAGAAAGAAGAAGGAGACCACCTAAGTGGCTCCGAACTTTATTGAATAAGTGTTTCTTGTTATGCGGCTGGTGATTCTTATTACAAGAGGCTAAAAGCAAGTATATATAGGTAGAGAGCGGGTCTAGGTCGGCAAAGTTGAGCGCGCGCAGAAGAGGAAAGTTTCCATTTCTCTTTAGCCGCTTGAGCTTGCTCTCCAAGTTCTTGAATGGGCCGTTCAGGCCAATGGAAGCTTCTGGATTGAGTTATGCTAGTGTCAAGATGAGCCAAGGCCTTGGGCGCGGTATCTCGGGCCTCTTGATCCATCAAAGTCTCCATGGGCTCTACTTAGGCGCTCGTCGGACATGTCTTGGTAGAAAATAAGTTCCGGTCCAACGAGTGATCCAAATGACCTCTTTCCACTTCGCCGCGGGTCATGACTCAAATATCTATCTTTCCATATAAGAATCATGACTTTTGGACGTCGGGAAGGCATGAATATGCGGTCGTACTTCGGATGCTCCGGTTTGGTCTTTAGCGAGAAATGTAGATTTGGTGCTCTAGACTTGGGAACTTGGTGATTTGACTCTTTTTGCTCCATTTTGACTCTTCTTTGCTATTTTGACCTGAATGATGCTCAAAACCAGAATATACAAGAAAACTACCTCTTGGGCTTAAAAACCACATTATTTGTATTAAAAACATAGTGAAAACCTTGATAAAAACATGAAAGATATGGATATATCAATAGGGTCAAGGACTTGTGAATCTTTTTCCATATCTAACTAGGAAAATCTGAAAAAGCTCAAAAACAAAAAGGAAAAACGAGATCAAAAGAGAAAGGAAAAATAACAAAAATTAAAAAGGGAAATAGAAGGAACCCTAGACTAGCTCTCTTGCAAGAGCTTGCAGGTGTGAATTGGTCCCCGACAACGGCGCCAAAAACATGATCGCGGGATCAGGTCTTCCCTTTTCCTATCCCTGATTCTGCAAGTGCACAGGTCAGAAGTAGTAAACGGGTATCGAACACGAGGACCAGATTGCACACTACAAACTATGAGATTGAGATCGAGCTAGGGCAAACAGTATGAGATTGGTTGAGTGCAGTGAAAGTAAAGGCATGCAAGTAATAAGCAAGTAGATTGAAATCAATAGGAGATGAGGGCTAAGCAATAGGATAGTCTTAAGATAAGCAATTCATGAAGCAAGGATCAATCAATTAGGGTTATTGCAATTAGGTGCCATCTAGAACTCGAAACACTATGGTATGATCTTTCCACTTTCGTGGCTCCGACCCCTTTGTTAATCTCCCTAGTCGCTAAACTTTTGGTATGTCCCTAGGTGATTAAATCAAGCATTAGTTCGATTAAGTTCAATTGTTCACAACCTACAAGTAAATCAACTTTCGCAGTCTAAAAGAGGTTGCCCACCAAATACTAGTTCAGGCGAATGATACAGCACTTTCGAGGCTCAAATCAACCTTAGATCATATGCTAATTGGCCAGATTAACAACAAGCATTAAGTATAAGCAAAGATGAAGATTATAAGTAAAACCCTAATTCATGTGATCGATCATCAAGCATACATGAATGCCATCCTTTGACTTCCTATCACTTAACAAGTAAACTACTCAGACATAGAGAAGGAAAACGAATTCATATTCATAAGAACAGAGATTCGAATCCTCTCTAGAAAGAGAACAAGCAAGAACAAAGTAAAAGCAAGCAAAACTTTATTAAAGATGTAAAGTAAATTGTGGTCTCTCTCCTTCTTGAGTTACAAGGCTAAAAAGAAGTATTTATAATGCTCTAAGTATAGAAAAGCGGCTAGACCTAATCTAGTAAGTCGGCGTGCATTGGGCTTGAAACGTGTGAAACGGGCTTCAAAAACGGCTTCGGGTCGACCGGACCGTTCGGACGGTCGGTCGGGACGTTCGGCCGGCTGTCGGTCGTGGTCGGCTATCGGCACGGTCGGGTCGATCGTGGCCGAGAGTTTTCGCGTTCGTTCGTCGGGTTCGGCCGGGTGGATAGATTGGCCGAAGGTTTTCGGCCGGACGTGGGACGAGGCCTTCCTGGTCGGACGGCGCGATCGGCCGCGTACGTGAGTTGTGCCGCGCGGCCGCGAGGCGTTGCCTTCCTGTTCGCGCGGTACGGTCGTGCGCACTTCGGCGTGTGATTCTGGTTTGGCCGACCGCGGGACGATGCTTCCCGGGTCGGTACGTGGCTCGGCCGTGGACAGGCGGGACGGGAATGTCGGATGTTGGCCGACCGCGGACGGATGTTCCTCGGCCGGCTGTTCCGCTTGGCCGCGGTTTCTCGATAGAGCCGCCTGGACCAGTCTTTGCTATTTTGATCATAACTCCTTTTCTACTCATCCAAATGATGCCAATCCAATTGCGTTGGAAAGTTAACTCACTCAGAGCACGCGGGAACTGGTCTTGATGAAATCCATTGAGTAGATCTTTTTTTAGCTCCTCCCAAAGTAGATGCAGTGGCATGACTGGTTTGAAGTCCAAATCCTCTGTTTTGCTCCATAATGCACCTTTTGACCTAAAATGACTCTTTGCAGTATAAATCCATAAAAACTACCTTTTAAGACAAGAATCCACTAGAAAACCATTAGAAAACCATAGTAAAATAGTATAAAAAGCATGTAAAATAGAGGTATATCAGCTACATCAGTGTTTCTGTAAGACATGGCTTGGTTGGCTTTGTAATTGTAATATCCTTTGTTGTAGCCTCCTTGCCCATTGCTCATGTAACATACTTCAGAAAATTGTGTATCCTCCCCTTCTTGAACATGGTTCCATCTCTTCAGCAGACACAAAATTGACTTTCTTCATTGTGGACTGAGCTAAGATAAGCTTGTCCAACTTCTCATTCAAGGATTTGACATCTTTTCTCAATTTCTCGTCTGACTCGATCGAGTGGTGGGTCGAGCTCCGGTTGGTGCGATCATACTCTTCTCCATAGCTTCCATTGGAGTTTGCAATGTTTTCCACAAGCTGCCAACCATCATCCACATCCTGATTAAGGAAGTTTCCATTGCTGGCTGTGTCCAACATCTCTCTATACCTTGCCAAACAACCTCTATAGAGAGTAGAGAGTAAAGACTCATTGTTGAAGCCATGATGGGGCACTGACTTGTGTAGCCCTTGAATCTTTCCCAAGCCTCAGCAAAAATTCTCATTGTTCCCTGTATGAAGCTCGATATCTCACTCCTTAGCTTGGCTGTGCGACCGGTGGAGAAAAACTTAGCAAGAAAGGCCTTCTTGCATTCATCCCAAGTGGTGATTGTGCCATGGGGCAAGCTCTTCTCCCATTGGTGAGCCTTGTCAGCAAGAGACATAGGGAAGAGTCTCAGCTTGATGGCATCTTCAGAGACACCATTGATCTTGTCAAGTCACATAACCTATCAAACTCATCAAGGTGATCAATGGGGTCTTCACTTGGCAATCCATGGAACATCTTGTTCTGCACAAGGTTGATCATTCCCAGCTTGATCTCAAAGTTGTGGTTCTGCAGGTGGTGGAACAATCCCTTGTCTCTTGTTGATGGCGGTTTGGAGCATCTCCTAGACCAATCGGTCGAGTTTGCCTAGCTCGACCGAGTCCATTACCCAAAGGGTTTCCATTCCCCTCTGGTACATCCATGGTATCAGTAACAAGCACCTCAGGTTCCTCTTGTACCCTCTGAGTTCTCTGACTTCTCTTTCTACCCGTGGTGAAATCTAGCTCGACCAAGTCTTCTGTTGTTCCGACTCGATCGAGTTCGCATACACCTGCAAAAAGAATCAAAAACCCAGCAATACAAAGAACAGGGGTGGGATAGCTTGATCGTCCAAGTGTATTGAAACTCAAATGCAACAAAATCAATCCCAAATGGCAACGGCGCCAAATTGATGATAGGATTTGTGTGTGTGTGATGATATGAAATGATATGAGGTGGAATGCAACAGTGGTAATGAAGATGAGATGGTATGGTGCAAACACAATCACAATCAATCAATTCCCCTTAACCATCATAGTCATGTAGTATAAGGGGTTATCAATCCAAAAGGGTGAATGTTGCTCTTATGAATATGCAAACACAAGAAAGTCAAGCAGACAGTAAATAAGATGATAAGTAACTCTAACAACCTAAAGAAATGAAATGCAGTGCATAAAGTAAAAAAAGCAGTAAAGCAAGCAGCTCGACCAAGGACTCGAGTCGAGTGGGAACAGAGTAACCAAGCTCGATCGAGTTGAGGGTCGAGTTGAGTAAAAAGCGATAAAGGCAGAACTTTAACAAGCTAATGCGAATATTAGGGTCTAAGACAGGGTTTACAACTAGGGGAAGACTATACTTAATCAATCTTGCTCTTAAACAACTTGTATCAAGGTATCTCTTGATATTGAGCTTCTCAATGCCTAGCTACCCTTTCCCAAGGTGAAAGCTATCAACCAAGGCAAGATCTCAGAAACAGGGGGTTAGCCAGTGAGAATCAAGCCTTGGAGGCATAGGATCATTGCTCAAACTAATCCATCCAACACCTATGAACTCCATTTCGAGAGCAAGGTTTATTGGAGCTCTTAGTGGACCTTTTCAAGCGATTTCCAACACTTCCATGTGGAAAATCGCCTATGACATACAAGCCAGGGTAGTGGTCATGTAGCCTTAAGGTTTGTCCAAAAGAGAGAGATTTCTAGATTAAGAACATAAGCAAGAGATTAAGCATAAGATCCTCTAATCTAGCCCATCTTAAACCCTAAAGGAACTACTCACTACACATGAATGAAAACACAATCAAATGCAATGAAATAGACATTAAATGAAAGAGGAGATGAAACTAAAGAACTTTTATTGAAATAAGCAAGTGCAAATACAAAGGAAATAAGCCTAGATCTAAGGTTCAAGAGCATGAAGCTCAAGAACACAAAGAGAGGCTTAGAGTTGCAAAAAGTAAATTACAAAATTAAAGAAAAGCTAAAACAAAAATAAGCTAAAGATTGTTGTCTTTTTCGTGGCTTAGAGCCTTTAAATACAAGAGGATTAGGTTTAGGGTCAAAGGGAAGTCAAGGGGGAAGCAACATTTTTCGGGTTTGACTGTTGACTTCTCAGCTCGATCGAGTTGAAGCTTGGCCGGTCGAGTTGAGGAACTCGACCGGATGGTCGAGTAGGTGGTCGAGCTGACTTCAAGATGACTTCCTCCTTCTTCCTTTGCGTGTGTTGAGCTGCGTCCATGCACCAAGTCCTTCCTTGCTCCTCACGTCCCAAATGCTCCAAAGTGCTCCAAAAGACCTATTTCAAGGACCAAACATGCACATGTATGCAAATGCAACCTAAAACTACTATGAATGCACAAGAAGGGAAAAGGAACAAGATATGATGCTAATGGATGCTAAAACTATGCAAAAGATGCATAAAAGATGTACTAAAACTATGCAAGTACATCGGTATAGAGAGATGTTGGACACAGCCAGCAATGGAAATAGAATGTGGATGATGGCTGGCAGCTTGTGGAAAACATTGCAAACTCTAATGGGAGTTATGGAGAAGAGTATGATCGAACAAACCGGAGCTCGACCCACAACTCGATCGAGTCCGACGAAAAATTGAGAAAATATGTCAAATCGTTGAATGAGAAGTTGGATAAACTTATCTTAGCTCAGTCCACAATGAAGAAGGTCAATTTTGTGTCTGCTGAAGAGATGGAACCTGTTCAAGAAGGGGAGGATACACAATATGCTGAAGTATGACATGAGCAATGGGCAAGGAGGTTACACCAAAGGATATTACAATTACAAGTCCAACCAGCCATGTCATACAGAAACACTGACGTTGCCAACCCACAGGATCAGGTCTACCCTCAACAACAGCAAGCTCGATCGAGTCAAGCCCCTCAACATGGGTATGGTCCTAAAAACAACTACCAAGGCCCTCAAGGGACTTTTCCTGGTCAGCAAATGCACATACCACCTGGCTTTCCCCACCAACCACCCCAGCCTGCGCCTACACCTGAGCATGAGCTCAAGGCTATGCTGAAACAATTGCTCCAAGGGCAAGCGGATGGTGTTGTGGAACAAGCAAGAAGTTGGCTGATATCAACTCCAAGATTGAGAACCTAACACAAGAGTGTACTCTCTGGAGAATCATGCTTCTTCTGTTGCTGCTGCTTGCAAAGCAAGGACAACTACCTGGTAAAGCTGTTCAGAACCCCAAGGAACAGTGCAAGGTCATCTTACTCAAGAAGGCTTGATGAAGAAGAGGATCAAGAAAGAGTCAAGGAAGAGTTCTGTATGCTGCTGAATGACGACGACATTGTTGCTGCTAAGGCTCCAAAAGTCCAGATTGATCAACCTGAAGTGCAAGCCACTACCGTAGCCTTTCACACTTCACCAGTTGAGCTCGCACAACAAGCTCGATCGGCAGCTCGATCGAGTCGAACTCTAGCTCGATCGAGTCAGACATCATCCGTCCTCAAACCAATTTTGCTTGATCCTTACCAGCCAGTTCATCCAACATCAGGCCGCCTACTAGTCAAAGCCATAAGGAAGTGATTCACAAGTTCAGAAGGACCTTAGTGAGATTGGAGTTGAGTTGCCTTCAATGGAAAGTATGAGTGAGGCATTTGAGCAAATGAAGTTGATTCAAGATGTTATGGCTAACAGAGAAAAGGTTTCACAGCTTCTGGAGATGTCTACTCACCAAATCAACCTGCTTACCTCACCTACTTTCTTACCAAAGGTGAAGGATCAAGGGAAGTTCACTCTCCCTTGCAAACTAAGCCATATTGAGCTTGACAATGACTTGGTGGATTTGGTGCAAGTATCAACTTAATCTCCCTCACAATGGCAGAAAACCTTGACATTGCTGGAGCATTGCAGCGCCCTACTACCTCAATCATGTTTGGAGATGTGATGTGAGTCAGGTTTTACCAAACTCTTTAGACCTCTGCAAGTGCACAGATCGCGGAAGTATGGGTATCGAACACAAGGACTGGCTATTGAGTACACTTTGAAACTATGGATTTTGGATCAAGCTAAAACAAAAGTATGAATTGGAGGTTGTAATAGTAACTAAAACTAGGAAGTAAATAGGTTGTAAATCAGATGGTAAGAAGCGCTAGGTCAACAGGGGCTAATCGCAGAGAAGCAGGCATTGATCAATGAAACAATGATAGATGAATTGATGTAGGGATATTGGGATATAAAAACCGTCTAGAACACAGATCACGAATATAAACCCATTCCACTTTCGAGGCTCCGGTTCCTTTGTTAATCTACCTAGTCGCTAAACTTTTGGTATGTCTCTAGGTGATTAAATCAAGCATTAGATCGAGCGGGTTCCGATACAGTTCACTAGGTTATAGTAAATCAACTTTCGCAGTCTAAGAAACCTAGCTTGTCAAAGAATATGTCCGGCGAATGATACAACACTTTCGAGGCTCAAGTCAACCTAAGATCGGATTACTAGATGCGCGGTAAAGCAATCAGCATTAGTTAAGCGACAAGACGAGACAAAGACTATAAGATAATCCCTAGCTAAACATCGAAATCAAAGATCATGCAAGCAACTCATTGATTAGTAACCCTAGCAACCTAACTAGTGGATTACTCAGACATGATCAAAGCAATAACACAAAGAGTTGAAGAAAATATCATAGATAGATAAAGGTTTAGAAATTGAAGTAAGGAGGAGAGATCTTCTTCTTGAAATCTCTAGAAAAAAACTCCAAGTATGAAAAACGTGATACAATTGCGGCTCTCTCTCTCAAGAGGCTAAAAAGTTGTATTTATAGTGCTAGGTCTTTAGAGGCGGCGAGACAATGCTTTCCGGTTCGCGCGGCGCGGTCATGCGCGGCTTAAGGTGGTAAGATGCAAACACAAACACAGTCAACAATTCCCTTTAACCATATAGAGTTATAGCATAAAGGGTATCAATCCAAAATGGGAAATTGTCACTCTATGAGAATATGAAATACAAGGAAGTCAAGCAAGCAGTAAATAGATATGGGGTAACACTAACAACCTAAATGAAACAGAAATGCAATGCAGTAAGTAAATAAAGCAGTAGAGCAACAGCTCGACCAAGGACTCGAGTCGAGTGGAACAGAGTACCGAGCTCGATCGAGTTTAGGGTCGAGTTGAAGTAAAAAGCAATAAAGGCAGCGACTTTAACAAGCTAATGCGAGAATTAGGGTTCAAGACAGGGTTTTCAATCAGGGAACTACACTTAAAACTCTCTCTTGTATCAAGGCTTCTCTTGATATTGGGCTTCTCAATGCCTAGCTAACCCTTTCCCAAGGTGAAAGCTATCAACCAAGGAATGATCTCAGAAACAGGGGGTTAGCCAGTGAGAATCAAACCTTGGAGGCCATAGGATCATTGCCCAAACTAATCCATCCAACCCCTATGAACTCCATTTCGAGAGCAAGAGTTATTGGAGCTCTTAGTGGATTTTTCCAGCGATTTCCATCACTTCCATGTGGAGAATCGCCTAATGGACATACAAGCCAGGGGTAGTGGTCATGTAGCCTTAAGATTTCCAAAAGAGAGAGAATCTAGATTAAGACCATAAGCAAGAAGGATTAAGCATATGAAACCCTAATCTATCCCATCTCAAACCCTAATGGGTAACTACTCACTACACATGAATGTAAACACAAGCAAATGCAATGAAATAAACATCATAAGAAAGAGGAGATAAAGATAAACAACTTTTATTGAAATAAGCAAGTGCAAATACAAAAGAGATTATCCAGGATCTAGGATTCAAGAAGCAAGAGCTTCAAGAACACAAAGATGGGATTAGAGCTCTAAAAAGTAAAAGACAATAATTAAAAGAAACTAAAACAAAAAGTAATCTAAAGCTTGGTGGTTTTTTCGTGGCTTTTAGCCTTTAAATACAAGAGGATTTAGGTTTAGGGTCAAAGGAAAGTCAAGGGGGAAGCAACATTTTTCGGGTTTGACTTTGACTTCTCAGCTCGATCGAGTTGAAGGAGTTGAGGAACTCGACCGGTTGGTCGAGTAGATGGTCGAGCTGGTCTTCAAGATGGCTTCCTCCTTCTTCCTTTGCGTATCCAGTTGAGCTGCGTCCATGCACCAAGTCCTTCCATGCTCCTCACGTCCCATATGCTCCAGAATGCTCCAAAAGACCTATTTCAAAGGACCAAACATGCATATGTATGCAAATGCAACCTAAAACTACTATGAATGCATAAGAAGAGAAAAGGAACAAGATATGATGCTAATGGATGCTAAAACTATGCAAAAGATGCATAAAAGATGTACTAAAACTATGCAAAATGCAAGTACATCAGTAGTATGGATTGAGGGTAGTTGATACGAAAAATCCTACTTATCAACTTTGCAGGAGTAGGAACTGCAGATGTCGCTAGCTCACAGTCGACGCTGGAGAGGTACGATATCCAGAATATCATGATATAAGATGATCATAGTCACACACTTCAACTTCTAACTACGATCAATTATTAAGGTGATCTCTTTACACATGGATTTGTGCAGGATGTGACCATGAAGGGATTCACATTCTCTCAACAAGAATCTCCTCCATTATGCATCCTTTCAACATTCTATCTCCAAAGTAATACTTCGTCAAACTATGAGATTCTTGAATGCGCTATTGTCTTCTCATATATGAATGGTGAAGAATGAGCATCTCACAGGTCCGTTTCTAACACATGGTTTTTGGATTGCTTATAAAATATGATTATAAGGGGGGAACTCAGCCTATAGGTCGTGATATTAGCAAATGAATCTAATCTGATTAAAACACATATTTTTTTATGGTCGGGGAGCAGACAGAGCCATTGGCCGCGACATTGTGGATCCACACTACAAGGAATGTCTTTACGCTGGTATTGGCGTCTCTTGTGTCGAAGGAGAAGTCATGCCTGGCCAGTGGGAGTTGCAAGTCTACCTGTGGAGAGAATTGGTCTTGGTGATCGAGTATGTGTTGCTTATAAAATATGATTATAAGGGGGGTGGGAACTCAGCCTACAGGTCGTGATATTAGCAAATGAATCTAATCTTAATAAAACACATATTTTTTGATGGTCGGGGAGCAGACAGAGCCATTGGCCGTGACATTGTGGATCCACACTACAAGGAATGTCTTTACGCTGGTATTGGCGTCTCTTGTGTCGAAGGAGAAGTCATGCCTGGCCAGTGGGAGTTGCAAGTCTACCTGTGGAGAGTATTGGTGTTGGTGATCGAGTATGTGTTGCTTGATGCCTTCTCGAGGTAGATCTACTAAACCAGTTCATTTGTGAATACAAGCTTCAAATTTGCTAATAACATGTCTTTTTTTACAAAGACTTACTGAGATCTCTGGTGTGATGGTCATTATTGACCCAAAACCAGTTCCAATCAGTTCCTTACTACTCTTTACTACTTCATATGCACTATAACTAAAGTGTTGTTGTAACATATATGAATGGGTAGGGTGACGGAGCTGGAGTTCACTGCAACGACAGTACAAAATCGATGAGGAATGATAGGAGGATTACTCCTTGCCAAGGTTGGTAAGCAAAATCTCTTGATAATTCTTTTTTGACCTGGTTCAAGTTTTAGCTTTTTGTAGTGCTGTGTCAAATTCTTTTGAAAGTTTCTTCATTTTACATCAATTGTTTGTTTGTGTGTTATTATCAATTTTACAGGGGAAGAGATTGGTTTTCGTCACAAACATCTCAACAAAGTCAAAGAAACAATATGGCAAAAAGTTTGAGACTCTTGGCTTGAATGTTATCGAGGTTAGTGACTTGGTTCATAAAAAATCTAGCTAGATTTGCTGTTATGAAGTGACCAATTGTTCTTGATTGAAGCAGTAACATTTTTATTTCAGGAAGAGATATTTGCATCTTCTTTTGCCGCAGATGTACTTGCAGTCTATTAATTTCCCAAAAGATAAGAAGGTTAAACCATCTTCGAATCAAAACAAATATGTCTCAATCTCATGTGCTAATCAAATTATTAAGAGTCCCTTTTGCAATAGTTCGAATGCAAATATTAATTCAGGTCTATGCGTTTTCACACACTTTACCGATGCTCAAGAATGGGGAGGTTAGCTTCTTTCCCCATCCAGCTAAGCTTTTCTAAATACTCTATCTTACAGGCACGTGACATTAGCATTTTATAGGCTGTGATAAACAATATTGTCCAGAGAAGCTTCAAGTAAAACACAAAGAGTGCTTGCTGCTTACGGTGAAGGCAAAAGCATCGTCTCACTAGGAAGCATGAAAACGCATAAATATACAGGTTCTCTTACGGAAAGACGGAGCTACGGTGAGAGTGGACGGAGAAAAAGGTCAAGGTTACTCAGAGGGCTGAAGGCCAGCTTCTAACATTGATCTTTATGTCATTACCTCCATTGTCACTGCTGTGAATGGTTTCACAAGTATGATCGTAATGACTTAATGCTATATTGTAATTATTGTTTATTGATCCCATGAAACAGCTTCAATTTGAATGTTTTCAAATATATCCTCTTTAAAAACCAATTGAACAGAAAAAAAGAAAACCTTTCCCCTTTGTATCTCTATTGGTTTTCGGTTCTCATTATCCATTGTTTATAAGATCTGTACTTTTCTTGCTTTGGCTGAGAGTAAATTGGCGTCGAAGAAAAAGAAAGGAGCGTCAGCAGTACAAATTCAGATTCTCGAGTAACTTTGTTCAAGATGGAATGGAGAGTCCCAAAGAGTAGAAAGTAAAAAAGTTTGCTAAACCTGACAAGTATAACAAGTAAAAAAAAATTGCATCTTCGGGTTTCAAAATATGTAAACTTTTCATTTCAGTTTATTAAAAAATCTTTATTCAATGAGAACATCCGAGAGAATGGGTCTAAATTGATAGAAACAAAAACAATCACTCAAGTTGTGTTTTTGTTTACCTAAGTTTTGTGAAACCAAAATAAAATGATGGAGAGAAGGATGACATAATATGAGTTAAAAGAAACGCTGAGAAACTTAAGAATTCAAGAGAGTACTCATTCCTTTTATCTAATGTTGCCGAGCTAAAGGAACATCAGAAGAAAGTATGACTTAGGTAAACAAAAACACAACTTAAGGATTCACTCTACCATGACTTCCTTTAAGAAACCAGGAAGCGCGGCAATAATAGTAAACAAAGGTCTTACTTCTATTTGTGTGTGTGCAAACTAATACTTCGACTTATCACTCTACCGTGTTTGTATTTTTGAAAATCAATTTTCTTTAGATTCAAATAACTTACTAAGTTATATGAAATTTTGTTTTTGGGAATTAGATGTTCAATTAAAAAAAAATTGAGATAATTTACAAAGTAACTAAACAAGGCAGAAAGAACAAAACTTAAAAAAAAAAAAAGCAAATTACTAACTGAAATTAAAAATGATGTATACCATATAAATTTAATTTAAATATAATATAACCGGGCTGATGATGTAAGTTCCATCTTTTGATGGTTTGATTTGAACAAATTGATTATAGTATTTGCATAGTTATGATGTGCCACTAGACCAGGATACAAAGCAGCTGTTTTTTTACTTCTTTTAATTGTTCTTCTTAAACTCCTTTTAACTGTTTTCAGGATGTGGGGAATAAAAATGAGAACAAAAGCAGAGGTCAGGGACGAGGAAGGCGACAGAATCAGCAAGGCGGCAACGGTATATGTACTTTTTCATTATTTATACTGTTTTTGCAATGGAGGGAAGTGGAAATGAAATTTTGAGACCCATTTGTGATTTTGCGACAGGACATGGAACCTCACCATCAAGCTCATCGTCTTTCCATCATAACTATAATCATCATTCATCATCCAGTTGAGGTCTCAAAGGGACCGCCTGGCCCAATAATGCCTGATGGGAAGAGAGGGTTCACCATGGGGCGTGGTAAACCACTTCCTCCTCCTCCCACATCCACTCAAACCAATCACGAAGTTTGATGGTCTTTTTAGCCCCCTTGTGTTGTTGTGTGGTTTCGTTTCGCTTTTTTAAAAAAAAGAAAGAAAGAAAAGAAGTGAAACATGTATGTAGTTATAACTTATATGAGAAGTGAGATCTACAAGTCCTCTGAATCCTCGCTTTAGGTTATATGAAGTTCAATGTTTTTCTAATATATATGCCATTTAGTTGTAGTCGCCTTTGACGCATATAAATTGTCTTCAAATTTGTCTTTCCAATACCAGACTACTTTTACATAACCAATTGTAAACACCAAATTATAATGGATTTTTTGTTGAGTAGATCTAACTATATATATGCAGTTTCCTTCAACGGTCTTTTTTATATCAAACATTATGCTTGAAATTCACTTTCCGAACCGTCTAATGTGCTTCCACCGTTCACTTGAGCAGATCCTTTGAAAAGTATCATAACTTTGGTCTCCCAAGAGTTTCTCTTCTCCCACTAGACTACTTTGAGTTCTCTAATATGAGGAAGCTACTTCTTTCTTCATGATGGATCAAATCATATGAACTCTATCTTACCATCACTGATCAAATTACTTCTTGAAGCACCCCGGACAAAAGAGAGCTTGATTCCTTTGTTAATGGATCACATGCAAAATTAAAAAGTGTCTACTTTCTTCACTTATATATCTTTACCACAATATTTACAACCACATTAGTGGAGGCAACAAAATATCAAATTAAAATCGAGATCATCTCTACGGAACAAATGTATAGAAGATTTTACCGGCGTAGCCCGGTCGATCACCTAGTTGAACTTGTGAAAATGTTAGCTCCTCTATTTATACAAGTGATGAGGAGGTGATAAGGGAGAGGAAGAGGCGGTGAAGAGGGAAACTTACAGCCAAAGTAAATATTAAAATATTTGGATAATTATCCTTTCTAACATAAATCAAAATCTGATCTTCACATTATACGGTTCAGCATTAAACCCAATTTATGATATATTGATCGCTGATTTGATGCAAATTACTATTGCTGCGTGTAAATTGTTATATAGCATGTCTCCAAATTATAAATTAAATCGAATATTATAATATTTATTTACTAATATAAGCATTGGTTTAAAAGAAAAGTAAAACAAGAAAAAAAAAACTATTGGTTTGAAAAAAAAGAAAAGAAACTCTAAAAATCGAATGAGCTGTTTCCTTTAAAAATTTAAACATTTTTGGCAATTTGCTAAATCCTTCTTTGGAAACGCGTCTCCGTGTTTTCTTTGTCCATTTACTCTCTTTCCTTCGTCTAAATACCAACAAAGATCATAAGAATTTAAAATTTTACTTTAAATAATCTATAACTTTTTTCCGCCGGGGATACCGTGGGGGTGGCGATGGAATTGAGGAGAAAGTTATGCATTGCGGTGGCAGTTTTCGTAATCATGATCGAATTAGTTTCATGCAATTTCGTGTTTAATGTACAAAACAAGTTCGCAGGGAAGAAGAAGAAGCTTGCTCATTTCAAGTCTCACGATACACGACGGCACTCTCGAATGCTCGCATCCGTTGATCTCCCTCTCGGCGGAGACAGCCGCGTAGATTCTGTCGGGTTTTGTTCTTACCCCTCTCTTTTGTCGAACGAATTGGAACACTTCTGTTCTGTACGAAAACAAGTTTTTTTAAGGGTTTTATGATTATTTCGTGAAAACTTATTTATGGTACGTTACGAAATAGGTGATTTCGCTATTTTATATATGATTCTATCAAATTCTTACAATTTCACTGTTTTCTAAAATTTATTTTGCTATTTTATACCATTCATAATATCCATCAAATCTTATGTCTTAACGTTTTGAAAAGTGATTCTGCTATATTTAGATTATGTATGATAAATATCATATATCTTGTGATGTGTATCGGATAAACGATTCGATGTTTGTGGTGCAATAAATGATTTGGCAATTGAATTTAAATACTTATGAAGTTAAATGTTCGTGATATTATTTCAGTTTATACTTCACTAAAATCAAGATCGGGTCGCCACCAAAAGAATATCATGTTCAAGTCGATACAGGAAGTGATATACTGTGGATCAACTGCTCTCCGTGCCCAAAATGTCCCTCCAAAACTAACTTGGGTGTAAGGGTTCTTCCTGACTTGCTTTAGTGTATATATTGTAGCTTAAGCTCTTAGCTAGGATCTCATCTTCTGAATTTTGTCAATGCAGTTTAGTTTATCATCGTATGACGCGAAGGCTTCTTCGACATCTAAGAAGGTTGGATGTGAAGATGATTTTTGTTCTTTCATATCGAACTCAGATACTTGTCAACCTGATATCGGATGTACTTATCACATTGTCTATGCGGACGAAAGCACAAGTGATGGGAACTTTATAAGAGACAAATTAACACTCGAACAAGTTACCGGAGATCTTAAAACCGGACCACTTGGGCAGGAAGTGGTATTCGGGTGAGAGGTTAATATCTCAGCTTCTATGTTATGTTTATAAAATGCAACAATTTCATTCAAGTGTGTCAAGGATAAAGCATAATGCTTTTATGTATTTGTTACGTTCATATCATGGCTTAAGCATTAATGTAACATCTTCAAGAATTTGTTGAGTTCTTGTTTGTGATGTGAGTTTTTTAGGTCCTCTCTTTTGTTTTGAGATAGGTGTGGAAGCGATCAATCTGGACAACTTGGGAAATCAGATTCAGCGGTTGATGGCGTTATGGGATTTGGACAATCAAATACCTCTGTACTATCACAACTAGCTGCCACGGGGGACGCGAAAAGAGTATTTTCGCATTGCTTGGATAACGTCAAAGGAGGTGGGATTTTTGCTGTTGGTGCAGTAGATTCTCCAAAAGTTAAAACAACCCCTATGGTGCCTAATCAGTACGTGTCTTCTCTCAAGTCCTTTTTGTTCTTTGTTTCTTAGACACTATGCATTAGAGTTTGTTCTTTTGATTGAACAGCTTTCTTGATTTATGAAAAATATTTCTTAGTTTTGTCTCATATGCTTTGATAATTCTTGCTTTACTCTAAAATCAGCTAGGATGATCCATCATCTTGATTTTCCACTGGATGGTTTTGATTTTAGAAATCTTTAGTGCGTATAAAGGTTTAATATACACATGTTTGTGGATGATCTTGAATCTTGTAAAAATATACGTTGTTCAAAAACATTTAGGATGCATTACAATGTTATGTTGATGGAAATGGATGTTGATGGAGCTCCTCTCGACCTTCCACCAAGTATTGTCAAGAAAGGAGGAACCATTGTTGATAGTGGTACAACTTTGGCTTACTTACCACAAACTCTTTACGATTCTCTAATAGAAACGGTAACATTCTTCTCCTCTTAGTAGTCTTTAATTCTAGCTCGTGAATCACAATCTTTGTCATGATTTTGGTGGTGTAGATCACTGCTCGTCAACCTGTAAAACTACACATAGTAGAAGAAACCTTCCAATGTTTCAGCTTCACTAAAGAGTAAGACGACTTATTTCATCTTTTAGATACCAAATTATATGGTTTTTTTTTTTTTTTTCGATAACTTTATCATTGCCTATATAATTTTTTTGTTTTGCATAAGCATGCTTCAATCATGTACTCATGGTATGGTCTGGAAGTCTTAAGGAACAACATTAATTTCTTCTGAAACTAGCTTCAATGTTTTCATGCCGCTAAATCAGTGTGTTAATATGCTAAAATATTCGTCCTTGAACTTGCAGCATCGATCAGGCATTCCCACCAGTAAATTTTCAATTTGAGGACTCTCTTAAACTTACCGTTTATCCGCATGATTATCTTTTCTCACTAGAGGTAAGCAAGTCCATATGTTTTTTTGAATACATAAACCTTTTCTTGTAAGATTCCAAGAACGTTGTTATATCTTTTCGACCTTGATTGAGATGTTTCAAGTTGTAGGAATTTTGATTCTCTTTTTTTCGTCTAGCTCTGTTAGATGCTTCTATATACTGATATTAAATCACAAAGAAACAAACATGCTTTACAATGTTCACTCGACCAGATATGTAATTTTGCTTCCTCATTTGCCAACAGGAAGACATGTATTGCTTCGGTTGGCAAGCTGGTGGAATGAAAACTGAGGATAGATCAGAAGTGATACTCTTGGGAGGTAAAACTTCAAATTTCTAATAAAATCGTTCTTTTGATAATTTCTAACTCGTGTAAGCATTGAAGATGCTAGACGATAGATAGAAATTAACCTCAAATCATTGACTTATCATTTTCTAGATATGGTTCTCTCAAACAAGTTAGTAGTATACGATCTTGAAAACGAGGTGATAGGATGGACAGATCATAACTGTAAGTATCTCTACAACCCAGGAAAATTTTAGCAAAACCAAAATTCACTCTTTATGCTTTCTTTGTCATACAACAAACAAATGGGTTTGTTTTTTTTTAAAAGGTTCATCAAGCATCAAAGTAAAAGATGGATCAGGAGAAGTTTACTCGGTAGGAGCAGACAATCTTTCATCAGCTCCTCTGTTGATCATCGGAAAGCTTCTTACGGTTTTGTCAACATTGATCACAGTGGCTTTTACCTCATTAGCATAGCTCAAAAACAGAGAACATTCATCTGCTTTGTTTTGGTGATGGATGTTGAAAGCAGATGAAATAGTGTAAAACAGTTTTCTCATCACATATACATCTCTTTTCTTGGTTCAGTTTTTTATACAGATCATATACAACCAGGCCCGGCCCAGCCATAAAGCTCATGAAGCATTAGATTTAGGTCACACTTATATTTACTGTTTTTGAGGGCCACCATTACATATTGGTACAATAGCATAGTGGTCATAGGTGATACTTTTCAGCTCTCTTTGCTTGAGTTCGACTCCTGTTGTACTAGAAAATATTCTTATATTTTTTGTCTAGGCCACATTTTCTAAAAAAAACTTTAGGCCACCAAATGTGTTGGGCCGGCACTGTATACAACAATATATAGACATTTTACCTAAATGTTATAGAGAGATGAAAATTTAGAGAGTGTTCCTCAAGAACTGTACAACAAAGTAGACAATGGCTAGAAACAATGCAATCTGATATACATCTCTCTCCAAGCTATCATCTCTCTGGAAATACTGTTTCACAACAATTAACATTCTTTTAGTATGCATGCTTATGGTTTAAAGCAAGAAGTAAGCAAATACTGACCTTTGTTGGATCTGTTGGATCCCGATAAATCTCTGTATCTTCTTTTCGAGCAGCGAAACTGGCTGTTAAGTCTTTCGTGACATTGAGCAAGTCTTTTGCGGATTCAGAAGCAGCAAAGAGGCGGCGAGATGTCAAGAAATAGGCTTCAGCAATAGGTGATGATGAAGATGAGTCCCAAGACTCTACATGCTCAATCACTTGGCCACTAATCTGGTTAAGAGTAAACTCAGATTTGACTTTGATGATCAAATCTCCACTTATAGCAGCAAGAAAAGATTTGGGTTTTCCTTTGACTGTCCATCTAATACGCAAGACGCTTGTTGATAACATTATCATCTCTTGTATCGTCTACAAATAGAGGGAGAAAACAACATTACTTTCCTTTTTTAAAAAAAATCCGGAATGTGATTCATTGGCTTTTGCCACTCTATTTATCCTCCAAGGTGAAGTGTAGCCATTTGAGTAGCCCATTTTTGTTACAAGAAATGTTATTATGCATAAGTAATCACAGTTCTTGTAACAAAAATGGGTAGAAAATTCACAAAATGTTAAAACGTCTAGCTTAGGTCTTACCACCGTGGGATTCTCTAAGCCATTAGGTATCCACATTGGTCTTTTATACTTCTCACGACCTGTAAAACTTCTAATCGGATCCTGCAATCACTATCAATCACCATGTATTTACTTATTACCAAGGAAAACTTCAGAACATCACAAGAGAATTAATGATAAATTGATAATCAATTCACGTCGGCGACCATAGTCTGAAACCAAAATTTGCCTTCACTCATTATTTTATTTTATTAGCCATTAATGCCTTTTCACCAAAACATATATAGGATTCTTATATTGGTCGTCTAACACTAATTTTCATAACTTGGAACAAGGTATTATGCTTCATTTTCAATGTAAGAAGCAAGAACTGTCTCATTCTATATAAACTTCAAATCGTGTTGAGAAGTCTGATTCGGTTACGAGAACGGCCTAAAAGACAAGATAGTTCCTAAAGTTTTTGTTCTTATTACTCACAGTTGCAAGTAACCATCATATATCTATGCACCTTGTAACGTACCTTATATCTGACGGAAACTGCATAGCACGCAAAAGCTCGATTTCCTTCCCTTAGTTCAAGAATGTCACGAGCAAGTTGTCTGGCTGTGGATTCGACCTGCGGGCTACTTGTGCACTCAAACTCATTGCATAATTCACCAAAATCAATCTTATCAACGAGTTTGTCTGCTTCTGATGTATCAATGGATACTTCAGTCCTCCTGGAATTATCCAAAACTGAGAAGAAAAACAGAACGAAGAGATAGTTATATAGTAAGATATGGGCTAAAGATAGACTCCACTGGGAAATATACAATCAGTAAGATTGTTCAACTAATCATTAACTCAATTGTGAACAAGAACAAGAACAAATAAAAAAATGAAGATTGCAAAATTGTATTTTATATAGAATACACAAAGAGAGGAGAAGAATAATGTACATCGGGGAAAACGGTGGTGGAGCTTAGAGGAAAGCCGAGAGTGGCGGCGAAGAAAAGCGGTGGAAGGAGTAGAAGTAGGGAGGAGGAAAGCGGAGGAAGTAGTCATCGGAGTGTATTTCCGTTATCCTTCTTGATTGTGTGGCGAAAAGGGTTGCTTAATGGATGTTTTTCTTCCTTACAATTTTTTTTTTGTTGCTTTTAAAATTAAGACATTACTTTTGGTCATTGGATAAGGTTTTTCATGGTGATATAGATTTTTATTTTATTGTGTGACTAAATTATTCAAATTCTTTCGTTTTGGATCCTAGAAAGAGCTTGTCTCATAAACAAACAAAACAAGTAATTATCTATTCAAAACATTCAAGAATCTGATTTTTCTGTTCTGCAAATGAATTAAGAAACTCAAAGATCGTGTTTTTATTACAAGATAGTAAAGAAAAAAGGAGATTGTGTCTCACTAATTCTTCCTCAGCTTCTTTAAGCCGATTCACAAACGGCTCCAATCCCTTCACAAACGTTTGCCTACAAAACTACCAATACACACCATTACAAAGAGAGCTAAGAGCATCTCCATCAGAGTCTCTAGAACGGATATTAGAAGGATTTTTAAATGTTAAATCGAAAAATAAAAATGTCTAATTATCTAACATATGTATTTTGTAGGAGAGATATTACAAAATGTTAATATACGTTATATACACAATCATGTGATTGGTTCATGTTTTTCTTTTTAAATGGCTTTCTTTTTTTTTTTTTTTTTTTTTTTTTTTTTTTTTCGCTTTCTCCTGTTTCTCTCTTCCATACCCACGAGAAAAAAATCCTCCTCCATATGGATCAAATTCCTCCTCTTCTCCGACTGAATTCCCGGACGAATCTCCGGCGATTTCTCTGATCCAAACCAAAGAATCAAGAGCGTGATGGTGGTTTCTTTATCCAAATTGGAGATACTTTTTTTTTATATTGTATTTGTAGTTTTGTATATCATGATACATTTTTTTCTTCATCCTCAGCATTATAATAACCGTCTTGAAGCATTTTTTTTTTACAAACCACTAGAAAGGTGACCTGCGCTATGCCGCAGGATTGTTTAGATAATTTCTTTTTCGTATTTTGTTTTTAAATTTGATTTTAAGAATCATTTACGCAAACTATTTTTTTTTAATTTATATTAATATTTTTTATGTTTATTCAAAGTTTGTTGTTAAATTCAGATGACATAATTGTATTATTATTATTATTATCATTTTGAAATTTTGTTTAACACTATCTTATCAGAACATAATTTATTTTCCTATAAATGTAATCCGGAGAAGTATTTATATACTTTTTTGTATTTTTAGTTTTGTATTTGATTTTGAAAATATCAGTATCATGTAATATTAATATTCCTCTGAAATATATACTAATATATGTTTACCTCATGATAGTATTGCAGATGTGTATAACCACCAAACCGAATCAAATCAAAACCTATATCTTCTATAAAATGAAAAACTCAAACTAAACCAACTTTTAATCTCAAACGAACAACTGAAATATACAAGCAGCTAATCTTGCATTTAGATGTTCCAAACTCATATGAGCGATAAAGGACCATGTAACAATAATATAATTTCTCTTTGTTTTTATCACATTTGTTTACGCTAAAAAACCGATAAAGTTTCGGATCAGTATTATCCCTCTCCAAGAAATCACGCTCAATAAGCGACTTGATTCTTGATCTCAGTCGGATTCGCCATGAAACTCCCCTGAAGCTGTTTTGTTACCTCCACAATAATATTATTATGATCCAACACTTTCCTCGACTTCATGATCCTCACAACCGTTGCTTCAATTTGAGGCTTCCTATCTTCCTGATGTTGAGTCAGGTTTTACCAAACTCTTAGACCTCTGCAAGTGCACAGATCGCGGAAGTATGGGTATCGAACACAAGGACTGGCTATTGAGTACACTTTGAAACTATGGATTTTGGATCAAGCTAAAACAAAAGTATGATTGAGGTTGTAATGGTGAACAGAACTAGCAAGTATAAACGAGGTTGTAAATCAATAAGGAAGAAGCGCTAGGTCAACAGGGGCTAATCGCAGAGAAGCAAGCAATGATCAATGAAACAATGATAGATGAATTGATTAGGGATATTGGGATATTAAGAACCGTCTAGAACACAGATCACGAATATAAAACCATTCCACTTTCGAGGCTCCGGCTCCTTTGTTAATCTACCTAGTCGCTAAACTTTTGGTATGTCCCTAGGTGATTAAATCAAGCTTTAGAATGAATAGGTTCTGATACAGTTCACTAGATTATAGTAGATCAACTTTCGCAGTCTAAGAAACCTAGCTTGTCAAAGAATATGTCCGGCGAATGATACAACACTGTCGAGGCTCAAATCAACCTAAGATCGGATTACTAGATGCGCGGTAAAGCAATCAGCATTAGTTAAGTGCACAAGACGAGACAAAGACTCTATATAATCCCTAGCTAAACATCGAAATCAAAGATCATGCAAGCAACTCATTGAATTAGTAACCCTAGCAACCTAACTAGTGGATTACTCAGACATGATCAAAGCAAACACACATAGAGATGAAGAAAACATGATTGCAATAAAACTTAAGTAGAAATCGTGATACAAGGGCGGCTCTCTTTCAAGAGGCTAAAAAGTTGTATATAGTGCTAGGTCTTCAGAGGCGGCTTAGGTTAAGCCGGGCTGTGAAAACGTGTGAAACGGGCTTCAAAACGGGCTTCGGGTCGACGGACGTTCGGACGGTCGGTCGGGACGGTCGGCCGTCATCGGATCGTAGTCGGCCATCGGTACGGTCGATCGTGGCCGATAGTTTTCGTGTTCGGCCGACGGGGTCGGACGGATGGATAGGTTTTGGCCGATGAAACTTGGCCGGTCACAGGACGATGCCTTCCTGTTCGCGCCGATGGGTCGGCCGCGGTACATGGTTGTGCCGCGCGGCCGCGAGTTGTTGCCTTCGTGTTCGCGCGGCACGGCACGGTCGTGCACGGCTTGTGGTGGCGAGCTAAGGAGCGGTTTGAAAACGTGGAAACTCCCTTGCTTCTTTGAATATCCTGTGAAAGGTTCCTTTCCTGTATTCCACTAAGAACATAGGCAACATAAGGTTAGCTTCACATACACCCTGCAAGTTTAGCGAACAATACCAACCCAACTAGTCTCATCCAGCAATCCAAACTCTCTATTGCTAACCTCTTGCATAAATTTAAAGCGTGAGTTCTTTATCAAGGGAATATCGATCAATTGAACTTGTTCTTACCCACTTGATCTTCTCCAAGATTGTCTTTGAAGTGCAATGAGTTCTTTTCCTCTCTCTTTCTCACATCAGAACTTTGAAAGGTCAATTTCTCCCTACTTTTCTAGGGTATCATTTTATTTTTTCTATTGACCCTCTTTCAACCACAGGATAAGTCTTTAGCTTGTTCCTTGTTTGATAAGGTATTCCATAAGACATGAAGGTACAGACATATGCATTCCTCATGCTTACTTGTTTTCCTTGTGCTCTTAGAGCTTTTCTCATAAATATTTCTTACCATTTGGGATGGGAGAGAGAGGAGAACTGCTTTAAAGGTTAGACAAATCTTATTGAAAATCAAGCAAGGAACTGTCGACATGTATGCCAATCCCCTTGACAAGAGTTATTAAGATTGATTAAGGGTGAGGTTAACTCTAGATTGCTTGGTTACCTTAGAAATTTCGCTGAGCTAGCATGTCGATCCACTGTAAGAGCTTCTGTTAGGCTTGTGCTCTAGGGTCATGGATTGTTAGCACAACACTATCAAATCTCAAAGCAAGTTCATTTTCCGGACTGGTTTTGACTCAATAAAACAAGAAAACATGAAACAAAGTAAATAAAACATAAGAAAAGAAAGAAAAATGCATTAGTAACACAATAAAACTCCATACACTCAAAAGATCCCTGTTACTAAACCACCATACACTCAAAAGAGACCCTCTTTGTCTCTTAACCCATAAACCCTTAAACCAAATGAGTTGATTGATCTTGCATGTTTTTGGTTCACTGTTTTACTTAATAAATGTTAAAGGGATTTGCTGATTTGAATGCATTGTTTGAGTGACTGTGAAGGTAGGATTGATATTGATAAGCATGGTTAAAATCTTAATGAATATCTCTCACCTTGTTGCATTCTAGAATCTCTAAGTTGGACATTTAGCAAATCGCTTCTGAGGACATGTTTTTAAAGGCTGAATCAATTTGTTTTCAAACCTCATCTCTTTCTTGTTCTATTTGTTTGCTTGAGGGCAAGGAAAGGATAAGTTTGGGGGTGTTGATGTACTTGAATTTTACATAGTTTTAGTACTTCTTTTATCCATCTTTTGCATAGTTTTAGCATCCATTAGCATCATATCTTGTTCCTTTTCTCTTCTTTTGCATACATAGTAGTTTTAGGCTTGCATTTGCATACATATGCACGTTTGATGTCTTAATCAGGTCATTTGGAGCTAATTGGAACATTGCCTATCACTGGAGACTAGTTGAGGAAGGAAAGACTCTGTCTGCCCCATGTACGGACCCGCACTCGGTCGAGCTAGTGAGATGCGTCCGAAGTATCGTATCAAATGAAGGGTTTACACTCCGATTCAGCCTCTGACTTCTTCTTGGAAGTTGTGGATAATTGAGTTAGCTTTCGTCTGGAGGTGGTTTCATGTCATTCGGACCAGCGGTTCAGAAGATACGACGATTTTGGTTGGACTCGACCCACCAGCTCGACCGGCCAGTTTCCAACTCGATCGAGCTGCTTTTCCAGGAGTCAAAGTCAAACCCGAAAAATGTTGCTTCCCTTTGACTCCCCTTTGACCCTAAACCTAGTTTGCTTTACTATAAATGGCATTGAGCCACGAATTAAACACAGCTTTGGCTCAACTTTTATTTAATCTTGTATTTGCATTTCCCTTTTTTACTTTTTAGCCTCTCTTTGTGTTCTTGAGCTCTTGCTCATAGAACCTTAGATCTAGGCTTTATTATTGTATTTCTGCACTTCTTTATTTCAATAAAAGTTGTTTATATCATCTCCTCTATCTTTTGATGTTCCATTCATTGCATTTGGTTGTTTATTTCACCATGATTAGTGAGTAGTTCCCTTTAGGGCTTAAGATGGGATAGGTTAGAGGTTGTTTATGCTTAATCCTTCTTGCTTATGTTCTTAATCTAGAAATCTCTCTCTTTTGGACAAACCTTAAGGCTACATGACCACTACCCCTGGCTTGTATGTCCATAGGCGATTCTCCACATGGAAGTGATGGAAATCGTTGGAAAAGGTCCACTAAGAGCTCCAATAACTCTTGCTCTCGAAATGGAGTTCATAGGGGTTGGATGGATTAGTTTGAGCAATGATCCTATGGCCTCCAAGGCTTGATTCTCACTGGCTAACCCCCTGTTTCTGAGATCAAGTCTTGGTTGATAGCTTTCACCTTGGGAAAGGGTTAGCTAGGCATTGAGAAGCTCAATATCAAGAGATACCTTGATACAAGTTGTTTAAGAGCAAGACTGATTAAGTATAGCCTCCCTTTAGCTGCAAAACCCTGTCTTTAACCCTAATCTTCGCATTAGCATCTTAAAGTTTGCACCTTTATCGCTTTTCATTGCATTTCCTCTGTTTTTACACCAACTCGACCCTCAACTCGATCGAGCTCTTGGTCGAGCTCCCTTGCATCTGCTTGTTCTTGTTAATTTCTTGCATTTAGCTGCTTTCTTTTACTTTCTGCATTGCATTTCCGTTATATTAGGTTGTTTAGTTGTTACATCCCTCCTTTTAATCATTTGGCTTGACTTTCTTGTGTTTGCATATTCTCATAGAGCAACATCTCACCCTTATGGATTGATAACCTCTTATACTACATCGACTATGATGGTTAAGAGGAATTGATTGATTGTGATTGCACCATACCATCTTATCTTCATTTACCACTTTGCATTCCATTTCATTTACATCATCCTTCATTCATATCACACCACAAATCCTATCATCAATTTGGCGCCGTTGCCGGGGAACCATGACAAAGTAGCTCAGCCTGTGGAACCTTTTTCTTCCCAGAGTGATCTCTTATCCACACCAACCTCACTACCCAAGCTGAATGGTCAGGGAAGCTTCACTCTGCCTTGTACACTTGGTCACCTACAACTTGAGGATGCACTTGTTGATTTTGGAGCAAGTATCAATCTGATCTCTCTTGTTCTAGTACAGAGGTTGGGTATACAGACTCTGATCCAGCGACCTAAGTCTTCTATCATGGTTGGAGATGCTTCTTCTAAAGCCCCACTTGGTATTGTCATGGATTTCCCTTTGAGAATTGAAGAGTGCACCATCCCAATAGATCTAAAAGTTTTAGATATGGTTGAAGAGAAGGATGTGCCATTGATCTTAGGGACACATTTCCTCACCACTGTTGGTGCCTCCATTGACTTCCACACAAAGAAAGTCATCTTGCACAATGTCAACAACAAAGTCTCTTACCCTCTCAAGGCATCAAGCTATAAATATTGTGGAACCACTGCCACTAAGTCGCTGAGCATCAAGAGTGATGAGTCTGCTGAGTTTGCTGAGGTTGAAACGATGGAGATTATGACTGTGCGCTGCACAGAGCCAGTTATTTGTGAACCTTGTGTTCTGGATGAGATGGGTCTTGCAATTTTGTTTAGTGAGCAGCTAGGAAGTGCTCAAAAAGATGGGGAGGGTATGGCTTTGAAGGCGTCTCATGGACATAAAAGAAAGATGATCACGCCTCAGACTCTCTCAAGCGCTCCATCACAGCTTACCCTGACTCTGTTGCCATCCAAGTTCACAAATGGGAAGATTGAGTACAAGATCAAGTGCAAGGGAAAGTCTAAACCATTTTCCAGTATCAAAGCCTTGGTCAGTCCTGAGCTTCAAAAAGATCAAACCAAGCTCAAGGAGCTCCTATCGTCAGTCCTTATTGTCACCTTTGATGGTGGGACCGCTCTCATTCATGCCTAAAAGGTAAAAGGTCAAGCTATGGGACCTAAAACAAGCTCACTTGGGATGAATTCCCATGTCTATCTTGTGTATAACGCTAGTTCTTTGTAGTTGTTTCTGTCTAAGGCTTGCAGAAGTTAGTTCAAAAGGGAAGCTATTCTGACTCGAGCCACAGACTCAATCTAGCCCAATCCCACCACACCTATTTTTGCTCGATTGATGCCGTTATGATGCTACTGTCTCCTGCCCTCTCCGACTCATGACCTTGCTTCCCAGTACTTTGGGGAGCACTAAGGTATCAAACGTTTCTTCCCTTGTACATACCATCTCATTTTCATGCATTTTTCTTTGTTTTTCCCTCTTGAATCTTTCTTTGAGCTTCTTTCACACAAGGGACTGTGTGATTTAAGTTTGGGGGAGGGTTCAAGAGATGATTTAACTTTTTTTTATTTTGTTCTTAGTTTTTCATCTATTTGCATAGAAAAAAAAACCAAAAAATCATAAAATTTTCAAAAAATCCAAAAATATTTTCATCTTTTTACATTCATACTTGCTAGAATTGTTTAGGATTGCATCATTCACCTATGTTTTAGTTATTCATTGTTGATTTGATCTTGAAGATTTGTTCATCATTTGCGATTCATTGAGCATCCATTAGCATCATATCTTGTTCCTTTTATATAAGACCAATGAACCAAGCAAGAGAAGCAAGCAATGATCAATGAACCAATGATAGATGAACTGATTAGGGATATTGGGATATTAAGGACCGTCTATAACACAGATCACGAATATAAAACCATTCCACTTTCGAGGCTCTGGTTCCTTTGTTAATCTACCTAGTCGCTAAACTTTTGGTATGTCCCTAGGTGATTAAATCAAGATTTAGAATGAATACGTTCTGATACAGTTCACTAGATTAGTAAATCAACTTTCACAGTCTAAGAAACCTAGTTTGCCAAAGAATATGTCCGGCGAATGATACAACACTTTCGAGGCTCAAATCAACCTAAGATCGGATTACTAGATGCGCGGTAAAGAAATCAGCATTAGTTAAGTGCACAAGACGAGACAAAGACTCTATGATAATCCCTAGCTAAACTTCGAAATCAAAGATCATGCAAGCAACTCATTGATTAGTAACCCTAGCAACCTAACTGGTGGATTACTCAGACATGATCAAAGCAATAACACATAAAGATGAAGAAAACATGATTGCAATAAACTCAAAGTAAAAAAATCGTGATACAAGGGCGGCTCTCTCTCTCAAGAGGCTAAAAAGTTGTATTTATAATGCTAGGGCTTCAAAGGCGGCATTAGGTGAAGCCGGGCTGTGAAAACGTGTGAAACGGGCTTGAAAACGGGCTTCGGGTCGATCGGACCGTTCGGACGGTCGGTCGGGACGGTCGGGGGAGAGTGAGCTACACTTGCTTGTATTCTTTTGAAGGTCTCTACGAGCCTTCGGGAGGGGTTGTCCTCGCAGTTCTCGCTTAACACCAACGGTAGATAGGAACCAAACTGTCTCACGACGTTCGGATCGTAGTCGGCCATTGGTACGGTCGGGACGATCGTGGCCGATAGTTTTCGTGTTCGGCCGACGGGGTCGGACGGATGGATAGGTTTTGGCCGATGAAACTTGGCCGGTCACAGGACCATGCCTTCCTGTTCGTGCGGATGGGTCGCCCGCGGTACATGGGTTGTGCCGCGCGGCCGCGAGCTGTTGCCGTCCTGTTCGCGCGGCGCGGTCGTGCACGGCTTGTGGTGTTGAGCTAAGGAGCGGCTCGACCTTGGGACGTTGCTTTCCGGGTCGGGACGTGAGCTCGGCCGTGGACTTGGCGGGATGCGGTTATATGCGCGGGGCGATCGCAGTACGTTCGTTCCACGATCGGCCGGTGTGCGCGGCTATTGCTCGATAAAGCCGTCTGGACCAGTCTTCACTATTTTGATCATATCTTCACTTCTAATTATCCAAATGATGCCAATCCAATTGCGTTGGAGAGTTAACTCACTCAGAGCACGCGGGGAACTGGTTTTGATGAAATCCATTGAGTAGATCTTTTTCTGGGCCATTTCAAAGTTGATGCTTGGGTATGGAGCTGCTTGAGGCGTCAATTCTATGGTTTTGCTCCAAAATGCATCATTTCACCTGTTTAGACTCTAAGCCCTATAAATCCAATAAAACTATCTTTTTAGATAGAAAACCTGCCAAAAACCATTAGAAAACAATACTAAAACAGTATAAAAAGCATGTAAAATAGAGGTATATCACTTCCTCAACTCTAACTTCTTCGGTTCCGTCTCCTTCTGCGCCCCCACAGTCCCTATCTTCACTTTATAAAACTTGCTCGCAAACTTCTCGTTCCCAACAAACCAATCCTCCTCAAAACTGTAGAATCGTAACACAAAGATGAACTCAAAGATTAAAAGAAACTCTTCTTTATTGCTTAAGAAAACTCACTCAAAAACTTACGCTCTCAATCTCTAACCTCATAAGTTATGTCACACATTGACATCTCCTTATATAGACATTCAATATCCTAATCCTATTAGACTGTGTATCTAAATAACTCCCAAATATAATCTAAGTCCTAAACTCATTAGGAACCCTCATCACAATAGGATTAGGTTTGGCTTGCAACTCAAACTTCCTTCAAGCTTAGTTCAACAGAAACGTTTAGCTCGTGCCTGTGAGCTTTACCAAACGTCGCTTTGACATCAGCTGTTCCCATATTAGTCTGCCAAGATAATCTCCTCCCGTTATGTGTCCCAAGGTAATGTGACTTAAACTTCTCGCAGAGAACACAGACCTCCGCCGGTAAGTTACACGGCACAGTCGGTTGCGCCGGCCAAAACCCGTCGTGAGGATCTGAACGGAGATCGTTGTGCCTTATGAAAGCTCGGGTGGGTGTTGTAGAAACCTTTCTATTGAGTGTATAGTCCGGTTATTAATCCGGTTTATTTAATAAGTGAGATGAGAATTTCCTTTGGCTTATATATGCTTGTACAGTACACACATTTTCCTTTAATGAGAAATATGAATTACACATTTAATATGGTATCACAGAGAAAATAACAAACTTTCTCATTTTCTTTTTGCCGCTTTCTTGTGTTTTCTCGGCAGTTTCTCGGTGCGATTTCCTTCGATTCAGCTCAAATCTCTTGGGATCTTCCCTCCATTGCTTCAAATCGATGAGTCTCTCACCTTTGTGCTTACTCTCCGAGCTCACAATTGCTTTTTTGTCACTGATTTCATCCTTTTTACGCCGAATCTCGGTCGTCTTCTTTCTCGTCATTTCTCTTTTTTGTTGGCCTGTTGATTGTTGCCTTCTCATTTTTTTCGGCACAATCCTTCTTCCTGATGACTGCGAATCCTGCTCCGCCTCAATTCATGGATCAATACGAAAATCCGTATTTTCTTCACAATTCCGATCATGCCGGCTTAATTCTCGTCTCCGATCGTCTTCAATCTGGCGCAGACTTTCACTCTTGGCGTCGCTCTGTTCGGATGGCGTTGAATGTTCGTAACAAGCTGGGTTTCATTGACGGAACGATTCCAAAGCCACACGCGGATCGTCGCGATGCAACGATATGGTCGCTACCTGGATAATGAACTCGGTGAGTAAGAAAATTGCTCAGAACTTGTTGTTTACGTACACTGCGGAATCGATTTGGAAGAACATTCTAGCTAGGTTTAAGCAGGATGATGCAACGCGTGTATTTGAGATAGAACAACGATTAGGAACTGTAGAACAAGGCTCTATGGATGTTAGTAGTTTCTATACTGAGTTGATGACTCTTTGGGAAGAGTATAAGAACTACATTGAGCTCCCTGTGTGTACGTGTGGTCGCTGTGAGTGTAATGCTGCTGCGCTATGGGAATCTTTACAACAGAGAAGCAGAGTTATGAAGTTCTTGATGGGTGTTAATGAAGCTTTTGAGCCAACTCGTCGCCATATCTTGATGATGAAACCTATTCCTTCTCTTGAAGATGCATTCAACATGGTTGCGCCAGATGAACGCCAGAAGTCCATTAAGCCAAGCTCGAGGCAGGACAATGTTGTTTTTCAGAACTCTGGGCCTCATGATAATACTCATTCTTTGTCATCTGAGAGTCTTTTTGATAATGCTGCTTTTGCTACTCAATACAACAACACTTATCGTCCTCGCCAACGTCCGGTTTGTACTCATTGTGGTCAGCTTGGTCACGTCATTCAAAAGTGCTTCAAGCTTCATGGCTATCCTCCAGGGCACAAGTTTCACACAGCTCCAGGACAACAACAATCCTCTCCGCAGTCTCGTGGCCAGAATCAGAATCGTACTCACTCTCAGTCTTTTCAGAAGACTAACACAGTGGCGAATAAGATGACTGCCTCTCCTCTTTACTTGCCAGCTCCTGCCACGAATGCGATCAACATCGATCTCAGTCAACTCAATACTGATCAATTCCAGACTCTGCTTCAACAGCTCCAAAGTCATGTTAAGCCTCCTGAGTCTCATGTTCCCGTTCAACGTGCGTCTATTACTGAGGGAGGTCATATGGTTGCTAAATCGTCTGCTGGTATCGTCTTTTTTCCATCTTCTAATATCCCTTTTCCTTCTTCTAGCCATCGCTTTGAGAACAATTGCCTTACTTTCCAACATCAGTGTTTATCTTCTCTTTACAATTCCTTACCAAGTGGTTCTTGGATAATTGACAGTGGAGCCACAACTCATGTTTGCTCTGATCTGTCTTTGTTTAGTGAGACCTTTCCGGTGTCCGGTGTTACAGTCTCTCTCCCTAATGGCATTACAGTCATAGAGGCACCATGCATATTCATTCATCATTGACATTGCATAATGTTCTGCATTTCCTTCATTTCGCTTCAATCTCATCAGCGTTAGTAGCTTGCTTAAACATGATAATCGTTCTGCTCATTTTAATGCTGATCATTGCATTATCCAGGAGTCTATTCAGGGCTTGATGATTGGTAGAGGCACTCTTATCAACAATCTCTACATTCTTCAAGTCACTGCTGCTCCTTCTTCCAATTTCTGTGGATCCTTGCATGACGATGGTCTTCTTTGGCATCAACGCCTTGGACATCCATCTCCTGGCAAGTTACAACATCTTTCTGGTATTCTGCATTTGCGTAAAGGTGCTAGTTCTGATCATTGTAGCATTTGTCCTTTAGCTAAACAAAAACGTCTTTCTTTTCCTTCAAATAGTCGTTTATCAACAGCTCCATTTGATCTTGTTCATTTGGATGTCTGGGGTCCGTTTTCAGTTGAATCTCTAGAGGGTTACAAGTACTTTCTTGCCATTGTTGATGATTGTAGTCGTGTAACCTGGATTTATATGATGCGTAATAAAAGTGAAGTTTCAACAATTTTTCCATCTTTTCTGAAGCATATTCAGACTCAATATCAATTGACTATTAAAATGATACGTAGTGACAATGCACCTGAACTTGCTTTTCCTAAACTCATTCATGATCTTGGCATTATCCATCAATATTCTTGTGCATATACCCCACAGCAGAATTCAGTAGTCAAATGTAAGCATCAAAATCTTCTTAACGTTGCTCGTGCTTTACTGTTTCAATCAAATCTGCCTCTGGTTTAATGAAGTGATTGCATTTATACAGCTGTTTTTTTCATCAATCGCACTCCATCTTTACTTTTGGATAAGCTAAGTACTTTTGAGGTTCTGGCTAAGAAGACACCTGATTACTCTTTTCTTTGTTCATTTGGTTGTCTTTGCTATGTCTCTACTTTGCTTAGGATCGTCATAAATTTTCGCCTCGAGCTGATGCATGTGTTTTCTTAGGCTATCCTTTGGGTCGCAAAGGTTACAAGGTTTTACATTTGGATACTAATGTTGTCTCCATCAGTAGAAATGTGATTTTTCATGAAACTGTTTTTCCATGTAAAACTAGTTCTTCTACTGTTTCTACAGATGTGTTTTCGAAAACTATTTTACCTTTACCTATTCCGGTTGGTCTTGATTTTAATTCACCTGTTTCTGATAGTGCTCCTGTTGCATCTCATTCTCATGTGCTTCTGATATTTCTCATGCCACTGATGCATCTCATACCTCTCATGCATCTGCATCACGCTCTAATGCCACTTCTATATCACGGGAGACTGTTTCACAGGGCACAGGACAGAGTCGCCTACTCAATGGCATGTCACGACCTAAGCGTGTGCCTAAGGCTCCAGGTTACTTATCTGAGTACCACTGTTCACTTACTCAAATTTCTAAACCTTTTGCCACTCCTTTTGATATTCATCCATCTGAATCTATTCCTTCCACAACCGTTTATCCTCTCAAACGTTCTTACCTATTCAGCTCTTAACCCATAATATCAGTCATATGTTCTTTCTTATTCCCTTGAGACGGAACCAACGACATTCAAACAGGCTATGACTTCTCCACATTTTAGACATGCCATGAACGAAGAACTTGTGGCCATGGAAGTAAACAGGACTTGGACTATTGAATCATTGCCTCCTGGTAAGAATGTGGTGGGTTGTAAATGGGTGTATGATGATAGGATTTGTGTGTGGATGTGAAAAGATATGAAATGAGATGTGTGGAATGCAATCAGTGGTATATGATGAGGTGGTAAGATGCAAACACAAACACAGTCAACAATTCCCTTTAACCATGATAGTTGATGTAGTACAAAGGGTTATCAATCCAAAATGGGAAACTTGTCACTCTATGAGAATATGAAACAACCAGGAAGTCAAGCAAGCAGTAATAGATTTGAAGTAACACTAACAACCTAAATGAAAAGAAATGAAATGCAAAAGTAAATAAAGCAGTAAACAAGCGCTCGACCAAGACTCGAGTCTCGAGTAGAGTAGGGTCGAGTTAGAAAACTAAAGGTACGACTTTAACAAGATATTCAAGACAGGGTTTTGCAATCAAAGGAATCTACACTTAATCATCTAGGGCTTCTCTTGATATTGGGCTTCTCAATGCCTAGCCAACCCTTTCCCAAGGTGAAGGCTATCAACCAAGGAATGATCTCAGAAACAGGGGGTTAGCCAGTGAGAATCAAACCTTGGAGGCTATAGGATCATTGCCCAAACTAATCCATCCAACCCCTTAGACCTCTATTTGGAGCTCTTAGTGGATCTTTTCCAGCGAATGCCATCACTTTCGTGTGGGGAGTCGCCTAAGGACTTACAAGCCAGGGGTAGTGGTCATGTAGCCTTAAGATCTATCCAAAAGAGAGAGAATCTAGATTAAGACCATAAGCTAGAAGGATTAAGCATATGAAACCTCTAATCTATCCCATCTCAAACCCCAATGGGTAACTACTCACTACACATGAATGTAAACACAAGCAAATGCAATAAAAGAGACATCATAAGAAAGAGGAGATGAAATTAAACAACTTTTATTGAAATAAGCAAGTGCAAATACAAAGAGATTATCCAGGATCTAGGATTCAAGAAGCAAGAGCTTCAAGAACACAAAGATGGGATTAGAGCTCTCAAAAGTAAAAGACAATAAAATTAAAAGAAACTAAAACAATAATAAAGTAAAGCTTGGTGGTTTTTTCGTGGCTTAGAGCCTTTAAGATGGCTTCTCCCTTCTTCCTTTGCATATCCAGTTGAGCTGCTCCATGTGCCAAGTCCCTCCATGCTCCTCATGTCCAATATGCTCCAGAATGCTCCAAAAGACCTATTTCAAAGGACCAAACATGCATATGTATGCAAATGCAACCTAAAACTAACATGAATGCATAAGAAGAGAAAAGGAACAAGATATGATGCAAATGGAAGCTAAAACTATGCAAAAGATGCATAAAAGATGTGCTAAAACTATGTAAAATGCAAGTACATCAACACCCCCAAACTTGAACTTTGCTTGCCCTCAAGCAAACAAATAGAACAAGAAAGAGATGAGGTTTGAAAATAGCTGATTCAACACTTAAAAACTGATTGCATTCCACCTCATCATATACCACTGATTGCATTCCATACATCTCATTTCATATCTTTTCACATCCACACACAAATCCTATCATCAGGGAGTGGAGAAGTGGGTTCGATCGAGTTATGGGGAAGAGGGAGTGTTTGAGATGTGTGGTTGAGATTAAAAGATGAAATAAAGAGGGGAACAAGAAGCTAGGGATTTCTCTGATCAAATTAGGGTAGTGGGGGACCAAAATCAGCTTGTGGGACCCACTCCCTTGACCAAGAAAACGGTTATGAATTTGAAATTCAAAAACTTACCTCGGTCGAGTTGAGGAACTCGATCGAGTTGCCCTGGTTTCTAGCTCGATCGAGCTGTCGGTCGAGCTGGCTCCTTGACACCTAAACTTAACTTATTCAAAGGTTAAAACACAGAAAATAGATAGAAATTGCATAAATAGAATATGTACAAGGATAAACATGGGACTTCCTCCCAAGTGAGCTTGTTTAAGGTCCCATAGCTTGACCTTTACCTTCTTAGGCATTGGTTGAGCTAGTCCCACCATCAAGGGTGATAGTGAGGACTTGAGACAGAAGCTCCTTTAGCTTGGTTGGGTCCCTGGATGTTCTGAAGTCACCAAGGCTTGGCTCTAGAGAATGGCCTTGATCTCCCCTTGTACCTTATCTTGTACTCAATCTTCCCATTTTCAAACTTGGTGGGGAACAAAGTCATTGTGAGCTGAGATGGCTTGAATGAAGGGGCCTGAGCTGGTGGATCTTTTCTTTTATCCCTGGTCTTGCCTTAGAGGCTACATCCTCCCCTTCTTTTAGAGCCCTTCCTAGTGGCTCATCAAACAAAGCTTGAAGGCTCTCTTCATCAAGCACACAAGGGGCTTGAACAAGTCATCAGCTCGTGGTCTATCAGAACGTGGTTTCTCAACTCTAGCCCTCTCAAGACGTGGCTTCTCAATCCTTGGTCCTCTCTCATCCTTATCCTTCCCAACTCTTGGTTCTTTGTCAACCCTTTCCTTCACAACCTTTGTAGCTCCATGACTCTTAGAACTGAGAGTGGTACTGTCAATTGTGGCACAAAAGTCTGAACCTCTAGGCTGCAAGCGATATGACACCAAACTATTCACCTTGTGAAGGATCACTTCTTGCTTGTGAAAGTCTATTGAAGCGCCAACTGTACTAAGGAAAGGGGTTCCCAATAACAGAGGTAAATCCTTCTCTTCTTCCATTTCCATCACAGTGAGATCAGTTTGGATGATGCATTCTCCAATTTTCAAGTGATAGTTCTTGAACACTCCAAGAGGAGACTTAGAAGTTGCATCTCCAAACATGATTGAAGTAGTAGGGCGCTGCAAGGCTCCAGCAATGCCTAGCTTCTCTGCCATGGAGAGAGAGATCAGATTGATGCTTGCTCCAGAATCCACTAAGGCATTGTCAATCTCAAGATGCCCAAGTGTGCAAGGGAGAGTGAATTTCCCTTGATCCTTGACCTTTGGTAGGAAGGTGGGTGAAGTAAGCAGGTTGAACTGATGAGTAGACTCTTGTAGGACCTCTGAAACTTTATCACTGTTGGCTAGAACATCCTTGACCATTTGCATTTGATCAAATGCCTCACTCATGCTATCCATAGGAGGCAACTCAATTCCAATCCCACTGAGATCTCTTCTGAACTTGTGAATCACTTCCTTGTGACCTTGACTAAGTAGGCGAGACANTATAGAAACCCCAATGTGGAGAATCCTCAAGACCAAGTGTATCCTCCAAGGTATCCACAACAACAAAGACCTCCTTACCAATCTCAAGGAAGTCAATTTCAGCCAAGGCAAGGATATGAGCAGAGATCATCATATCCGCCCAAGGAGCCATATGCTTCTTCACCAAATCAAGCTCCTCCAAACCAACAAGGTGGGAGATTTGAAGGAATCCTCCAACAGATCATGGATGGCCAGAAGAGAAACACTAAAGAGATGTATGAGAAGATGGACACTTTGTTCAGCAATCTCAACACCAAGTATGATGCTGTTGCCACTCATGTGAAGAAACTAGAGACTCAAGTCACTCAAACTAACTCAAGGGAAGCTGTTAAGAGACAGGAAGCTGAATCCAAGAAGTCCTTTTGCAACTCAGCCGCCATAGAAGAAAGATTTGAAGACCAAGTTCCAGAATGGATGCTTTCAAAACCTACTGTTGATTGCATGATTTGGCCTGAAGAGAATTACCCAGAGAGAGAGTCCAATCGAGCTAGAAAGAGAAGACTCTTCCCAAAGATTATCCCCAAGACAGATAACTCAGGAAAGTTTGCTGTGCCTTGTATCATCAAAGGTAACATTCTTGAGCAATCTTTGTGTGACACAGGAGCCAATGTGAACATCATGTCTAAGAGGATAGCTGACAAGATAGGCCTCACCAAGATAGAGCCATCATCCATCTCCATCAACTATGCTGATTCATTCTCACAAACCCCTATGGCTTTGTGCCTAATGTGATGGTGCAGATTGGAAATTGCTCTATCCCTACTGATTTCCAGATTGTGGAAATGAGAGAGAGTAGCCATAGACCTCTCATATTTGGAACCCCTTTCCTGTCTACTGTGGGTGCCATATTTGATTTCCCCAATCAAAGAATCTCTTTCAACAAGGTGAACAAGGGTATGTTCTTCCCTATGTGTTCAACAAAGAACTCTTTTGTTGACATGGTCCAAGAGGAGAAAGCTTACTTTGAAGCCACCCCAAGAAGGAGAAACTGAAGAAACAATCAAGGAAGATCCCATTCCTAAGCCCAAGCAGCTTGCCAAACAAGCAAGGAGTAAGACTAAGGCCCCTACACCAAAACCGCCCAAGGGATCAACCAAGATTGAAGATGAGGCCAAGCCAAGAAGGAAGGTTAGAAAACCTAGGTCTGGCCGCAACATGAAGCTTCTATTCCCAAAGGAGCTTATTGATGAGAATCTAGAAGGATTCAAGGAGAAAGTGACAAGAACTCTAAAGCTTTTTCCTAAGGCAGTAGTGCCAAGGGACATTCATGGAGAGATTGTCTATCCAGCTGTGAATCACCCACCAGATACTCATTGCAAGGAGAAAAGACTTGGAGGATCAAAGATGCCTCTTGTCTCCATCTTCTCCTGAGCGCCAAGCCTTACAGTCAAGCTAAAGACTTAAAACAAGCGCTGCATGGGAGGCAACCCATGAGGTACTTTTACTTTTCTTTCTTTAAATTTCTTAGTTTTTGTTTTGCTTTTGTGTTTTCTTTGTTTTAAGATAGGATAGAAGGAGAAAAAGGTGTGAAAACACAATCCGCGCCAAAACATTGGCCGCGGACGCGCAAAAGTGATTTTGGCCGAGCAATTCTCAACTGGCCGACCGTTACGGTCGAGCCGGGAAGGAATAGCCGTGCTCGGCCGGATTCACTATGCGCGACAGAAACCGTTCGCGCGCACGCACGAACCGGGAAAGAAACGCGCGATCGGCCGAAATTTTCGTATCGGAACGGACCGACCGTGCCGGTCGATCCGGGAAACATCGCTCGGCCTCGGCCGAAATCTCTCGACCAAACGAATTTGGCCGACCAAATCGCTCGACCGCGACAAAATCCATCGGCCATCGGCCCAAACTTTTCTAGGCCAAGGTAAGTCCCCTTTTCATTAATTCAAACCGGTTTTAACCAATCTAAACCAACTTAAACCGGTTTTCAATCAAAATTCGAATTTGAAAAGGAAAATTGATAGGATTTAGATCTTATTTACTTCACCTTTCCCTTGAAAACAACAAGAACCTCTCTTTCTTCTCCAAAACCCTAAACTCCATTAGAGGAACTCTAAGAGTTTTGATTTCAAAACTTTTACTGTTCATAACTCTAAATTGGAATTTACTTGCTCTTGCAACCTTATTCACTTTTCAACACACAAGGTATGTCTTCTAACTCTAATCCTATGTTTATGCAAGATCGAAAATCTTAATAAGTTTCATGTTTGGTCTAAACTCTTGTCTAGACTTGAAATTAGCATCCTTATAGTCTTGTAATGAACTTTGCTAGGTGGAACCTAGGTGGTTTAGAGTTAATTTGAAGTTTAATTTCACAATTGAATAGTTTTTCACAAAACTTATTGGGCATTCCAAACCCCTTATTCAAAGGTGAAATTGCTTAGGCATACTTCAATTCATTAGTTTATCTAGTGATTACTTGGATTAGAAACTCAATTTCTCTTGATTTGCTGAAAAATTTCGATTTTAAGCACCATAATCTTGGGATGAACAGTAAAATCCGAAAATTAATTTTGAAAAAGTGAAATTTCTATTTTGTCTCTTTGATTCATGATTAAGCCTTGAGTTGTTCCTTATTCCATATCATTATTACAACTCAATTAGCTTATTCTTCTTTTGCATTAATCACAAACTCATATTTCTTCCCAAGAATTTGCTCTTGTAGGTACACCAATGGCAAAGACAAAAGGAAATGAGAGTATGAAGAAGAAGAAGAACCCATTCATGGAACCACCAAAGAAGCAAATCAAGCTAGGGAGTAGTAGCTCCAATGCAAGAGCAGCAATACCAACTTCACCACATTCCATTGATGCAATCAAGAACATGTGGAGAGTCCAAGAGAGGAGAAGATGATTGGGCACTTGTAACCTTTGTTGGAGAACAAAATCAAGACCCAAGAAAGTGTAAGAAGGCAATCGAGCCATGTGTGAAGATGGACACCCAAACCCTTGATCTTCTCAAGATAAGAGATGATGTCACATGGTACATAAGGAAGCTAGGCTTGAGCAAGCTCTTCAAGCTAGAGTGTAGTGAGTACTCACAACTCACCAAGGAGTTCCTCTCCACAGTAGCTCTTGCCTTTCCCAACCACAATGGAGACCAACCAGCTGGTGATGGACTCCTACTCTTCAAGATAGGCGATGCCAATGGGCGCATCTCCATCTCAGCTCTATGCCAACTCTTTGGACTTCCCAATGAGACAGCACATGACTTCAAGGAGAACTCAAAGAGGAAACAAGCTGCCTTTGCTGATTGGACACACTTTGCCAATGAACCATTCTTGCCTTCAAGGTCAAAGGTGTCTAGAATCACTCATCCAGCCATTCGCTATGTGCACCGCCTCATCTCCACCACTTTCCAATGCAAACAAGAAGCCAACAAGGTCACAACTGATGAGTTCTACATCCTCACCACACCATTCATCAAGCATGAGTACAAGGCCAACCTTGGACTTTTACTTGCCAAGACATTCATCAATGTGAGGAAGCTAGCTAAAGACTTGGAAGGCAACAAGAAGCTTTGTGTTCGTTTTGGGAGGCTTATCACGGCCATAGTACAACATGTGGGGATTGACATTCCCAACTATGAGCCACTACCCAAGCCAACCCCTTTGGATCTCCATGCTCTTCAGCACATCCACTTCCTAAACCGTTGGACTAAAGACCCAACTCGGTTTTGCTATGAGTTTCCAATTGGTCCAGCCAACACTTCCCTTGTCTTGCTGCCACATGAGGACATCCCAAGCCTACGCTCAGGAGTTGTCACTTTCCAGCCCAATGAGGAAGAGTTCTATGTTCCATCAAGTGAGAAACCATCATTCCCCATGCTCACCTATCGCACACTTCAGCATGCAGTCAAGACTCAACGCCGCTCCAAGAACGCCATGTTCTCACTACTGGCATGGCCGCACATCAAGCTCTAGACCGTGTTAACAAGCTGGAGAAGATAGTGGAATGCCAATCTCGCTTCATCTCACGCCTAGTCCGCGTAGTTCGCCACATTGCACCGGAGAGACTCTTTCGCCCTTCTTCCACCGCTAGAGAGCCATATGAGCCTGACCTTGGTGAGTTCTCACTAGACTCAGAGCTTGGTTCAGAAGGCGATGACCCCATAGATGAGGAAGAGAGTTCTTCTCACTGCCACACATAGTCATCTCAAGTGGTACTTAGTGCAATGGACACTTACAAATCTCCATTTTCTATCCCTATCTTATTTTAATGAATTTTTCTTTATTTTTCTTTTACTTTGAATATTACCTCTCACCTTAATGTGATTTGCTTTCACCGGGACGGTGCAAGTTAAGTCTGGGGGGAGTTTTATTGTGTTACTAATGCATTTTTCTTTCTTTTCTTATGTTTTATTCACTTTGTTTCATGTTTTTCAAAAAGTTTTATTGAGTCAAAAACCAGTCCGGAAGTTATGAACTTGCTTTGAGAATTGAGAGTGTTATGCTAACAATCCATGACCCTAGAGCAGAAACCAGCTAAAGGCACAAGCCTAACAGAAGCTCTTACAGTGGATCGACATGCTAGCTCAGCAAAATTTCTAAGGTAACCAAGCAATCTAGAGTTAACCTCACACTTAATCAATCTTAATTACTCTTGTCAAGGGGGTTGGCATACATGTCGACAGTTCCTTGCTTGATTTTCAATAAGATTTGTCTAATCTTTAAAGAGTTCTCCTCTCTCTCCCATCCCAAATGGTAAGTATATTTATGAGAAAAAGCTCAAAGAGCACAAGGAAACAAGTAAGCATGAGGAATGCATATGTCTGTACCTTCATGTCTTATGGAATACCTTAGTCAAACAAGGAACAAGCTAAAGACTTATCCTGTGGTTGAAAGAAGGGTCAATAGAAAAAATAAAATGATACCCTAGAAAAGTAGGGAGAAATTGACCTTTCAAAGTTCTGATGTGAGAAAGAGAGAGGAAAAGAACTCATTGCACTTAAAGAGGCAATCTTGGAGAGGATCAAGTGGGTAAGAACAAGTTCAATTGATCGATGTCCCCTTGATAAAGAATTCACGCTTTAAATTTATGCAAGAGGTTAGCAATAGAGAGTTTGGATTGCTGGATGAGACTAGTTGGGTTGGTATTGTTCGCTAAACTTGCAGGGTGTATGTGAAGCTAACCTTATGTTGTCTATGTTCATAGTGGAATACAGGAAAGGAACCTTTCACAGGATATTCAAAAGAGCAAGGGAGTTTCCACGTTTTCAAACCTCTTTCACGGATTTAGATTCTTTTTGCTTGGGACAAGCAAAGATCTAAGTCTGGGGGAGTTGATATACCTCTAATTTACCCACTTTTTATACTGTTTTAGCATTGTTTTCTAATGGTTTTTGGCAGGTTTTCTATCTAAAAAGGTAGTTTTACTGTGTTTATAGTGTCTAGAGTCTAAACAGGTGAAATGATGCATTTTGGAGCAAAACCATAGGATTTGCACTTCAAGCAGCTCCATGCACAAGCACCAACTTTAAGAGGGCCCAGAAAAAGATCTACTCAATGGATTTCATCAAGACCAGTTCCCTGCGTGCTCTGATTGAGTTAACTTTCCAACGCAATGGAATGGCCTATTTGGATGAGTAGAAAAGGAGTTATAACCAAAAGAGTGAAGACTGTCCAGACGGCTCTATCGAGAAACAGCGCCCAAACCGCGCAGTCCGGCTGGCCGAGGAACGATGTTCCGCGCTCGGCCAAAGCTCGTCCGTCCGACTGAAGTCTCGGCCAAAGTCCAAACCACTCGGCCGATCACGCATCACGACCCGGGAAACATTGCCCGCGGTCGGCCAAGCCACACGCCACACCACCGCGCACGACCAAAGCGCGCGAGCCGGGAAAAAGCCTCGCGGCCGCGCAACCGTTCGCGTACCACGCCGATGCATCCGTCCGAGCCGGGAAAGAACGTCCCACGTCCGGCCGAGAATTTCATCGGCCAAACTCATCCGCTCGACCACGCCGGCCGACCGTGAATCCGTCCGACCCCGACCGTTCCGACTCGGCCACGACCCGATGTCCGGCCGATCGTCCCGCACGACCGTCCCAACGCCGCGGTCGACCCGAAGCCCTTTTGAAGCCCAAACTTATGTTTTCAAGCCCGGCTTAACCCTAAGCCGCCTCTAGAAAGACCTAGCACTATATATATGGATTTTTAGCCTCTTGAGAAAGAGAGCCGCCCTGTATTTCGATTTCCTACTCTAAGTTTTATTGCAATCATGTTTTCTTCATCTCTATGTGTGTTTGCTTTGATCATGTCTGAGTAATCCACTAGTTAGGTTGCTAGGGTTACTATTCAATGAGTTGCTTGCATGATCTTTGATTTCAATGATTAGCTAGGGATTATATTAGAGTCTTTGTCTCGTCTTGTGCACTTAACTAATGCTGATTGCTTTACCGCGCATCTAGTAATCCGATCTTAGGTTGATTTGAGCCTCGACAGTGCTGTATCATTCGCCGGACATATTCTTTGACAAGCTAGGTTTCTTAGACTGCGAAAGTTGATCTATCTATATCTAGTGAACTGTATCAGAACCTATTCATTCTAATGCTTGATCTAATCACCTAGGGACATACCAAAAGTTTAGCGACTAGGTAGATTAGCAAAGGAGCCGGAGCCTCGAAAGTGGAATGGTTTTATATTCGTGATCTGTGTTCTAGATGGTTCTTAATATCCCAATATCCCTAATCAATTAATCTATCATTGTTTCATTGATCATTGCTTGCTTCTCTGCGATAGCCCCTATGACCTAGCGCTTTTCCTTTATTGTTTACAACCTCGTTATACTTGCTAGTTCGGTTCACCATTACAACCTCAATCATACTTTTGTTTTAGCTTGATCCAAAATCCATAGTTACAAAGTGTACTCAATAGCCAGTCCTTGTGTTCGATACCCATACTTCCGCGATCTGTGCACTTGCAGAGGTCTAGGAGTTTGGTAAAACCTGACTCCGCATCAAGTTTTTGGCGCCGTTGCCGGGGACTGCAGCAGTACCTTTGGAACTCGACTAGGATCTAGTCTAGAACCTTTTCCTGTTTTGCTTTTCTTTTGCTTTTGAATTTTTAGTTTTTGATTTCCTTTTCTTTGATTTTTACTTTTGTTTTTGTTTTTCCCTTTTGATTTAACTTGTTTCCAAGACTCTTTTCAGGTGCATGACTAGGAGGTCCAACAAGGACAACCTAGTTGAACATCCAGAGATAGACAAGCTTGAGAAGCAACTTAGGAAGCAAAAGCCCAAGAGATGGCCGACGAAGCAGCTCGCGCTCACGCCGCTGAAGTGGCGCGCGCTCAAGAAGAAGGAAGAGATCCACCTCCTCCTCCTCCTAATCCCTGCTGGAGATGTGAACGCACAACCCCAAGCTGGAGCACCTACAATCGGAGACTATGACTCTGCCGATGCTTTCTTCATGGATAGAAACCCTATCCATCCACCACCACCTGCAAGGAATGACTATGAGATCAAGCCTCAGATCATTGCATTGGTTAGACAGAACCAATTCAATGGACTTCCAGCTGAGCATCCTCTTGATCACATAGAAAACTTTGAAGAAATTTGCAGCACTACAAGATCCAATGGAGTCTCTGCTGACTACCTTAAGTGCAAGCTCTTTTCATTCTCTCTTGGCGACAAAGCTTCAAGATGGTTGAAGTCTCTGCCAGCTCACTCCATCACCACTTGGGATGAGTACAAGGCTGCATTCATCAACCACTTCTACACCAAACAGAGATCAATTTCTGTGAGAAACAAGATCTCCACTTTTCGCCAAGGCAACAATGAATCTTTCTATGAGGCGCTAGATCGATTCAAGGAGTACATTAGGGACTGCCCTAATCATGGTTTCAATGAGGGAAACCTATGGAACATCTTCTATCGTGGCATAGACCACAAGTACAAGCTTTCATTGGATACAGCAAGCAATGGAAACTTCATGACCAAGACTGTTGATGAAGCTAAGGTTCTTATTGAGAATCTTGCAGCTAGTGATTGTAACAACTGTCCTGATTATGACCGCTCAAGCCGCACCACTACTAGCTCCCCTGATTCTTTTCAAATGACTGAACTCAAGAACATGATGGCTCAAGTTCTTAAGGGACAGCTCAAGCATATCAATGCAATAGAAGGGATGAGTGATGCTAATGAAGATTCATCAAGAGAATGCATGGGAGATTTCTCTAATGATGCCAATGAAGAAGATGTGAACTACATTGGAAACTATGGGAACAAGGGATACAATCCAAGCTATCGCCCAAATCCCAACATGTCCTATAGAAACCCCAATGTGGAGAATCCTCAAGACCAAGTGTATCCTCCAAGGTATCCACAACAACAAAGACCTCCTTACCAATCTCAAGGAAGTCAATTTCAGCCAAGGCAAGGATATGAGCAGAGATCATCATATCCGCCCAAGGAGCCATATGCTTCTTCACCAAATCAAGCTCCTCCAAACCAACAAGGTGGGAGATTTGAAGGAATCCTCCAACAGATCATGGATGGCCAGAAGAGAAACACTAAAGAGATGTATGAGAAGATGGACACTTTGTTCAGCAATCTCAACACCAAGTATGATGCTGTTGCCACTCATGTGAAGAAACTAGAGACTCAAGTCACTCAAACTATGGAAGCTGTTAAGAGACAGGAAGCTGAATCCAAGAAGTCCTTTTGCAACTCAGCTGCCATAGAAGAAAGATTTGAAGACCAAGTTCCAGAATGGATGCTTTCAAAACCTACTGTTGATTGCATGATTTGGCCTGAAGAGAATTACCCAGAGAGAGAGTCCAATCGAGCTAGAAAGAGAAGACTCTTCCCAAAGATTATCCCCAAGACAGATAACTCAGGAAAGTTTGTGTGCCTTGTATCATCAAAGGTAACATTCTTGAGCAATCTTTGTGTGACACAGGAGCCAATGTGAACATCATGTCTAAGAGGATAGCTGACAAGATAGGCCTCACCAAGATAGAGCCATCATCCATCTCCATCAACTATGCTGATTCATTCTCACAAACACCCTAAGGCAGTAGTGCCAAGGGACATTCATGGAGAGATTGTCTATCCAGCTGTGAATCACCCACCAGATACTCATTGCAAGGAGAAAAGACTTGGAGGATCAAGGATGCCTCTTGTCTCTATCTTCTCCTGATGCCAAGCCTTACAGTCAAGCTAAAGACTTAAAACAAGCGCTGCATGGGAGGCAACCCATGAGGTACTTTTACTTTTCTTTCTTTAATTTTTAGTTTTTGTTTTGCTTTTGTGTTTTCTTTGTTTTAAGATAGGATAGAAGGAGAAAAAGGTGTGAAAACACAATCCGCGCCAAAACATTGGCCGCGGACGCGCAAAGGTGATTTTTGGCCGAGCAATTCTCATTCTGGCCGACCGTTACGGTCGAGCCGGGAAGGAATAGCTCGTGCTCGGCCGGATTCACTCCATTGCGCGACAGAAAACGTTCGAGCGCCACGCGCGAACCGGGAAAGAAACGATCGCGATCGGCCGAATTTTCGTATCGGAACGGACCGACCGTGCCGGTCGATCCGGGAAACATTCGCTCGGCCACGGCCGAATTCTCTCGGCCAAAACCGAATTTGGCCGACCAAATCGCTCGACCGCGACAAAATCCATCGGCCATCGGCCCAAAACTTTTCTAGGCCAAGGTAAGTCCCCTTTTCATTAAATTCAAACCGGTTTTAACCAATCTAAACCAACTTAAACCGGTTTTCAATCAAAATTCGAATTTGAAAAGGAAAATTGATAGGATTTAGATCTTATTTACTTCACCTTTCCCTTGAAAACCACAAGAACCTCTCTTTCTTCTCCAAAACCCTAAACTCCATTAGAGGAACTCTAAGAGTTTTGATTTCAAAACTTTTACTGTTCATAACTCTAAATTGGAAATTACTTGCTCTTGCTAACCTTATTCACTTTTCAACACACAAGGTATGTCTTCTAACTCTAATCCTATGTTTATGCAAGATCGAAAATCTTAATAAGTTTCATGTTTGGTCTAAACTCTTGTCTAGACTTGAAATTAGCATCCTTATAGTCTTGTAATGAACTTTGCTAGGTGGAACCTAGATGGTTTAGAGTTAATTTGAAGTTTAATTTCACAATTGAATAGTTTTTCACAAAACTTATTGGGCATTCCAAACCCCTTATTCAAAGGTGAAATTGCTTGGGCATACTTCAATTCATTAGTTTATCTAGTGATTACTTGGATTAGAAACTCAATTTCTCTTGATTTGCTGAAAATTTTGATTTTAAGCACCATAATCTTGGGATGAACAGTAAAATCCGAAAATTAACTTTGAAAAAGTGAAATTTCTATTTTGTCTCTTTGATTCATGATTAAGCCTTGAGTTGTTCCTTTATTCCATATCATTATTGCAACTCAATTAGCTTATTCTTCTTTTGCATTAATCACAAACTCATATTTCTTCCCAAGAATTTGCTCTTGTAGGTACACCAATGGCAAAGACAAAAGGAAATGAGAGTATGAAGAAGAAGAAGAACCCATTCATGGACCACCAAAGAAGCAAATCAAGCTAGGGAGTAGTAGCTCCAATGCAAGAGCAGAAATACCAACTTCACCACATTCCATTGATGCAATCAAGAACATGTGGAGAGTCCAAGAGAGGAGAAGATGATTGGGCACTTGTAACCTTTGTTGGAGAACAAAATCAAGACCCAAGAAAGTGTAAGAAGGCAATGGAGAAGGTGAACATCGAGCCATGTGTGAAGATGGACACCCAAACCCTTGATCTTCTCAAGATAAGAGATGATGTCACATGGTACATAAGGAAGCTAGGCTTGAGCAAGCTCTTCAAGCTAGAATGTAGTGAGTACTCACAACTCACCAAGGAGTTCCTCTCTACAGTAGCTCTTGCCTTTCCCAACCACAATGGAGACCAACCAGCTGGTGAAGGACTCCTACTCTTCAAGATAGGCGATGCCAATGGGCGCATATCCATCTCAGCTCTATGCCAACTCTTTGGACTTCCCAATGAGACAGCACATGACTTCAAGGAGAACTCAAAGAGGAAACAAGCTGCCTTTGCTGATTGGACACACTTTGCCAATGAACCATTCTTGCCTTCAAGGTCAAAGGTGTCTAGAATCACTCATCCAGCCATTCGCTATGTGCACCGCCTCATCTCCACCACTTTCCAATGCAAACAAGAAGCCAACAAGGTCACAACTGATGAGTTCTACATCCTCACCACACCATTCATCAAGCATGAGTACAAGGCCAACCTTTTTTACTTGCCAAGACATTCATCAATGTGAGGAAGCTAGCTAAAGACTTGGAAGGCAACAAGAAGCTTTGTGTTCGTTTTGGGAGGCTTATCACGGCCATAGTACAGCATGTGGGGATTGACATTCCCAACTATGAGCCACTACCCAAGCCAACCCCTTTGGATCTCCATGCTCTTCAGCACATCCACTTCCTAAACCGTTGGACTAAAGACCCAACTCGGTTTTGCTATGAGTTTCCAATTGGTCCAGCCAACACTTCCCTTGTCTTGCTGCCACATGAGGACATCCCAAGCCTACGCTCAGGAGTTGTCACTTTCCAGCCCAATGAGGAAGAGTTCTATGTTCCATCAAGTGAGAAACCATCATTCCCCATGCTCACCTATCGCACACTTCAGCATGCAGTCAAGACTCAACGCCGCGTCCAAGAACGCCATGTTCTCACTACTGGCATGGCCGCCCATCAAGCTCTAGACCGTGTTAACAAGCTGGAGAAGATAGTGGAATGCCAATCTCGCTTCATCTCACGCCTAGTCCGCGTAGTTCGCCACATTGCACCGGAGAGACTCTTTCGCCCTTCTTCCACCGCTAGAGAGCCATATGAGCCTGACCTTGGTGAGTTCTCACTAGACTCAGAGCTTGGTTCAGAAGGCGATGACCCCATAGATGAGGAAGAGAGTTCTTCTCACTGCCACACATAGTCATCTCAAGTGGTACTTAGTGCAATGGACACTTACAAATCTCCATTTTCTATCCCTATCTTATTTTAATGAATTTTTCTTTATTTTTCTTTTACTTTGAATATTACCTCTCACCTTAATGTGATTTGCTTTCACCGGGACGGTGCAAATTAAGTCT